ATATAAAGTATCATTCACATAATAAGTTAAAATCTAAAAATTGTTTTTTTTTTTCAAAATTTCTCGCTCTTACGCTAACTTTTGTCGTGGCGTGACTATGACGTCATGCCCCTCAATAACTAATATTGTTGCATCTGTATTAATAAATGAATTATGGACCACGGAGCGCGGAGGAGCTCAATAGCGCATTAGATAGCGAGCTTGGTCTGCGATACGGATACAAATTTCGCAGGGGCCGGCCATAGGATGGGTCACCAAACATTTATTATCTCGAGCAGCTCCGTGCTTTGGAAGGTACGTTAAAGAATTAATCCCAGCTGCATCTATTTACATCTACCAATCCTTACTGGGCCCGCGTGATCGGATAGTCAATTCTCCCTATTCCATTTGATTCGATTCATCATCATCATCACCAGCCCTTTTACGTCCCCACTGCAGGGGCTCAGGCCTTCCTCATGGATAGTTAAAGAGAATGGGCCATGACCCTCCACGCTGGCCCAATGCGGATTGGAGGGTATTAACGACTGCAAATGCAACCGGGACCAACGGCTTAACGTGCCTTCCGAAGCACGGAGTAGTTCGAGATAATTTTTGGTCACCCATCCCGTGACGGACCCTTGCGAAAGTTGCTTAACGACTACGATCGCGGGCCGCGGTGCTTATCCACTACGCCACCGAGCTCCACTTATGCGCTTATCCACTGATTCGATTGATGATACATAATATCATTAGAAATAGTGAGATGAACATGAATATCATAATATGAATTTCAATATTGAAGAAGCAGTTAAAAGCAGGCGTTTTTAAAACAGACTTGTTTATGTTCTAACAGAAGCTTGAACGGAAAATAAAAATGGTATATCAAGAATCACATTAAGATGGAAACTATCAAAACTCGACACGGAACGGGAATATCGTAAAACCGTAACTGCATTTAATTTGATGTCATCACCAACTTAATGACACTAAAGTTGTTGATGATTTAGAACCAGATCAGGGATATTAAACCTTGGATTTTAATCAGAATAGTTAATATTCTCCGTTATCCTTCAATGGTAATACAAAAAATTTATATAAATAACTCTCGCGTTATTAATTTTTTATTTATTCGGTACACAAACAGAAGTACAATTACATCAATAAATGAATCATCACATAACAATGCAGCTTATCAAGTTTTACTTTCATTAACATGTGCACACAATATAATAAAACAAATTCAATAATTTTGTATAATAATTTTGAGCGAGTTCAATATTGATACATAAATTAATATAAAAAAAAATATCACGTTATTTAATAAATATATATTGCGTATGAAATTAAAAATGAATTGGCTTTAGTTTATAATGAAATGGATCTAAAATACTTTTGATTAAGAAATTACAATATCTATATAATTTTTAATTAACTTATTTTATTTCAAAAAACGTTTAAAGATGAACTGTAGGTGTCAGGTATTATTAAACTATCGTTATTTTATAAAGTTTATTAAAGTCACAGCACATATGTATTGGTTATACAGGCAGTGGCGTTACTATAACTTTAAAGTCCCCTGGCAAATTCATCGGATATCCAATTTTTTAGTAATTGCGTAATAATAAATGTCAGGAGTAAGGAGTCTCCCCTGACCGAGGGCCCTTTCCAGCTGGGGGATTTGCTTACTTTCTATGTATTCGATTGTTAAATGACATATTGTTGGGATCGAGTGGCATACTAAATGGGTGCAGTAACCTTAACTAGTTAGCTAGTTATAATATAATATATGAAATACTTTCTATCTGTCCACATGGAATAAAAATAAAAAAGAAAAATAAACTATTTTTACCTTATCTTATAATAATCTTATTACTAATAATTACTAAAGTACCCTTTTAAGCATGACAATGCCTGTACTTTAATAACCGCTCTTTAATCTTTAATAACTCCGCTCTTTAATAACATGTTTTATTTTTCAGAAATGTATTATTTGCGGTTTTTGAATCCATAATTTGATTTACTTGATACATTTTTCTTAATTATGTCTAATTAAACAAAGGTATGAGTGTGTGTGTGTTCTGTTCGTGTATGATTATGATAGCTCTCTAGTCAGTACACATGACATGATTATTTTATAAAATTAAGTGACAATTTAAACATAAAATATAGGGTATGTATACGGTATATGACATAATTCCAACTGAGTGCATTTCCCAGTCTAGCAATGTAATAAATGAATTAAACAGAGTTATGAAGGAATATAAATCCATACCTCGAAAGGAAAAAACGGAACCCTTATAGGATCACTTTGTTGACCGTTTGTCTGTCAAGAGCCATTTTCTCAGGAAGGCGTGGCTATAATTTATATTCGAAACTCGCAAAGGAATCAAAACCTACTGGGAACGTCCCGTGAACTCAGGATCTTGAAATTTGGTACGAAGTAATTTCTTATAGCACAGATAAAGGAAAAGTTGCGAAACCCGTAAATTTTTAGTTACATCATATAATATTTTTTTTAATCTTCACGTTTGTACGGAACCCTCGGTGCGCGAGTCCGACTCGCACTTGGGCGGTTTTTTAGATCTAAAATGAAACCCATAGCCGTCTATCCAAGCAACTGAAAACGTGATCCGAACGCAATATTTCGGTTTTACATTTTCATTAACTGAACCTAAGCCGCGTATATTTAAACGCAATGCGATCTCAACTTTACTTCAAATAATTCACACAAATTTTCTTCATTACATTTTTCAATACATACTGCTTTTTAATGCAAATCGATTGGATGTTTTGTTTTATGTACCATAAGTAGATTTTTTGCTTTCGATATTAATTTATTTTAATACATTGTAGCTTAATATCGTTTTTTAACATTGTTTTTTATTCCTTCCTTCCTCAATTAATAATTGTAATGTAATATTCCTACATTATTTGATAAAAATATTAAGAAATCAAACTAGAATACCATTAAATATCGTCACTGTTTTCAGCATCAATCATAGCATTAGTTTTCAAATGTGAAGACTATTTTTATCAAGTCGGGCGGAGATCTTATTAGGGTAGGTTTATTAATTAAATGATAGGCGACTTCAATAGCATTTTCTTGAATAAGTCGCTTTTGAGATAAGTAATTATAATCACTTTTTTAAAGTTTGAAGTCTGTTCTATTTTTATTTTAATTTCTATTTCATGCTTTTCAGTGATAATATATTTTTATGTAACACTAAAAATATTAAATACTACCTTTCCGCCAACGGCTTCGCCCTCGTCGTCCCTAGGGAACCATTTATTTTGATATAAACACAATGACAAGTTGAATAGCAAACAATCGTTACTACGGTAACTTTTACATTCCCTATACAAAATTCCACTCCCATTTTCATCCTTCTATTTGCTGTTTTTCGGGATAAAATAGCCCTTGTTTACCGCATATGATGTAGCTTCTCGTAGATGAAATAATTTTAAAATCGGTCCAGTGGTTTCGGAGGCTATTCATTACAAACAAACAATCAAACACTTTCCTCTTTATAATATTAGTGTTGATGTAGATCTATACTAGACCTAAACCGCGTATATTATATACGCGGTTTATATAGAAGACTTTTTTATTTGCTCGATATATTTATTCTTTAGGACCGTAATGGTTGAAAGTGTGGGTCCCTATTGTGGTGGTGATGGAGACAACTGGCCAGGGAGACTAAAGGATAATTGTCTCCCTCCGAGCTAGGTGTTGTTAGCCCGGGGACCGCGGTCCAACCGATGTAGGTTGGACGTTCTATTTATGTTAATTGGTAATGTAACTTATTCTGTGCGATGTAGGTTTCTTTGTTCTAAATGTCTTGTAGTTATGAATTTATGCTGTCTGTATTGGTGCAGCGCCATCTCGTTACTTGCTGTTGAAACTTATTGCAGTTCGTCTTGCTATCGATGGCTGTGACGATGCTAGTCTTCTCACTATCGATTGTTGTGGCGATGTTAGTGCGATGAGTTAGATGTCGCTATGTATCAGTCGCCACAATTCCAATAATGCTATTCTCATATTATAAAGAAGAAAGGTTTAATTGCTTGTTTGTTTGCATTAAATGGGCTCCGTAACTTGGTTCGAAATGAAAATTGGTTCTCAATTCAATAAGAAATCGATTGACATACGTACTTTGATTAAAAATATACATACTAGAATTCAAAATAAATAATATTTTCTTTTTTGTCGGAGAAACATGAAATACAACACATACCATATCATCATAAGCAGTCGAATAAGAAAAGAATTTTAAATCTGTCAACAATTAACGGAAATATTGATGGACATGCATAAAAAAAACATACATTACAGTCGAACATATAACCTCCTCTTTTTCGATTATAAAGTTAACAATAATTAACCAAGTAAATAGTGATTTTTCAGTTTCAGTCTCAATACAAGGCGTAAAAAAGACAAACCACAAAAAACCAAATCGGTAGCTATGATTATGTGACTATAAATAATAAGTCATATTTGCAGGGCAATCTCTGCAGGTTGCAGGGATTGCGATAGGTCGTGGGTTCGATTCCCATCTTAGGGTGCCAGGGACCAAGTGGATTTTTAAGCATTTTGTAGAATAATCTCTATGCAGTCGATACAAGAGGAATATAAAGTTTTTTCAGCGTTAATGCCTTAGAATGCCACAACGAAAAAATAGTTGCGAACCAAAAGATCTCCATTCTCTAAGAAGCTAGTTCTAAACTAGGCCATGAAAAAAATCTGGTCCGATAAAATATAAATTGCAATGATAATAATCAATTTATGATAATGAATTACCAAACTTTTTAGCAGACCTTCTTTAACTAACACTATAAGTATTTGCGTGCGTTTAGTGTAAGAAAATTAAATGTGTAAAAACAATTAGAAATAAAACATTAATGATAACATTAAATAAAAAGTTTCTTAATATAGGTTTCCACATATAGAAAAGAAACAAAAATAGTTATAATTACTTTATTATTATAAATTACCGTTAATTTCCTTTTCTTATTTAATTTTATCAATCCAATTCAGTATCACGAATTGGTATGGAATACAATTGTATAAAATCGGATATCATCGAACTAGGCGGCTCGCTTACTCCTGTTGCTACAATATTAGATAAAAGTGGTAAATCGTAACTAATATCTCTTTGTTTCTTCCAGAAACAAGTAGCTATAGCTGTTATGGTAAATAAAACTATACCAAATATGATTCCGGCCCACCAACTGACGTTAGTGAAAACTGTCACTTTCACATTTTTACTACAAACGTTTCTAGAAGCAAGAGTTGTTGCACAAACACGTACTATATATCTATCGACTTTTACAGACTTCACTATCATGTACGTTTTATGTCCCGCTTGACACCAAAGCTGCGGTATTAACTGAGATCTATCGTCAATCTTCACAGAAGGTGATACTTGTACCGTGTACGACAATACCGGACCATTGGTTATCTCGGGAGGATCCCATTTTATAGATATAAAACCATATTCATTAGCACTCGCGTAAACAATTGTTGGCATATCAGCATAATCGGCCCGCAGTGTTCTGACCACACCCCTTGCTGATCTACTACATTGGTTACCACTACAAGCTCGCAGTCTAAAACGATAATCTCGAAATGGTGCTAATCCTCCAACTTGGAAATCATTTCTTGGCCCTTTTATGTTTAACGATAAAGTTCTTAAAAACTTTCCAAACGAAGTGTTTGTAGGTGGAGGAGCTTCAACGTTGTTGCAGCCAAGTTCTATACTGCTACACACATCAAAATACTCTTCAACCATAGCTCCAGCGGTAACCGTAGAGAGAATTCCACACATAGACTCGCAACCTCTATCGTAATCTGGAGGTGGTCTCATTACTACGGCATGTCTAAAAATGTCTATCTCTTCATAACGTTCTGTCTCTTTACAATGATCCCTTGCCATAACGTCTTGTGGGTAAATTTCAACTAAAGTCACATCAATTTCATATCTAGTTATATGAGGCCTATAAACTTTATGATCCACCCATCTTAAGACTACAACTTCAGAAGATGAAGCAACTAGCTCTAAAATAAATGGTGGCTCAGGTTTTCCGACTGGAGTTGAAAAATTAACAATTCCGCTACGAGCAAGGATCTTTTTAAGAGGGTCATATTTTTCAACACAAAGGGCGTAAGATGAAGCTGGCTGTAATAATTCGGTTAACTTGACAACACTATTATTATGAATTTCATTCGGAATATTATAAGCATACCAATCGTTATCACTACAGGTTTCTGGTACGAATATTTTACGGGAGCCTTGAGGCAGGCGCATGTATAATATAGCATAATGAGCGTCAGGATTTGCGACATGTGTGAAATTTACTGCAATCGATGTTTCATTGATAACTGTTACATGTAAACCAACTGAGGCTTTAGTACAACCACCACTGTATCCATTTGCCCCAGGGGGTACGTCTGCTGGGCCTGGTACTTTTGGAAATAAGTGCTTTATCTTCTCAAGCTCACTTGAACACAACATTGGATTACTATTAAACAACATGGTTCCGTTGGAAATTATCAATTTCTTTGTAACATTTTCTGTAAAAAGACTCTGGAGACTTATCATGTCGTATACTAAAAGACTGTAAGTTTTGTTTCTCAATATTCGACCAGATATTAAGCGGAGTGAAGGTAGAAATTCTAACGATGTAACTGTAGGCATGCCGTAAATCACAACATAATCAGACACTTCTTCTATCTGTCCTAAATATCTTTTAAGCTCTGTCATCACATCCGGAAGAAAACGAACGTGAATAATTAGCGTACCATTTACTTTCACACATCTACTCGCTTCTTGCAATTGTGCTAATGTATGTAGCGTCAAATTTCCACACGTCTGAAAAGAAACATTATTTTAGTCTCAAATTCTTCAAATTCTTTCACATTTGATAGGTATCGTGACGCCCGGTCCAACAGCGTCTAGTCCCGTCTCTGTTGGAGAGAGCGATTACATGATAGAGGCGCCGTATTTTTTGAAAAAGAAAACCCTTCGCAAGCCAAAGTGAATAGAAAAATGCCTGCTTTATTTACACAATTTGTGATTTCAGCGGTAGTCAATGGTTATCAAGAAATAATGAAGAAACTAGTATTAGTCACAGTATCTAACAATACCAAGGTACTGACTGCAAAATTATAAAAATCTTATTTGTCTATAGAATCTGTAATATTAATCTCAATATCAGCTTTAATTTTAATTATGATAAGTATGGGCATGTAACATAGTTTCATACAAAATCATTACGTGTAAATTAGTAGTAATCAAAAATGATACAATTAAAGGGCCAAAACATGATTCTATTATGACTTTTTTTACAAAAGGATAAATTACTAAGTAACCTCTAACATTCTCATTTTTTTCTCATTTTTTATCGATACTGTTCCGCTAAAAAGAAAAACTTAAAATTGAGTGGTGGTCTCAACTTTAATTTTTCTCCCTGATAATTAAATCCTTGATAAATATTATTTAACATTTTTTCAAACTTTGAAGTCGGTTCTATTTTTTTTTTAGTTTCTATTGATATGGATATCGATTAAAATCATGACACGGCTATGAAATATATTTACAATGACAAATTGAATAGTAAATTATTATGTTATATGGTAACGTTTTTGTTCCCTATACAAACTTTCACTCCCATTTTCATCTCTTTATTTAGTGTTTTTCTGGATAAAACATAGCCTATGTTCACCGCATATGATGTAGTTTCCCGTAAGTGTATGAATTTTCAAAATCGCTCCAGTTGTTTCAAAGCCTATTCGTTGCAAACAAACATACAATCAAATCTTTCATCTTTATAATATTAGTACCTACAGATATAAATAAAAATATAGTGTACATAGTGAAGGTCTTAGAAAAGAAGATTTTGTTTATTTGCTCGACATATATTTTTTTTAAATAATCCTATACTCATATTACAAAGACAAAAGATTTGATTGCTTGTTTGTTTGAATTGGATAGGCTCCGAAACTATAGGACCGATTTATGAATCTTTCATCTACGGGAAGCTACATAATACGCGTTGGGCATAGGCTATAGTTTATGCAGATGAAGTCCCGGAGGAACAGCTAATTTCATAGAAATTGGTTCACAATTCAAGAAGACACCGATTAACATACCTACTTTCATAAAAAAATACATGTACTACCTGAAAATAAAAAATCCTCCTTTCGAATTTCAATTAAAATGTAATATAATACATATCATCTTAATATTTAGTAGATGATTTTTATGAATATTTAGTGAAAAGCTTATTTTGTTTTGCTATAAAAAGAAAACTACCGATTCGATTTCGACCACCTCAGTCCATTAAGCTGTCGAATAAAAAAATAATTTTGTAAATCAGCCAACAATTACATACATAAAAAACATACATCGCCATCGAACACATAATATAACTTCCTTCTTTTAGATTTGAAGTCGATAAAAATTAATAAGCATGAGAGTTCTTTTGTAGCCAATGTGATTATGGCAATCTTTTATAATAATGGTTATGTTTTGCGAGTAAGTAATTAAAAACAGTTTTTGTCTAAAGTAAAAAAAAAAATTGTCCGCGCTCAACGTCAACACACGATAAAAATGTAAATACGAAAGGTCAATTACTTTGGTTATAAACAGTGGTCGGAATTAGGTAGAGTTATTCATGTACTTACACTGATTTCATACAGCGAAAGAATAAAGTGGACATGCCTCAAATCCCGAGATTAATTTTAAAGAGCAGAAAAAATCTCGTGATTTTTTAAATAAAAAGTTATTTACTTTTACACAATTTAAACTACTACGCACGACGCTGCCAAACTTACACCAATGACATCGGATGTCCAAAGTTGCAAAATACCAATTTGTATTGTAAATTAATGTAAACTAATAAAAATTTTATGTTAATTATCTTTGTTTTATTTGTCTATCTCTGACGTTGTTATTATTATTTAGTTATAAGATTGTTGGCCACACGGGATTGTCCATTAGAAATCCCGGGAAGGTCCACATTAATATCAACATTTCGATGCAAGTACATAAATAACTCTACCTAATTCCGACCTCTGGTTATAAATCAAAAACTCGATACTATCAAGAGATTTGTAAATTATAGTAGTTTTGGTTAACATCACCAAGACCATGATAGTCTATCATAACACGATCAATTGACTATCGCTATTGAAAGAAGAATAATTTTTAAGGTTACAGGAGCGTACTTATAATAGCACCATTTATAGTACCTATATAATTAATAATACTAACCTCTTCGCATCTGTTGCAAGGCATACATCTGTAACCGTTGGGACCCATTACCGCTTTATATCCAGCTGTACAGTTAAAGACACAAGAGTTTTTGAATTTCCAACCAGCAAGGTAGCGGCATTCGGGCTCTGTGACACAATATCCGATATCTGATACTACCAACCTGATAAAAAATATTACATTTGATTATTATTGTATTCATAATGTTTATTGATATTTATCACCAGTCGCTTTGATATAATAAAGTCTGTTTTATTAATTGTTATTCTCCGTGGCAGATTACCTTATAATAGACACAAGTATAGAGTATATAAGAATTAATATTTAACATTCGGGTCATCAGTTAAATCCTATTTGGGTCATTAGACTTTCAAATTTATGGTGTACTATCCAAATTGAAATGAATCACATATTATCCAGATAATTTGATTTTTTTTCTTCAATCTACAACTTTGATCTGACCTGTGATTCTGTTAAAATCTTAATTCGATTTCATTCCGGTAATAACGTTTCGTAGCGTAAGTGAAGTGAGTTGCGAAATGACATAGGAATAGAATATCTGAGACAAGTATGGATCAACCGATCTTGTTTTGTATTTTTATAAAAAATATCAATAGAACTTCTAAACTAAATGACGTGACTTCGAACACATGAGTGAATTCAAGTTCGGATTTTTATAGAATCTCTGATCGTTGATCACGATACAGACTGATCATCTAATCGCCGGCTAATGGGTGGTCTGTATTTGTAGTATCTCTTACTTTCCACATTCTGAACATCGGTATTAGTAGTCATAATTTATCGGCCAAGGGCGACTATTCTCGTTGATTATACCTCACCAGCACCCCACTGAGCAGGGTCGCCAATAAGGCACAAAGAATCATCTACAGTCGTACACACCCATCAATTCGCTTTGAGACTGCGTGATGGCGTAGGCCCATACTCCCTATTCAATTTCTTCCATCCATAGGGAAGGCCTGTTTTAGCAGTGGACTGATTTGCTGATGATAGTAATAATTAACAATGAAAAATAACATATTTCTTATTTATCATTGACTATTCATGATGAATTATAGTTATGTAACAGGTCATCGAACTAGCTTACAGTTTCCTTATTAGGTATAGTACATATATTAACAGTATGTTAATTATGATAGTTACCTCCTATACCTCCTTTATTTAAAATGTAACAATGAAACTGAAGTACGTTTCCTATTTTCAATAAAATAAAATGTGCACCTACAATTACTGACGGCTGTTAGGTAGTCTTTGAAATTTTAAAAGGGGTAACGAATGAAATGCATTTGATACCAAGTAGTAATATACTTACCACATAGTTTGAATTTGCAATTTACCTCGCAAAAGTTGCGACCACGTTTAGAACTACTAATTCAAATCATACATCTTTTCATTAGTCTCAAACTTACATAACGGTATCAAATTTCAACTCAAGTAGTCTCGAAGCAAATAGCTGTGAAAGATACATAGGCAACACGAGGATACTCCGTTTTTTCGTTATTTCCGTTCTTTAGTTTTTAGGTATGAAACTTTTGTGTTTTGTGTTGCTAACAAAGAACCAGTTCTAGTGATAAACCTGACGTGTAACAAATATTTTAACAGCCTGAAGCCACTTCGTTGCATATTTGCATGATAACGAGCCACACATAATGGTGTAATAATAATTTCTGCCCAATAAGCCAGCTAACAGTGTTGCCAACGCCTATCCACCAGATTAGACTTCCGAATCCACCAGAAAACTATTTACTTCTTTCACGACATCACTAATTTCTTCTCATTTGTTGGGTATTACGAAGAAAACAATGTGTAATTTTATTCATTAATATACCAACTCCAGAATTTTGACTAACAAAAATTGAGGCCAAAAAATTAAAAAGGAAATAAAATTTAAACTAAAACTTTTTTGATAGACCTAACTAAAGAACCTAGGCTACCAACCACTACACAATATTTCACAACTAAAGTAGGATCGAAGCTACCACTTTTAGTGGAAAGTCTGCTTAGTCGACAACACTGGTTATCAATTTCGAATATGTCTAATACACATTGTGGATTCATACTCACGCTCTGGACACAGTAAGGCCTAAATGTGCACATGATTCTGTGATAATTAAACCGCCAATTAGTGCGCTACTGTCTGCTTTTGCTAAATCTAAATTTAATCAATCAATCCACGTGTATTTAACCAGTAAATCAATTTCAAAATTAGATAGAGGTATTGTGGTAATATGGTATTCTAAATGCAAAATTGATCAATATAATATTCAGGTATGACACTGTGAATATAAAATTTATCAAATATACCAAATAAATACTCACGTGTTAACAGGACATTTTGTTAGACATTTATCCCTATAAGTTCTATATCGACAATTGGTGCACAAATTAGGATTAACATTACGACAGCCAAGACATACATCATTGCACTTTTCCTTGTCTGGACCTTCCAAGTAGCGCTGACATTTCCTGAAGCAAATATTGGATATTTAATAAATATTACTTTAATTAATATCTTGTAGACAGCGGGTAAATAACGTCATTGTTTACTCACTGTCTACAGGATTTTGTTATTTACGTGAGCTAATTTTAACAATAGAGCTTATTTTCAAATTTACACAATATACGTATATTTTTATTTAGCATATCAACCATTAATAATGAAGGTATGTCCCTGAGATTCATTATTGATATCAAAAAAAAATGTTTTTACTAAGTTATTGAACATACTAATGAATTTAAAATTTGCTGTTAACAATGAAGGTGAGAAAAAAGAAAAGATATACATATTTACTTTATATTCCAACAGTGATTGGTAGCAACATCTGTCGTACATGAGCATACAGAGTTACAGTGCATAGCTCCTTCAGATGAGGCCAACACATGGCGTGCTTGAGGTGCTATAACTTTCCAATTTATTGTGTGAACGTAGCAGATCTGAGGAACAGTCCACACTATCACGCCGCCTCTATATATGCGCATAAGACTGTAAAGTCCCACCTGTTACAGAACAATAAACTAAGATTAAGTACCTAATAATGGAGAAGACTCTTGTGCAAGAAAGTCCGCAATCCATCCTCGCCCGCGAGGGTGGACTGGTAAGTTTACAAATACTTATTTGACACGAATAGCTTCGATTTTATTGGCTTCAGATTAAACAAAATAAATTGGAGATATCACGTAGGTATAATGTATATCATTCGTCCAACAGCTCAACATCAAGCAACAATTTTAGGTGCTAGTATTTATAGATCCAGGTGTAATTAATGAAACGCTGTCTCAATAAGATTTATGAAAACGAAAGAAAATACAGGTTTCATGAAAAATATGTGCTATGGTAAACGTCCATTTTATTAGCACGCACGCGCCGACTGCAAGACACACAACGGATTCTCCATATCTTAGTATGAATTTGTATGGCACTCTGTCCACTATCCGCTCCGGCCTTACCACAGACACGCAAAATATGAGCAATGAAAATACTGATGACACCATAAGGGTTTACTAGTTGAATACATAGAGCTACTATACATTACTTTCATAGATCATCGACACTCCAGATGTAATTTGCAGTGCTTATTAACTAAGTGTAAAACCGGAAAAACTGTCCAATGCATTGCGTATCGTGCGGCCGCCGGTGCGTGCATGCTGGCACAGCCGACGACCACTCTTAATGTACCAAACAGAGTTTTATTAAGGAATATAGCCCAAACAGTAACTATTAATTCTTAACACCTATTGATTCAATCCGATACCAATCTCATCAAAGTAACGTAGCAGCCCTGTGGTAATGGTCACAAAATGATAATAGGTCAAACGGATAGTTGAAGATTGGATCTGCCTTTAAAGGCAGGATACAGCGTAGAAATTTAATGGGTTTATTCGGTGCTACCCAAGCTCTCGAAATCGAACAAGTCGAACTTACAAAGAAGAATCCTAACCTCGTTATATTATAAATAAATAATTTAAAGAAAAACAAAAAACCCAACTGCGTAAAGCGAATTTTAAAAAATACATGAAAAAATCAACTTAAATAAAAACTAAAAAGAAGGAAACAAGCCCAGTAGTTTAGAATTCTGTTAAGTAATATAGAACAGAACGACTCATTCCCTTTGGGAAAATTTTATTGGTAAAATTTGAATGGGCCCCGACTACGAGTCGTTCTGTTCTGTATTACTTAACAGAATTCTAAAGTACTGGGCTTGTTTCTTTCTTTTTAGTTGTGTTCTGTATTACTTAACAGAATTCTAAATTACTGGGCTTTTTTCTTTCTATTTAGTTTTATTTAAGTATATTTAAGTAAACGAACATACCTAATGTTCGTTTATTACTCAAAGCTTTCACCAACAATTTTATTCACAAGGATTCCGAGTGCACTTTATATAAAAATGTAGATGGATAAATTAAACACTAGAAATGTTATAAAGAAATTCTTAGTTTGCTTATTTTCTTCGTAAACTAATCTTTCCATTATTTCTATGATATAGAACTGTGAAAGTCTCTTTGTTTGGATATTTGGATGTTTGTCAGTCAATCACGCCGAAACTACTGAACGGATTTTTATGAAATTTGGTATACATATAGGGTATTAGCTGACTTTTTATCCCACAAATTTTTTTCTCTGGGGACCACGCGCGCAACGCCGCAGGCGAAAACTAATTAAGAAATAAATTTAACAACAAACGACGGCAACGATTTCATTGAATATTACACCCGTAACATTACAAACAAAGAAGCAAAATGTTTACCTACTTAATTATGAACCTAAACAAACATCTTCCTATAACCTCGTTGATAAAAATATTAAAATGTAATATCAGTGTTCATAGTTCTTTGTTGCTTTTGCATAACCAGAGCAATTTAAACGTACTGCATATCTTAAAATAACTCTATTAGAATTTCAATTGCTGCATCTCATTTTTAATGCAAACTAAGAACGCTTTGGCGATCTCTGGCGCTCGAATGTTTCACATATTTATTTTTATTAGTTTTATTGATATGCTATATCTAATGACTTTTATGATGTAGGTAAATATGAAACGGTTGGTATAATTCGTTGTTTTTGTAATTCTGATTCCTCTAACAGAGTAGCAGTATGATACTCTCAGTATGCTTTGGTCCTCATCAAAATTATATGGCGCTATCCATTAGGACATACTTAATACGATTTAGAGGGAGAGGATGAGTCTCGTCAGTTCCTTTGTGAGATAACTCGAAAAACGCACACGTTCGGAAATCAGTCCGTGAAAAATATTATTCTTTAAAAAAAGCAAAGGTACATTCTTTTTTCCTGAGATTCGTAAGTGTAAACCATTAAATAGAAGACCTGGACCGGTCAATTATACTTTTAGTGTACCTTCCGTTTTTTATGTAAGGGAAGATTGGATCAATGGAGGACGTCTATTACAACAATATTCTTTGTGCTTTGGCATAAACACCGTACCTACGAGCTTACCTCTTTAAGGTCAGGCATATCAAAGATGATCAAAGCATAATCATACACCACTTCTTTCCCTCTAATAATAGAAAGATTCGGAAACAATTGGCCCAGCGATTCTAGACCATTAACACGATAGAACACCACATATCCACTGACCTGAAATATACAAATAAAACATAAATATAATAATGTAATCTTACCAGTATATTATTTATGTTCTAGTTGTTAGTTGTATTAGAAAGAACTAAGAGGTTTATCTCCACGCAAGTCATCATATCGTCTTGCGTGTGTTCAACACGAATGAAAGTCAAACTAACAAAAACACTTAACATTTACAATTTTAGCGTTATGGTATATCTTGAAGCGTTTTCATTAAATTTACTAATGAAACAAAACTAAATATAATGCTATCTTACAAATACTTCATACACTAACTTATACCTTAATGAAATAAAGGAGGCTTCACTGTTTCTGTGATACAGAATTAAAAGTACATCTTATCAAATCATTGTAGTCTAAAACATTCTATATTCTTTTAAATGAAATGAAAATAAAAATAAAATTATAAATCAGTAGAAATAGTTAGATGCGACAAACCCCAGTCACTGAAGTGTGAAAGGGATGTTTGAAAGAAAAATATAATATGAAATAAAAAAGGCAGAAGAAAAACGAGGACTGGTATGAAAAGTAAACAAAGACCTGCTACTGAGTGGGGGAAATTAGGCAGCTCTGCTAATAATCTAAGGCCGGGCATTAAAAAAACCTCTGTATACTAATAAAATAAAGAGGAAAGATTTGACTGGTTGTTGAAACTATTGGATCGATTTTAAAAATGATGTCACCTACGGGAAGCTACATCATACGCGGGTAATTGAACTAAAATTAAATGAACTCTTGTTTTTGAAAATCTATCAAGTTATTGCAACAATAGTTAATTAGAACAAGCATTTTCACATGCATAGTATGAGTTTTTAACGCCTCATTGATAGGGTGAGATTTCCCATAACATACCTCCTTTAGTTTCGGGAATGACATATTTCGAAAATCATCTTTATGAGCTTGCTCCATTAACAAAATGTGTAGGTTGCCCAATATGACCACGCAATCGCTGAGTTGTGGAAGTTTCTCTATTTTGTTGCAAAATATACTTCTGCACACACCATTTATAGTGCCACTGTGCTCTGGACTGAGTTGCTGAGCTGACGCGAAGTTGAGAAACGCTACAACCCTAAAACAAAATTTTAAATAGTACTATTAATTATTCAGATATTTGAGCTCGAATGTAAGATAACGCGTTCGATCGTTGATGCTATGATTAACCAACTTTAGCAAAGGGCTGATCACAGGATGAGATTTTATGAAATTTAGTATACGGATAATACGCATGAAACTTAAAACAAATTTCACGAAACTAATTTCGACACTTATGAAACTACTTTGGTAATGACGTGTCTCTGAGACACAAGTGGTCAACATCGAAGCTTCACTATGCGCAGATGGAGTCGTGACACTAGTTTTGCCACGTAAATCGAAGCGAAATTAATTGCGTGAAGGTAGTTTCATCCAAAATATGCGCTTGACACGAAACTATTGCATGCATTTTGAAAGTAGTCTTTACACGTGCTACTGGTAGCAAAATTAATGCAACGAAAGTAGTTTCATGTAACCCATGTAACCATGTATTTATTATGTAAATTAGACTGACCCGCAGGTGGAGACAATTAGCACGGAGCAGAATTGCATATTTATTTTATGAGTAAGTATTATATATTACTCTTTTGATTAATTAAGATAAAATATCTACTATAACATTATTAAATTAAATAAATTATAATAATAGAGTAATTATGAACGATAAAAAAATTTAAACGTAATAGTGGTTTTATTTAACATATTCTCAGTTCTTTTGAGATTATCAATATTTATGTTTCCGTTACATAATTAGTCTCAGTCAGAATTATATAATATTTAAAGATGCGATAAAGATAATACAAAGTAAATCGACAAATAGAAACATAATCACTATACATATCAATACGAAGATAGAGATAATTAAAACTGTATTATATAACAATGCTTGAAAAGCCATGCCCTATAAACTACTATTAAAATATTATTTAAGATGTTAATATATAAGATGTACATTTATTCTTTACGAGGGATTAGTAACATTAAAGTCGTACAATATAACTATTAACCAGTATAGTAACTAGAACTATTTGTGGATATAAATACCTACGTTTCATGGGAGCGTAAATCAGTGGGTACATAAGGCTCACCCCGCACGCTGCTTCAATAATTCGGAATGAAATATTGGTCTTATTAACTTCCAACATTAGTAAGTGGGCAATTTAAAAAACGGAATGCGTAGTACAGAATATACTCGCACCATTTTTATTTAGATCGTGGACTTTTCGCGGTAAGGTCGATTGCAACGTCCGGTTAGGAGCCTCGTAGAAACGTGCGTTTCTATGTGCGCATGAATTCGACAGTTTTTTCGTAGTTGGTTGACTGATTATAAAGGGTGTCCAGCGGAAAATTTTCAACTTGAAAATTCCATATAATAAAACGACATTGCTTTTTATATTTTTATTTCTATAAAATGTAGATAGACAGTGCGGACTTTATTTTTTGAAAATTCTGTCGTCCAAGTGACGGCCATTTTTACCATCACACTCTTGTAACCGTACCTTAAGATTTGCGAAAACGCGCCGGATATTTTCAAGTAGGGCTTCAATAGTCCGGGGATTGTTGCTATAGATCTTTGATTTAAAGTGTCCCCACAAAAATTTATTACTAAAAAAACCTCGATGCTTGAAATAAATTATAGAAATCAATGTTGACTTTAACTTTCTTTGTATTAAGGTATGTAGCAAATGTACCGATAGAGATATGGAATATTTAACGATATGATCATTGGGTACACATTGCGGTCTCGATAGAACGTTCTAGGTGAAGGTTCCCAGGTGGAATATTGGCAACAACAATACGCACGCACTGAAGCTGTACACGTTGATTTTCGCCCTTTTTAAAGTCAAAAGCCAGCAGTTTACGCTTTATGAATATGTTCGATGCGATATGTCACACGCGACGATAAATTGAATTTGGAAAACGTCGGATCATAGATCATTTGAAAAGATGTGTGCTATGCGCGATCGGTTAAATGTCTTCTCACGGGCATACCCTCTAGTTGTTCTAATTAGTACGGCGTGCATGACAGTTTTTTATCAACTGCTTTGTGGGGCAACACCCAGTGTAAAACCTTCCACTAATATTAATACAAAATTAGATAAAAGCATAATTATGATGACGGAACAAGATATAAAAACTGTATACTTTTTATGGTTTGCAAAACTTTGACGGTTTTGGGTATGCTGATGTACTGTTGACTATCTACACAAATCATTGACATAACTAGGGTTGCCACCTTTTATTATGAAAGAATTTAATATATTAAAGTTCCAATTTCTATTTTAACATTTCCATATACTAGAGAGCTATTTGATATACAGGCTTTCCATAAGGATATAATCAAATCGGATAAAGAGAATAGGCTATGACCTACCAAGCCCAATGCGGATTGGTGGGATTCAACGACTACAGATGCAGCCGGGACCAACTGTTTAACGTGCTTTCCGAAGGAAGAATTCTAGATAGTAAATTTTTGCTCACCACCTATCCTATGACCGGTCATTGCTAAAGTTGCTTAACAACCTTATCGCAGACCAAGCACGGTAGCTACTGCGCCATCGAGCTCCTACACCATATTTGATGTTACGAAAATAGAATCAAACTTTATGGAACGCATTACAGAGTAGGTATACATCTGTTATTTAAGAGGTCCAAGACAGTGGATATGAATTTCTAAACATCCTTTTAATATTATAAATGTGAAAGTTTCTTTGTTTGAATGTTTTTCCGCATACCGTTTTTTGTGGAAACTACTGAACAGATTTTGATGAATTTTGGTATACAGGGTATTAACTGACTTAGATAATAGAATACTTTTTATCCCACTTAACATTTCCCTAGAGTCCACGCGGGCGAAGCCGCTCCGAAAACTAGTAAACAATATTTCTATCGGTTTTGTATATTTCGGCTTTCGATTTAATAGTATAAATCTCAATTTCAATAAGTCCAAATGTTGTAAATCTTGTAATTTCGCATTTATATAAGGATCACAATATCATCGACGCTACAATAACTGTTTATTTATTTACTTATATTTCTTTATATTCAAATATACTTTATGAGTCCACTAACAGGTAAGCAAATATATTAAAAGTACCACTTTACTGTTAACACAATGCTATATTGAAAAATGTTCTTAATGCAAAATGATTAAAAAATCCACTTTGTCCCTGGCACTCTAAGATGGGACTTGAACTTACGACCTCAGTGTCACTACATAGTGGATTTTTAAGAATTTTTCATTAGAAATATTTACAGTGTTATTTATAAACCAGGTTTACAGTTAGAGCAAATTTAAGCTGAGACTACGCTAAGTATTCATTCACAAAATTCATATTATTTAACAGAGATTTAGCAAAAATTAACTTAGTACGAGGTTCTACGGGAGTATTATTTACCCCTAGAAGGTAGTAGGTTTACTTATTCATTGTATAATATGAATTTGGACTAATACTAAAATTTCAATTTTACCGTACATTTACTCTGACGCTAAACTTTGTTTAGCACACAATACAGAACAAAAAAACGACATCAATTAAGTGTCACAATCGGCGATATAGAGATGTCTTCTCTCTACAGAACACAGAAAAGAGTTACCTGTGTCTTCTCTCCATCAACTATCTTAAAAGTACGTTGATGTATAAAAATCTTATGATTACAATGTTACTAAAGAATAAAATAATATTAATGTGACAACTTTTCAGTTACAATATGTACTAGGTAATTTTTTAAGTTACGTATACATACCAAATCACCGTCGTCGACGCCATACCACTTTAAATTTCCTCTCAAAATCAAATCTTTTATATTTCTTCTTCTTAATACTATTAGGAGATTTGTTAAATACAATACGCCTCAGCAATCTAAGGTGTGCGTACCGGAAACCATGTATGGGAAAACACATTGTCTACTCGATTTCCCATGGCCCTTTCACAGCTATTATTTATACGTTTTGTTATATTCAAAGCAATTCAGACTGGTAGATGTTACATAAAAACATTTTATCAAGTACCTTTTAAACTAGAAATTAATAGTCTATCTCAAACACTACGTTCTAAAATTATAATCCGTACCACCGAAGTAGATTATCGGGTTTTACAATATGATTTTATTGCTAGAAAAAATTATATACCACTTAATAAAAATAACTGAACGAAATACTAAGATAGAACTATATTAATTTTTATATATAAAATTAGTTTTAGAATGCTGAATCAAAAAAATAACATCAATACTGATATCACACACAAATACGAAGTTTCTCTATTAATTTCTATGCTATTATATATCTTAAGTAATCAATAATTTTCATTACATTTATTCACAATAAACAAGCTAACGAATAACAAGATGCACTTTTATAATAATCAGTTTCAATTACAACCGTACTACGGCACTTCTAAATTAATACTGTTGATAAAGTTATTACAAATAATAGGAAACATGTATTAATAATTAAATTTAATGACTACAATACGTAACGATAAAATACAGACTGATCAACTAAGAGCCGAAACCATTTCTTTAACGTTAGAACGTCACTAATAATATTAGTTCACGACCTCATTTATTGCTTATAAGGATACAGGATGATTCTAATGTAAGAGACACCATTGTAAGCTTTTTATATTGTCAACGTGTACTGTATTATACTTGCATTAATTGCAGGACAAATCTGCCGTTTACAATACTACATAATAAATAAAAATATAAACTATTATTATAAAATTTACCTATAAAAATATAAACTACTGAAGTTATTATATTGGATTAATTTTGCATTCACAATGCTATTCTGAAAAATATTCTTAATGAAAAATGCTAAAAATCCACTTTGTCCCTGGCATTCTGAGAACGGACTCGAACCCATGACTTTTCGCAATCCGGCCGACTGCTCTAGTCATTAAGCTATCCAGGCCCTAACATGACTGACGAATTCTTCAAGCACTTGTTACTTTTTCGCTACTACAGAGCGTATTTTCATCAATGTTCAGGCAGCCTATTCAAACAGCCGAAAAAAATATTTTTAGAAATATTAGAACTTTCGACAAAGATGAAAATTTGTTATATTTGATCAATCAGCACTCACAATGCTATACTGAACAATATTCTTTAAGAAAAATGATTGCTTGAACATTGATGACTGCCTGAAAATACGGTCTGTAGTAGCGAAAAATAACAAGTGCTTGAAGAATTCGTCAGTCATGTTAGGGCCTGGATAGCTCAATGACTAGAGCAGTCTCCCGGATTGCGAAAGGTCGTGGGTTCGAGCCCCATCTTAAAGTGCCTGGGACTAGGTTGATTTTTTAACTATTTTTCAGTAAGAATAATATTCAGTATAGCATAGGAATGACGACTGGCTAAAAAAAAGTCTGCTTCAATTTAAACAAGAAATGGCTTAGATAAAAGGCATTAAATTTGAGGAGTGGGAGATCGCTACGTCACAGTTTTGTAGAAAATGTGCAAAAGCGTGACGTCATGTGACATTTCAGCTCAATGTATCGCCGTAATTTATTGATTATGCAAAAAATAAAAATAAAAAATCCTTATTTAATATTCTTCCATAATCTACCTACAAACAAACAAACAAAAATAAGTAGTCATACGAATTGTGAAAACAAAATTGATCAAATATAAGTAATTGTATTATTCTATATTGGCCCAAACCTTATTTTATAATAGCACCATAAATAAAACGTCCTGTAGATGTAGGGGATCTATAGGTCAAGTGGCTTAACAAGGAATATTGCATTTTACAAAGTACAACTGGTGCGGGTCGAGTTCAGATTTATGACTTGCTTTGATCAATTTAAAAAAAAAACCATTCATTACGAAAAAAGTAAAGTTGAACGAATACCGAGAACTTCTTTGTCCTAAGATGAAAAGTCAATTTTTGGAATGATAATTTGTCGTAATAATCCCATCTCAACTACTTGCGTTTTGCCATTGTAGAGGTACTATCACCTGAAGTCCTTGTCATGCACATTACAAACCATTGTTAATTTGGTCAAAAAGAGCCCATTTCGGAAGCCAATCACTCGGAAAGATACTTTTGCTTATTATTTAGTAGAATTTGTGAGTTATTTCAAATACATACATATATAACAACCACAAATATTGGACACCTACATTTATTATTTTATATTTTTATAAAGAGGAATATTGTGTCCTAGCATGCACTAAGTATCACACATAATACATAAGTAAATTTTTAAGGATGACTATATAATATCTCAAGACCTTTAATATGTTCAGTATTATTTTTGACATGAAAAGCGACAAAACAGTTTCTCTCAGGTTTGAAACATAAATGAACCCTGCATATTTCACAAATATTATTTTTTCTATGTGATTTGGTCCACTTATTCTTTCTTCAGTCCACTCTTTCTATTCGCTGCTTTTATTAATTCGTGAGTCAGCAATGATCTTTCTTGGCAACGACTGATGTAATTTTGTATGCGTTTCTGTGTCGTGAGTCGTAGACATGGATGGAAGGGCATTTTCCTTGCAAAAATGCTACTATGATAGTTTTTCTTGTGATTAATCTTCTTCCAAAGAATATTTATATTAGATATTATTAATTTAACCTTCAGTTATTTTAGTTTGTAACTTGGCTTTAATTTTATAAGCATTATTCAATTGCAATATTGGGTAGATCTAAAAACAAGCGAAGGTTACATTTTATTTGCGATGTGGTGTCGATTTTGTAGGTGACTTTTCCTTTAATCTATCAAATCTACTCTCCACGACTTTCATACAGTACCTATCTAAACTTGTAGCAGTTAGTTTTAGTGCCGAACACTTTTACGTCGTTTAGTTTGCTTCGGAATTGGTGTTAAGAAATTCGTTAGCAGATGAATACCTTCGTTATCCATCTACATAACAAACTTAATCTTTTCAAAGCTGGTCGCATATTCTCACTCTTTTGATTTCTTTAGTGTCATTACTTGTAGGTACATGCAATATAAAGAGTAGTATACTGAAACGAAATATCGCCATAACAATGATAAGATGTCATATCCTGTGTCGAGAATTACGGCTAGAGAGTTATGCAGTCGCACCGCGGCTATCGCATGAACCATTATTTTTAGACAGTTGAAATTTTCACAGATTATATAACAACAAATACTAAAAACAAAATAAAATAAATATCGGAGGTGGGGCTTCCATACAGCAAACGTATTTTTTGCGTTTTTAATTAATAATGTTACGAGTATTTCGTTTTTAATTAATGATGATGCACTTGATGGATTTTTGAATTCAATTTTCACGTCACTAAAAGTGTAAAAAATGCCGGCTTGTGCGGTTATTAATTACAAAACAAGAAGCCAATCCTCAAGTAGGTCCAAAGGAGGGATTTCTTTTCATTAGTAAGTAGAACACTTCTCAAATTTAGTATTTTTAGTCGAAAGGGTTTAGCCGGATACGTATGACGAGTCGGCCCCCAAATGGGAATCGATATTGAAACTTATGTGTTAATATCGACTTGATGTTCAAACACGATTTATGTACTTTTCGCGACCGACTTCCGCTTTGACCTTGAGATAGAGAGCAAAATATCCGTATGCTTGACTATTACTGAATGTGATATATCTCTAAAGCTAATTAAGATAAAGAAGTGAAACTAACGCGAGGTGTTAGGTTACATTACAGAGTATATCACATATATTTTTTTATAATTTTTAGAATAAAAAATTACATTAAAAAAATAAAAAATAAAAAAATCATGTTTTTTTTTCTGAGTTCTCTGTGACTTACAATCACGAAATTAATATATGTTATGCTCCTTTGTGTGCTCTATTACCCATAAAAATTGCGTGAAAAAAAAGTTGGTGCAACACAACGAAAAAAAATTATATGTGATTTCTGTCTTATGGTATACCCCTGTATTATAAGGTTTTCACATTACATCATTGTTTTTTTTTTCGAAATTTCACATCAGCTTGTTTTAAAACATAAGTAACTAGTTTTAAGAGATGGGATAATAGTCAAAAAAGAAATGAAAAAAAAAACAGCCAGTGTTCAATACTTATTATTATTACTTTTTCGTGTCTATCAAAATACAAGAAACAAAATATTAATCATCGTCACTGTTGTAATTAATTACAATCGGAACACTTTGAGTCGCAAATAACTTAGTTAGGACCTCAGCAGGACGTACGATTTTGGACAAATATCATCCATATGATAGATAATAAATAATAGCTGCTACATGAGAACAGCATCCCACTGTACGTTCGCCATTGGGGCAATCACAGCAATAACGAAGAATACTATTGTAGTCATTACCTTCGGAAATATAGTGAATGTAAATTCGATAGACTTTTCTATTTATATGTCTTGATTTTACTTCTGCTTTGATGATATTAGGTGCTGATTTCACATATTGTACTGAGAGATTATTTTGATCGTCCATTATTTCGGCCAAGTTAAATGCTGCACATTTAGAAGTAGAAGCTTTTTTGATAATATATGGGATAAGTCGACACTTCTTACAAAAAATATCATTAACTATTACGATTTTATTCAAACAGTCACTAAACACTTTAGCTTCTTCTTCATTCTTTATAATTTTTTTATAACCAGGAATCTTACACAGGTACTTGTTACAATTTTTACACTTTGTCGACATTATTACTTAATAATGATTAAGTAATGATGGTTCGATAGTTAATAATTTCAAAATGCTGATACAAAATACCTATGACAGAATTTGAGTCCCAAACTGCCTTCTTGTGTAATATAAATGACTGCTACTTTATCTAAACAAACGATGCAGTAAACAGCTCGATAACAAGTTCGAACTTGTTTGTTTATACACTCACACTACAAGGCGCGAATCACATATAATTTTTTTTCGTTGTGTTGCACCAACTTTTTTTTCACGCAATTTTTATGGGTGATAGAGCACACAAAGGAGCATAACATATATTAATTTCGTGATTGTAAGTCACAGAGAACTCAGAAAAAAAAACATGTTTTTTTTTATTTTTATTTTTTTTATGTAATTTTTTATTCTAAAAATTATAAAAAAATATATGTGATATACTCTGTAATGTAACCTAACACCTCGCGTTAGTTTCACTTCTTTATCTTAATTAGCTTCAGAGATATATCACATTCAGTAATAGTCAAGCATACGGATATTTTGCTCTCTATCTCAAGGTCAAAGCGGAAGTCGGTCGCGAAAAGTACATAAATCGTGTTTGAACATCAAGTCTATATTAAAACATAAGTTTCAATATCGATTCCCATTTGGGGGCCGACTCGTCATACGTATCCGGCTAAACCCTTTGTGAAATGTTATCAAACGCGTGAATCACAAAAATATTTCCAAGAAAATATACATTGCTGGACAAGTACGCATATTTATTAGATTGCGTCGTATGAAGCACGTAATGTAAAGAACATATCGAAATCACCGTTCTTAATAGTAACATAATAGATTACGGTAGATCGCTAGTAAAGTGCCATGGAAACATTTAATCAATTTTTTGTGTGATAATCAGTAAAAACTTAATAAAAGTAAGGACGATAAAAATAGTGGTAATAAAAGAAAAATTTAATCAGAGATTAACAATAGCAATAAATAAAGATTAATTTAATTCTACTCTAGACTACCATATTCACTTCTTTTACCATCATCATCATCATCATCAACACAGCCGAGAGACGCCCACTGCTGGGCATAGGCCTCCCCTAAAGATCTCCAAAGCGATCGTTTACCATATCTGTAGCATATTGATATCTGTTTTTATATTCCTAATATTGTAACAGAAAATTAGATTTTTTTATTTTAAACCATTAAAAACAATACTTTTTAAATCGTCAGAATCCATTCGGGGTAAGTTTCAATAGCATTTATTGTACTAATTGTATTTTTTTATTTTGTAGATATTTATTTACATTATATATTTTTATATTACTAGTTTCATTTAAACGATAATGCCGATCTTATCCGTTTACTTGATTCGAAATTGAGTAACGTAACGTAAAAAAACCTACTATTATTATTTATAAACAAACTAACAAACTTATTTATAAACAAAATTCAATATTAGTTAATTATTAAGAAGTGATTTAAATATTTCTTACTAATTCAACCAACTAAATAACAATCATAAAAAACATGATTTTTAAATATTAATATAAAAAAAAAAAATTATCAATACAATATTATCAATACAATTCAATATATATCCAAAATAATATAAATAATCATAACATAACTTCAGTATCCTTTTAATTAATTGTCTTGTTGTTTTTCAATATCGATAGTAAATCACTTTATGTCAATCACTAGTGTAATATGTCAAATTATAATGGCTTTAACACATTTCTTACGCACTCTTGATGTCTGTTACGGTTGAGCGTGATTGGTTATAGTTATATTGGAGCGTTCTGATTGGCATGTTTAAAATGCAAGTGTTTGCATATATTTTGTATAATTGGTCAAATATTTAGCCTGATGTATGGTGGACGAAAAGTGGGGTAAAACTGGCGGTATCGGTTTTCGTACAAACGATGCATGATCGCCTTTCTAACCTCTTTTCTGTGTTCTGTGGCTAATCCACTCCTATAAGTCATAGTGTGAAGTTATAAATTCAATACGTTCCAGTAGTTCCTGAGATAATAAAGTTCAATCAAACAAACAAACAAACTCTTCAGATTTATTAATAGTGTAGATAAATATTTTTTTATGTCCTGCAGCTTTCCTAAAGTATGCTCTGCATTAATATTATTTGATGTTGTTACAATTCCTGTCACTACAGTTAGTACTGAATGATCATTTTCAAAACTAAAATTAATGAAAACCTATTTAAGAATGAGACAAGTTGGGTTACGTAACTTGGCTATTGTGTCTATTAAAAATTCTATGGCCCGATATTTAAACTTTGATGATATTTTAGACATTTTTACAGAAAAGAAAGTTTGAAGAAATTATTTTTTAAATTGTTATTTTATGCAGGTTTCCTGACGACGTTATTCCTTCATCAAAAAACTAGCGAATAGAAGGTGATTGTATATCTCCAATCTGCATTGGGCTAGCGTGGAAGCTATGATAGCATACCCTTTCGCCACAAGGAGGCCTTTTTTTCAATGGGAAATGCTTTTATGCATACCCTCTACCGTAAAGCGACAGAGGGTTATGTGAGACTGCAAAAACATCGATCTACCCATTTACACTCACCGGGTCCCTCCAGGTCGCTGAGTGGGGTACACTTGGGACCACTTTTAGATGGATCCAAGCGCTAGGAGAGGAGGTCTATGCCCAGCAGTGGGACGTATATAGACTGCTGAATGTGGATGAATGTAAATGTATAAACTCATGCTCTTGAAAATAAAACTGTTATTAGTTTTGGATGACCACTTAATGGTTTATTAAATTTGAATCAAGTACAAAGTGACAATTTTTACAAACAGGGCTACATCAAAATAATTTACCCAGGGGCCCCAGATAAGGATGATCGATATTCATCGATGTTGAATAAACATCGATGTATAACTAGAATACATCGATGTTTTGTCATCGATGTTTTAAATTGGATAACATCGGCACATCGATGTTTTCGTGCCAAACATCGATGTTAATGAATAAAATGTCAATATACCCTCTGGGCCATCTAATGTGCTCCAGATGTACTAGCTAGATGATCTCGTATATCAAGTTCAACTATTTTATACTAGATGTCACCGGTTGCACTCGTAACTGGAGTACGCAAACAAATAGTTATTTCTTTGCTTGCATTTTATCTAAAAAATAAATCTGTCAACTTCAGTGATCGTTGGTATCTTATAAGTTACTTTATTCACCGATCTTAGTTTCAAAGATCCGTACATTAGATAGTTCCACGTGCGAGTGCGGCATCGAAAAAGGTACCACTGATCCTATCCTCTTCAACTGTCTGAAACAACCTTCTTCATATGAGCAACTTCCATCTAAAACCCCCCGTCCCATTAACCTAAATACTATCTTGTCTATTTCTAACATACCTATCTTTTTGCGTCTTGTAAGCATATTAAAAAATATTACAATACACTATAATCTACATGGCACTATCATATATTTATTGCGATATTTTTTATTTAATTTATTAATACAATTTGCGACGTTTGCTTTGTGTTGTACTTTTAGAACAAGGGAGAAAGAAAACTATTAAAAACCGTTACTGAACAATTTCTCACTATCCCGCAAAACTATCAGAAAAAGGTCATTTATGTATATAAAAAAAAAGTTACTTAATGCTCGTTGGACTCGTTCTCTCTCCGTGAAACTCCCGCGTGATTTTTTTATGACACTTGTCTTATTCCATTACTTTTATGTAAAGGGGTAAAATCTACCTATCCCACATTAAAAAAGATTGCATTAAAATATTTATGTTGCGCAGCGACTTCCACGGCTTCAGAGAGGCTTTTTCTAAAGCTGGTCAATTCATTTAACAGCAACGCAATCGAATAAAGGGGAAATTGTTAACCAATCCACTTTTTTTGCAAAGTGTACAGAAAAAATATTGGGATTAACGGTTTCATTTATTCTATTTTTTAAATTTGTAACAATAAATACTTGTTTGTAAGAAAAATACATCCAGTTTTATTTTTTTTTCTATAAAAAACATCGATGCTTGGGGAACATCGATGATTTTCAATTGATATTAATCGTACATCGATGCCTTTCAATCGATGTTGACTTCGATGTTAATATCGATGTTTTTCCAATATCGACCATCCCTAGCCCCATATATCTTTCATAGATCTTTCACTTTCGTAGCTCCTTCTTGGTCTGTGTTCAGGCTAAAGACCATAGAAGCCAGGGCCGGTAAAACTTAAAAAATGGTGTACTAAATCTATGGTATTCATTGATATTCACTCTGTGGTACTCACTTTCCGTCAATGAATGAATTTTGTTTACCTTTGTTTAGCTTTGAAAATAAAAAATTTGGTTTAGTGAATTATTAAATAATTTGAAAAGAATAACCTTGATTTAATTTTTTTAGATTAGATCTTTTCTAATAATCAATGCAAGTATCTATATATTTTTTTTATATAATATATCAATATTTAATACAAAACAAAAAAAGTCTTTGTTTATAAAAGTCTTAAAAGTATTTTGAATAAACTGCATAATACTATAACTAAATATGATGAAGCAAGTTTGCAAATGAACACGTGAACCTAAAGTAAAAGTAAATTTATGTTTGTATGGAACTTGCATGATTTCAGGGGTAAGAAAAAAAAGAAGCTTAATTCCAATAGTAAACCTACTACTAATCCCTTTTGGTCTAATATTACAAATCCTGCATCAGTGTCAAAAGCTAAAAAGAATGAATATAAACAGCTTGTTACTGTAAATACTAATTCAGGACAACCAAAATCAGAACAAAAATCAGTACAACCTGAAACTAAACAAGCTGAATTCCAACAAAATGACTCTACACCAAAAATAACATCCACTGGACCTATCCCTGATATGTTCTGCAAAGATGAAGTAGAATTTAAAGTTAAAGAAACAGGTTTTATAACGGATCTTACTGATGATATGTCTCCAGGTAGCCCATTGGCAGCATCCTCAAACACCAATCCTGGAAATAATAATAAACAGCAAAAGTGAGTTTTTTTGGACTACTATTGCTGCCAATTCTTATTTTTACTATTATATTTTGGTTAACGTATTGGTATTATGTTAATCCATAGTCACCCTTATTTGTTTGCAAAACAACAGTACTTAAGCAACCATTTATTTGGATAAAAAGTAGCCTTAATGTTTATTCAGACAGACTTTTCCGAATTTCAAGTTTCATCAAAACCTATTTAGTAGTTTTTTGCATGAATGAATATAAAACATATACACATTTATCCTCACATTTATAATATTAGTAAGACTCCTGTTTACTATTTATTTATCAGAATATAATAATTAATATATTCATATCTCACATGCCTGTTTCAATGTGTCACTGTGTCTGAATTCAGGTCTGGCTTGATGTTGAAAATTAAATTTTCTTTAGTGTCTCCATATGGGTGTAGGAGTTCCTCAATTGTTAATAATTGTTTCAAGTTTTCATTAGACAAGTGTTTTAGCCACTTAGTCTATGTTTAGATTTAAGCAATGTATACGTTTTGACTAATTTTTATTTATTTAATTTTCAGCCAAAACAATGATAAGCAGCAATCTACAAATAATAAGAAAAATAATCAAATGACTTCTGGTACAAACCAAACAAACTCTAGTAAGTTTAACTTTTGTTGTTTACTTTACATCTATCGTTTATTAATTACAATTTTACGATACATCTATTTTGATAAAAAAATAGATAAACTACCCATACTGGTATGTTGTTTACGCAAGTCTCGAATAAGAACATGTAGTCTTCATTATCCAGACCTACTTGTTTTACCATGAATACATACAAATTATGTTATTAAAGTATAACATTTCAAGCACAACTTTACAACACACTATCATTCAATATAAAAGATGTAAGCTCATTTAACAGTTTTAATTTGAATCAATTTGATCAATAGATCATATAATTGAAAATTACAAATAATTTATTTAATGTTTTTCCCATCAAAACAAAGAACAAAGATTGCTCCATGATCATAATTATAATTGCATTAATTTTTATATGAACGAGAAGTTCATGTAAGTGACTATGTTTTTATGAAAATAAAAAATCTTTGAACTGGACTTGTCTGTTTCAGCTAATGTAACTACGAATAAAGCTGTTGTTCAAGGAACAGCCTCAAACATAAAGTTTGTTGTCAAAGATTCATCACAAACAGTTAAATTAGCAACATCAAAATTGAATGAGTCCAACGGTCCAATAACCTATAATGAAGTTCATGGTTGGTAACATGTGATTTCATTAACTTTCATAAAAAAATATATATATTTGGATAAACCCTAAATTTAATATTGACATACTCAATAACAATCAAATTGTTACATGCTAAACCATCATGCACTACTTTTCATTGGGTCAAAACTACATAGTTCTGGTGAAAACAGAAGATTTATATTACCAAAGATTAGGCTCTATGGCCTATGATCAGTAGTGATTTCATTTATGGCAAACAGATCACAGCCCATACAGTGTAATCTTTGGTAATATCAATCTTTTTTAAGTTTTGACCCATAGCAAATCAGCTAACCACTACATAATCAAAGTCTTCTGTGAAAATTTATATTTCATTTTAAAAGGATAATGCAAACTAAATTATTAAATATGAAGACATAAACATATCAAATGTTATTAAACTTTAGGTCAAGTATTGTCTTAATACCTGAACACAACACATGACCCACCATAGTCAAACCGGCCCCCTTATTCTGTAACTCTGAGGACAATTCATATAAATTTATATACATAAGACAAGCGGTCATGCATATAAGTGATTTTGACACATTGAACTTGTTTACTTTTTACTATGATTACCACTTTATGCTGTCAGTTGAATTAGCGAATAGGCCTAGAGTTGTACACAGATGAGCTTATCCATGTCTTACTTAAATATTTTAATTTTGTATAGGAGTATTTGTTAGATGACATTTGTCTGATTAATATGTCACGCAACATAAGCGTCTGTGTTGTTTACGTAACTTTATGACGTCATGAATACGGTATACAGGAAAGAAAACATGATTATTTTGCCGAAACATTGTTTCTGCGGCCTTTAAAAAAAAATCCGTCAATAAATATACTATAATTCTTGTTACTTCACAGGAGCTAAACCAATACCATCTAGAATAACGCGTACCGTGAACGAAGGTATAAGTGTTATCGAACAAAGGAAGAATATATCTTATTTGCATAGATGTGAAGTAACACCACCACCTCAAGAAAAAATGCCCCAAACATTGAAACAGGTAACACTACGAAAATCAGACAGTAAAAAAGCTTCAGGTGAGTAAAATAGAAATACTATTTATTTCTAGTCAGTAAATATTATGTCTTTGCATATGAAATTGGCGTTTTGTCGTACTGGCTACTTTAATCACAAATTTCTCCTCCTTGGTTGGGAATTCCAAATTCATTGTACACATGTATTTGTGTTTCATTAGGCGGCATTCATTTATTTTATTTTTTCTTCTGTTTGTCCTATTTACGTCACCCAGTAGAAAAAATGGAAAACTTGAAATATCGTGTTATTTACGAATACGAGTTCCATCATGGTACCAGTGCTGCGGAAACAGCTCGAAGGGGTTAATGATGTGTATGGCGGTTGTGTCGCAAAAGAAACCACCGTGCGTTTTTCGTTCCAACGTTTTCGTTCTGGAAATTTCGACCTGCAGAACGAGCCCCGTGGACGGCCGGAGGCGACCCAAGTTAATAATGAAGAATTGAAGGCTATTGTGGAAGCGGATCCATCGCAAACCACGTCCGAGTTAACTGCAGGCTGCGGTGTTAGTGATAAAACTGTTTTAATCCACTTGAAGCAAATTGGAAAGACTAAAAAGCTTGAAAGGTGGGTACCTCACGAATTGAGTGAAGCAAACCGGCAAACGCGCTTCGACTGCTGCGTTACATTACTTAACCGGCACAATAATTAAGGGTTTTTAAATCGAATTATTACATGTAATGAAAGTAGATTCTCTACCATAATTGGAAGCGCTCATAGCAATGATTGGACCTTGGCATGCCAGTCAAATCCTGCCCCAAGCGAAAATTGACCCCAAAAAAGTTAGTTGTAAGCAGTTGGTGGACTAGAGCCGGGGTCTTGCATTACAGTTTTCTCAAATCTGGCCAGACGATTACGGCAGACGTCTACTGTCAGCAATTGCAAACCATGCTGGAAATACTAGCTGGTAAACGACCAAGGCTGGTCAATCGCTCTACGCCACTGCTACTTCACGACAACGATAGACCACACACTGCACAACAGACGGCTACCAAATTAGAAGAGCTTCAATTGGAATATCTAAGACATCCACCGTACTCCCCGGACCTTGCTCCAACAGATTACCATTTTTTTCGAAATTTGGATAACTTCTTGCAAGGGAAAAAATATCAACTCCGATGGCGCAGTGCAAATCGCCTTCAAAGATTTTATTGATTCCCGTCCGAATGGTTTTTTTAGTAACGGGATCAATAAACTACCTATGAGATGCCGAAAGTGCATAGATAACAATGGTTTAGACTTTGATTAAATAAATATATTATATTAAAAAATACTGTTCCTCCCATACCAAACACCAATTTCATATGTAAGGACCTAATATTATGTTAGCGCTCATACAGCCGGTTTCTGAATTAAGAAAAGCACAAAATTTCATCTGATTATTCTCAATATATATTTTTTACATTTCATAAAACAAAAAGTCCTAATATTATCAAACTGTAATTAACCGATTATTAAAAAAAAACTTAAATCAGAAATGAAAACCTGTTTGAGACATACCTAACTTTCTCAATTTAGAAACCGGGTGTTAGACTAATAATGTTTCCAAAAAAATATCAAGATTTTTTTCATTAAAAGTGTAATAAAACAAATAAATTAGTTAAGTAATTAGACGACCTCCGTAGCCGAGGGGTTCGCACGCCGGTTTGAAGGTGTCGCCATCTCTGAAGTCCCTGGTCCCGTCCTTGTCTCGGGTCTGGGTGTTGTGGTATCTTCGTTGTCTCAGATACTCCATAATAAAGAGCTTTAGCTACTCATCTTGGAATCTAAGCAATGTAGGCAATATAGTTTAATATTGATTTATTAAAAAAAATTGTTTGTAATTGTATATTTAAATAGAATTATAGGTTATAATAATTTTAATGAATGAATTTATATTGATTGATTATCCTTTCGTAATAGCCTGGTCTTTAAAAAAAATGTAATACGTGTATTTTTTGTTTCAGCCAATCACCCTGTTAAATTTGCGCCTTTTACAGACCCAAATATTTATAGTTACCCCAAAGGTATGTTAATATTCTTATTTTGAATTACCTTTTATGTATTCATTTTTAATTTCATAAGGTTTACTTAAGGTCAACGATTTTTTTTATTGTAGCACTATCCATAATGTGTATTGCAGTCACTTTGTCGTGAAAACTCACTTTTTCTTTTTACTAACATATTAAAAAACTGAAATTTGAAAAGTTCGAAACTTAGATATTAATACAAATACGAAAAAGTACAACTAGAATATGAGTTGTTTATTGAGTTTTGAAACTAATTTATTTTTAAACATGAAAGAAAACCGGAAAGGTTGTCATGGAGAAATCAAGAACGTAGCGACATCTTGTTTGATTTCGGGAACTAATGTTTTTTTAATACTTCCTCGTTAAAACACAACTTCATCTAAATAATTAATCAAAATATTTCTTTTGGCTGGTTTCTGTTTAGTTGTTTCTATTGGAAATACACTCACTTGGTCTCCAGTCTAGTCTACACACTCACTCTCGCCCTGAAGAGACGATTTCTTTTAACTTCACCACCTCAACCACCAACTCGTATCTATAATTTTATAAGTAGAAAGAAACGACTAATAACATAAGTAAATAGTTAATCATTCTAAATCATTATTTGCATTATGTTTTACAGGAATACCGAAAAGCTTCTTAATGAAACCGTCTGAACAGACACCAGAGCCTTATTCTCGTAAGTATTTTAATCCGTTATTATTTTATTATTTAGACAATGAAAATAGACTATTATTGTTACTATTGTATATTATCATGGTACAGCTACTTATAATAATTAATGCCCAATTAATAATTCCATTGTAATTTAGGTTAATACTCAATTTAACCATACACTTTAGTAATGTATAAAAATAATGATTTCAAATTTAAGTTTTCGATAAAATAGTTTAACATTATTTGACAGTATTTGATATATTCGTAAAATCTAAATTCATATTATTACAGTAGTATATCAGGTTACTATCTTTGACAAAAAAAAATATTAAGTCAGATTTTAAACTTTCGAAAACACTACTCATTGAATAAGTCAACAGTTCCCGTCAATCAATTTTAGCTTTAACTCATTGGCTACTTGACTGTTTTGGGGATAGTATTATATAACTTACTAATAATCATTTTAACCCACTATCAGATTTTATTTTCTCAAAAAGTGCTCGTCTGCCCCCTATCCCATAAAAAATAATAATAGTAATAAACAAAAATATTTTTTATTCATCAAAAATAATTAAATAATAAGTCACGTGACATTTCGACCCGTGACGTCACAGTTCTATAAACATGGGTACTGGTTGCACACGGAGCAAAGACGTTGACGTTTAGTTGATTGAAATTTGACGTCACACGATGCTCTGTTATGGCAGCCCACATTTCGGTTCCTGTAATCCACATATTATAAATCGTAATTTTTTTTTTCAAAAAAAATAAATTTACAATTCATTTTGAAACAAAAAGTACATAGTCTTTGTTTACGTATAAGTTCCATTTCCCAACATATTCCATAATTTATTATTATAATGGTCAATTAGCTAATATATTAGCTTATATGTATTAAAAAAATGCATATACATTTTTCTTCTACAGAATTTGCAAATAAAAATCTTAATCCCCAACAAAATGTTCAACCAAACACATTTGATTGGCAAGCTGGAAATGTACCAGATATTAATCCAACTTGGCCTACGCAAACGGCAGCTCCAGTATGGACTAATGCCGATGGACAACCACTATTCGTTAATACTGAAACTGAAACGGACCACCCTCAAGCGTATTCACCGTCTGATGTGTACACTGACAATTTAGCATCAATCTCACAAAATGGTAAGTCACTTCCATAGGGATATTTTTTTTTATTATTATTAGAGAATCAATAACTTTTTTTTCTACAACTATATAACACTAAAAATATTTCATAAAGACAATTACAGTTTGTCTTTATATAATATCAGTTGTAGTTTTGTTTTGATTAATTAAAGTTAAAAACAATCAAGAAACTACTAAAAAAAATATCCGCCAAGAAAATAATAGTTTCGGTAGTGAAAAAAAAACCGAAATTACACTAAAATTTACGTTGAAATAAATCGAAATTCTGATTGTGTCATAAAATAGCATGATTACCTTATTAAACCAAAATTAAAAGTAGAGTTTTATTGACGTATGATATGACGTCGCTGCGGCAATATCTGAACAGATGCCTATTTATTACAAACCAGATTCGTAGATGGCGCTGTTCTTACCTTATTTATATCCAGATAGATGGCATAAGTGTGACGTCATCGGAGTTGCAAAAACTTAAAAGGCGTTTTCGTCTCAGATAAAATGTAAAAAAATATATTTTATAGTATATAGTATTATGTAATCTGAAAATATAGCATTTGGAAATATTTTAGAATTTTTTTTTTTTTAGATGAAGATGAGTTAGACCCGAATACGCTTGAGTTAGGCTCTGGAGAAAAGAGGCAAAGCGCTTTTGATCGTTTAGGACCCGTATCGCAGCCTAAGAAACCAAAACTGACCATTAACCTACTTTGCAACAAGGAACAGCCTGTAAGGTAAATTTAAATATACACTCAAGGAGAGAAGATGTGGATCGCGCAATGAATACTTAATACTTTGGTACTTGAGAATTATTGTTTTTCGCGGGATCCCTACCTTGTTTTTTTTAATACTACGTGTTAAAGTTCAAATATAACTATCAGTTATAATTCAATTTATAAATAGTTTCACAAACTACGTTTTGTACTTTCCTTTCAAGATGAGTTTCTATTTTAGAAAAATGTTTGAATCCCTATCCAAACTTCTACTCCGCCTTTGAGGAATGATTACTGGAATAGATGCCTATACCAATTGCTTCCCAGGATAGCACTATCAAAGTTCGGTTACGTTATGGTTACTGCAGTTCAGCGATATAATCTAAATCTAAAGACGAAAATGTATCGCACGATGCAAAGTGGTGATAGCTGAATGTCCTTTAACCTATTAATGTGGAGCACATACCCATAGGTTTGGAAACGGAGATAGGGACAACCACTGCGCGGTCCCAGTGCGGATTGATGGGTGTTAACGACTGTAGAAGCAGTCGGGATCAGCAATAAACAGATGGCCACATAAATTCCTCCGCTTCATTCATTTAAATCAAGTAACACCCCACAAGCCTTTATTTGAACTTTAACACGTAGTATTAAGAGACACTGTACTTTCAGAGAGGTCGTCGATGAAACTAATGAGGAACCTAAAGAAAAATACATACCAGTACATCTTCGAGAAGATATATTATCTAGTACCGATGAGACTGTCGTGAAATTCCGCGAACTTTGGCCTTGGAAGAAAACTGTTGCTAATATCAAAGCAGTTACAGCTAGAAGCTCTAAGGTAAACCCTTGCCATATATAAAATGTTTGATAATATTCTATCCATTAATTAGTTAACATTCTATATATATTTTTTTCTTTTTTGTTTTTCAGTCCGTCATGTTAATGGAAATGGAACAAATGGATGAGCATTATTTAAAGGAAAACGTTTTCTTTCAAATTACAGTAAGTGATATTGAGTTTATAATAACACTAGCTGTATTCCCGCGACTTCGCCCGCTTATATTATAGTCTATGTCACCCGTGTATGCTTCCCGTGGGTAATTTTTAAATCGGTTCAGCAGTTTCGGAGCCTATTAAAATGCAAACAAACAAACAATCAAATCTTTCCTCTTTATATCATTAGTACAAAAAATTACACAATTTAAACTATCAGGAACTTTGATTTTGCACATAACATATGCGTATGTCTGACACGCTTATCTTATCTACGTGATCTCTAAAAAAATTATGTTCTTATTAAATGAAGATTCATCACCACCCCCCTGTTAATGTCCCCGCTACTGTGCTTTCCGTATGGGTGGAATCGAATAGGGAGTATGGGACATTCTACACATCACGCGGGCTCAGTGCGGATTGGTAGATGTTAACGACTACAGATGCCAAAGAGTTAAAGTGCTTTCCGAAATGTACAAACATTCACATTTATAATAAATTTGCATTCCATATAATAAATTTTAGGATAGTAACAAATCTTATATATATAAAAAATTTGTGTCACGATGTATGTTGCCAATAAACTCCAAAACGACTGAACCGATATCAATCAAATTTCACATGTACCCGTATTTTGGTCTAACTGTTATATAATAAAATATGGCGGTACGAAGTTCGCCGGATCAGCTAGTACTATATATATTACATATATCTCAAGCGGCCACCATATGAAGTAATATAGTTAATGTATTTAACTATTTCTCTTTTTTTTAATAAATATACGTAATGGAATTTTAAATAAGAAATTTAAAAAAAACTGAATAAGCTACCTTATCATTTTCATAAGTAAAAAGACGAATAATCTTAAACACATAAAAATAAACACAATCTATTTATTTTTATATTATCGTATAATGCAAATTCAATTTATGTAATGCTAAAGAAATGATTTGCCAGACTTCCAAAATATGAACCGTGGCATTTTTAACTGACTTCAAAACGGAGGAGATTCTTAATTCGACTGTATGTTTTTTTCTCGTGTGTTGTTAAATCTGCATGTTAAAATATTATTTAATGATTTGAAGGTCAAAGGCTACCCACCAAAGTGGACTAAGGAAAACGTATTGGACGCCATATTGGACGCGATCAAATTGAAAGGTTTCACTCCCTGCTTCATTGAGGTAAACCACAATTAATATTAGGTAATCTAGCAAACTTCCACCCACATTGTAATGAGGAATGTCAATGGGTTCGTCAAATCGTTTGAAACTTCGTGTCCTACACGGACACGGTTTTTCACATTTAGAAATACACCTGTTTTTGTTTCATAAAAATCTAGTTTTCAATAATTTCACCTCAGTGCGCTACGGACGTGTAACATTTTAAAAAGGTACCATCAATTAGCGCTTCTTTCCCAACAGTAAATTTCCGTGTGTTGTGATTTGATTTTACTGGAAGGGTTATATTTGCTGATTCGCGACTGGAGAAATAAAACAAGTCAATGTATTGTGAAATTATTGTTGATACAACTGAAATAGTGGTACGTAGTTCGCCGGGTCAGCTATTAGAAATTATAAATTTTCTAAGGGCTTAATAGATGACGTCTTCGTATATTAAATTTTCAGTCTGTTTATGTATTTTTATATTTATTTAACGCACATTTACTCATTTTATTTTAGTAGAAATTGTAAGTTAAAATATTCTTAATGAAAAATGCTTAAAAATTCACTTTGTCTCTGGCACTCTGAGATGAAACTTGGACCCATGACCTTTCGCAATCCGATCAACTGCTCGTCCGGATTGCGAAACATATTTTTTATATTCCTGTTATTATTCATTTGTTTGTTTTATTTTTAATATTTAAGATAAAATGTTTGCTGATTAAGTTGTGATTATATAACTAAACTATGTTAGCTCTACATGTCTGACACACAGGTTCCTAGTTCAGACATTAACTAAAAATTTTACATATAGACTAAATGTTGAAACATGCAAAAAATAATATTTAAGAATATAGTTATGTAAAAAAATATATAAGATGAATTATACAATAACATTACCTTTAAATACACTGTAATACTAACCAAATTTGGAACAATGTAATTTATGAATAAATTATTATTATTTAGTTCACGCCTCAAGAATGCAATTTCCTTGTGATAAAAAGCAGACCAGGTTTACTAGCTATCCACAGAGCTGGTTTCTGCATCCGCAAAGATGACGTAGAAATGAACATCACTATAGCATTGACTACCCTCAGTCTGAAACATATAGAGTTCATACCGAGATTAATATTGAGAAAAAGACTATATATAGCGTATGACGGAGAGAAATGTTTGGACTTAAGCAATTTCACCAGAAAGGAAGGTATGAAAGAAAAACTTAATAACTTTATATTGATGCCATGAATTCTCTATTTTCTAAATTAACTAAAAAGTTTCTGAATATAATTTGTCATTTTAATGTTTAATTGTTTTTTAAATTTGCTATGTCACTGTCTTAACAATTTTTTATAACTTTCACACAGATTTATTTTTCTCAAAAACGTTTAAATAAAGGAAAAAGATAATTTTATTAAATTGAAATTACTTTTTAGTCACATGACACTTTGAGCAATGACGTTACAATTTAATAAACATGAGTATCGGTTGCGAGATTTCATAAATTCTTTCTCTTAGTTATTTATAAATTTTAAAACTAAGTTTGATAGTATTTAAACTAAATTCAGATAAGTTTGTGCAACAAAGTTACTACTAATCTTTTTCACATTGCTCGGGGACAGTGACTTTGAGATTTCAAGTTTTAGTTATCTGATAATAAAAAAATATATGTACAATAACTCGATATTATTGAGTTTATACTCGATATTATTTTTATTTTGAATTCTAATAGAAAATCGATTTTGAGGTCAATCTATAAATAGGATTTAAGAAAAATATTTAATCATCAACAAAATGAACCAGAATCAGAAAAATACAAAATTTTATTAAAGTTGAGTATCATTATTTCGACAACAATAATATAAAAAAATTTACGTATTATTACTTAAATAAATACCTAATACATATAGAGGCAATTTTTTTTTTTTAATAAAGTTGCCTTTATAATAATTTGGAAATATAAATTTTGTGAAATGGATTTGTTATCAAGCGTCACCGTACCCATGCTATGTGAAACCGACCACAATGAATGACTAACTTTCTTCAATCCTGAACATGTGTTACTTTACGTTTTATTTCAGATATAAGTCACTTCATATACTATCCGTTAAATCAATCACCAAATCAAATGGAACTAGTGCAACTACAGACTTGTGTTGAATGGTCACGTCTAACTGAACTCATTCTTTCACATAATAGAATAACGTATGTACACGCTTTGACTTTAATATTTACTTGATACTAACTGTTTTCACGCGACTTTGTAGACCTAAAATATAGCCTATGTGCTTTCTTTAATGTAGCTTTCTTTAGCTAAAGTAATATTCAAATCGGTCTCGCAGTTTCGAAGCATTTTCTTTTTTTTTCTTTTTTATAATTCAATACTATTTGCCACTAAAGTATGCTTGCTCTCATAGAGCGGTCTTCATGTTTCTATATTACACAGATAATGTAGTAACCATCATACTAATATTATGAAGATAAAAGATTTGATTGTTTGTTTGTTTGCATCGAATAGGCTCCGAAACTATTGGACCGATTTTCGAAATTCTTCCACCTACGGGAAACTACACCATATGGGGTAAACATAGGCTATATTTTTATACCGAAAACCAACAAATAAAGCGATAGAAATGGGGTGAAAGTTTGTTCAGGGAAAGTAAATGTTGCCATAGTAAACCATCATTAACTATTCAATTCGTCTTCATAATATGAATCGATAGCCAAATAGACAGTTCCCTAGGAACCACGCGGGTGAAACTGCTGGCGGGAAGCTAGTAATGTTATAAAGAACTAACGTTTCTAACTTTGCTTGTTTGTTGGTATGAGATAGTCTTCGGATATACTAATCAGATCATGAAAATTCTCTCGCATTCGGGAAATTACAACACACGCTGGTGGCATATCTAAAACTAACGCAGGAAAACTGCTAGGGTAATAAGAAAATAGTTGAACTTTTTGGTTCCTGTAATAAGGGTTTCTATAATTCGGCAAGAAGTCATGTATCTACATAATGCTAATTTTCCTCAATAAAATTTTAAGCTTTAATCCCTAGACAGTTAAGTTCAAAGATAGCAAAAGTTTACAGTTTCTTTAATTCCGTACCGAAAGTGTAGAAACCGGACCCTATTACTAAGATTCTTCTGTCCGTCTATCACAGATGATGTACTTCTATTGCCGCTATAACAACAATAAGAAAAATACAAATAAATACTTAAGAGCAGCACCCATAAAACAAACGTAATTTTTTAGAGACCCTTATTGTACGGGAGTCCGATTCTCACTAGGTTGGTTTTTAGAGTTCCATACCCAAAAGGGTAAAACGGAAACCCTATAACTAAGACTTTACTGTCTATCCATTGTCACCAGACTATATCTCATGAAACGTGATAGTGAGACAGTTGAAATCTCCACAGATAATGTATTTCTGTTGCCGCTATAACAAGAAATACAAAAAAACAGAATATAATAAATATTTAAGTGGTCTCCTATACAACAAACGTGATTTTTTTGCTCGTTTTCGGTACGGAACTCTTCGTGCGTGACTGGTTTTTATTTACATGATGTGCAAAAATCACCTACAATAATCTATTTACCCGGCACAGCTCTATAGATGGCTTCAATCTCGCTGTGACTTCGCCTAAGCTGAAACACTTGGATTTATCGTACAACAACATACCGTCAATAATGGCACTCATTCGCATTCGTGACTTAAGCCTAAGATCGATTAAATTGGAGGGGAACCCTCTATGTCACGATTATACCGACCCAGGGCAATACGTTAAGGTTTTGAAGACCATGTTTTCTTCGTTACAAGAAATCGTAAGTTATTCGTTGGATATAATAATGAGTTTAGTTATTAAGAGCCCTATTACAACGGCCGAACAAAACTGAACTCGGACGGCCGGTGCATCGCATATTGTAAAAATTTTACAGTTATATTTATCGTTTTATTGAAATATGATAATAATCTTGTCCTTACAAATTATAAATTATTTATTTCTTATGAAGTATTAGTTATTCTGGTACAAATGTTGTTACAATAATATTATCATAAATTCAAGAAATTCACAGTTCACCTAAAACTACTTTAGAGGTTTTTATTTATGATTACATTTTTTTCTATATTTAATCAATGATATTTCAAAATTTCAATGCCACTACGATCTGTTCGATTATTTAAGAATAACATTCTTTATTTTTTGTTTAGTTCATTTGTTTAGTTGTCTAATCAAAGAGCTCAAAGAAGTGCTATCGCGCTTTTTATGAAATCATTCTCTGCAATATTGGGTTTAATTGAAAATGTTAAGCACAATTTACAAAAAGCAAAGTCGCTACGAACTATGCCTTTAGTTATTCTGCACTATTTAAAAAGTAAAAATTGTTATTTAAAAATATGTTTTTGATTTCGTGATCAAGAAAGCCAAAAATGAAAATATACGACAAAATCACAGGCGAAATCTAATAGGACCCTTAAGTTTTGTATTCATAAAATTATTTACCGTTTCAGGATGATGTACCTATAAAAATGAAAGGAGAAATGCCTTCTTTCAAAAAGAACTATTGTCCAGAAGATGCGAAGGGTATAATTGAAAAGTTTCTAGAAGTGTATTTTCCACTTCTAGATTCGACAGATCATAATAGGGCAGGAATAGAAGAGTTGTATCACGAAAAAGCATCTATGACTATTACATATAGGTTCAAATTACGTAAGTACAGTATACATAGCTATAATAATCATCACCAGCCTATGAATTTTCCCACTGCTGGAACTCGGGAAGGATGGAATCGAAAAACCCGAATGGGCCACCCACAACGCGGGCCCAATGCGGATTGGTGGGTGTTAACGACCGCAGATGTAGCCGGGACCAATGGATTAACGTGCCTTGCCGAGCTAGATGTAATATTTTTTTGGTTACCCATCCACGTCATCTTTCATTCCATATCTCAATACTCAATAAGTTTATTGTTTCCATAGGTAATTTAAAATAATGTTACATAATTAAGTTAGTCTCACTATGGACCCTGTCGGGCACAACAATAATAGAAAAGAGGAGCATTAGTTTTTATGATTATATTTTATAAAAAATAAATAATACGTAACTATAAATTTTCAATTTCGATAATATTATATTTTTTAATATCTTAAAAAAAAAGTCGCGGTCGCAATCGCTATCAAATGTCAAATAGTTGTAGTGGAAAGTTCGTGAATGTCTTTCAAATGTCAAATTTAAAGTTATTGTGATATCGAGCAAAATGCTCGAATGAAAATTCGGAAAATTGCGAATCGTTCTTATAATTTGTACATCACAGGCAGTGTCAGGTGCTACCTCCATAAATAATTTATGCATCATAAATTAACAAAGAAAAAAACTTGGCATGAATATAAAATTATCTTTATTATACCAAAATACATTACAATCGGAATCGTATAAGCATTTATTGAAATAGACGAAATTTCGTTTAAGAAGAATAGAATGGAGTTCTCGTAATTTCAGTTCCAAATGCTTTGGCTATAAGACTATTTAGAAGACTAAAAGAGTCAGTTTCCTATAAAATGTAAAACGAGCCTTTACTTGCAGGTTACGGTCCTATATACAGAACATGCCGTAGTTTGTTCCTTCATAGTAGAGTAATGGATGAAGGCGACACAGACGCGGTGAACGGTGCTTCAGCAATCGCTAGTCTCATTGATGAATGGCCTGTTTTAAAACACGACCCGTCCACATTTACTATCGACGTGTTGCAACACGATGTAAGAATTACTGTATAACACTATTAATATATCGTCGGTCCAGTGGTAAACTATTCAATCTGCAATTTTGACAGTTTTGAGTTAAATATGCCAAAACTATTTTTTTTTTTAATATATCTACAATGTGGCAAAATCTTATAACTGTAAGTTTAATAGTTACCGATAAAAATGTTGTTCAAAAGTGCTTATTTGCCAAATCTAAAATTAGTGCAAAAGTAAACTAATCAATGTGAAAAAATGTTCTGTTACTTATAAAAATATCACCATGGTCAACTTGTTTACATGGCAGATTGATTAGTTTACCTTGGTGCAAAGAATCTCTTGGGCTAGTTTTCAATCAAAATTGTACGTCGTACACAATACGCCACCGTAGTCAACTCACGTATCTACCACTTTGGCTACTTGAACACAGTGAAATTATTTTACTTGTCTCATTCTGACGACGGTAAACAAGTTAATCTACTTTAATTACGTATATCACGTTAAATTTGTAATTTTATTTATATCTACCTAAAGTACATTTTTTCATAAATTTAAAAAATGTGAAGATAGCTCTAAAACCTGATTTACAGTATCAAGTTTTGTCTTCATTTGCTTTCCTGAAAAGTTGGACTTTTTCAGATTGCATAGTTTACCACTGGACCAATGATATGAATAGTACTATTAACATGGCTTACTAATGTACCTATGCAGATGGCTAGTTTTATTCTCATACTAGCTGTGCCCGCGATTTCGTCTGCGTGGAAAGTAGCGTTAGTAACCCCTTATTGCATAAGCTATATGCCAGTGATAGACACTATTAGTATATTAATAGTATCATTAATATGCCACATTAATAGTACTATGTAGATCTCTAAAGTTGTATTCTCTTAATTAAGCCCGCGACTTCGCATGGAAAGTAGCCTCAGTTACCCCTTATTGCATAAGCTATATGCCAGTGAAAGTCCCTTCAAAATCGGTTCAGCCGTTTAAATTTAATAACTATTTAGTGAAAAGCGGTTATTTTAACATTACAAACAGATCTTAATTTGTATAGATAATGGCGTAGCCGTAGTATGATATTGGGCCGGTATTTGAAATAATCACTCTTTGGGGCCATCCATTAATCACGTGATGTTTTTTTCAACATTTTAACCCCTACACTCTCCCCCTTGATGATACATGGTGAGGCGTAAAACTAACCCCAAATTATAATTTCATCATATCGTGACACAGATATAATTACAATGACATTAAATAGTAAACAATAGTTACTGTGGTAACGTTTTAATCCCTTTATGTCCACCGCATACGATGAAACTTCCTGTCGGAGAAAGAATTTTTAAAATCGGTCCGGTAGGAGCCTATTTTTTGCAAACAAATAAAAAACAATCAAATCTATCCCCTTTATAATAACAGTATAAAAGACTAAAAAGCAGATTAAAATAATTAAGAATTAAATATTTAAGAGGCTGGGAGCCCCTTTTGCTGCTATTTAAAAATAATTATCAGCCTCGCAATTTTTATCCTGACTTTATTTTAAGACTTGTGGCCGCCAGCGACTTCGTCCGCGTTTTCCATTATTTCTTCGCTCCTAATAGTTGCAGCGTGATGTTCTATAGCCTAAAGCCTTCCTCGATAAATGGTCTATTCAACACAAAAAGAATTTTTCAATTCGAACCAGTAGTTCCTGAGATTAGCGCATTCAAACAAACAAACTCTTCAGCTTTATAATATTAGTATAGATTTATTGATATACTTAAGTAAAAAATAAGGCTACATAATGAGATATATCACATCACGAGACGCGTTAGTAATTTTTTAAGTCAAAATTGGACTCGTTTCTTTGAGTTTGACACCCCCTACTCTAGGACTGGATGACCATCTTCAAAGTGGCCGGTGTACTCCAGCTGCCTTCAGAAAACTTGAACGACGATCACCTGTTAGCATTCTCGAGAACGTTCGTGTTGCACTCATACGATGGATGCGAATACAAAATAACCAACGAGATGGTATACTGGGATAAACCAACGCCTGAATATGCCAACAACGCGTTCCAGATAACAATGGTGAGTCTATGATTATACATTTTCATAGTTAACTAGCTATTTTCCCGCGACTTCGGCCTTTATTTTTGGAAAGCGATCGAAGCGAAGCGGCACGGAAGTGCGATTCGGCACGGGCTTCCAACGGTTCTTTGGTGACTAATTTGATGATGATTAAAGCCGGTGACCTAATGAAAGTATTTAAACAAACGAAAGCACTAAAAAAACACCTCCACTAGATGTCGACTCTAGCAAAAGTTCATTTTTGCAGGAAACGGAATGGACCAAAGTCATTTCCGTTCCTTTTAACTAACATATTAAAAAACTGAAATTTGAAAAGTTCGAAACTTACATATCAATACAAATACGAAAAAGTACAAATAGAATAGGAGTTGTTTATTGAGTTTTGAAAACTAATTTACTTTTAGACATGAAAGAAACATTCCGGTTTTCATGGAGAAATCAAGAACGTACCGTAGCGACATCTAGTTTGATTTCGGGAACAATTTTTTATGAAATACTTCCTCATTGTCTAATTTTACAACCTATCACAATCCCTTCCAGACGTATAACGGTTGTAACATTCAAAAGGCACGATCGCTTTTGATTATTTGAAATTGAATTATATAAATATCATGTACAATTCATTTCGTTGACATTTCCGATCACTTTGCTTAGACAATTCCGATTAACGTCAAGTAAATCGTTATCAATTATCATCAAGTTATTGTTTTTTTTTTTTTATTTATTTATTTAGGTTTACCAGAAACAAATGACATTATATCTATAGTCTATGGAACATCTTATGACTAAATCTAATTTATTATGTAAAGGCAAACACAGCATGCTTGAAAATTGACGTTAATTTATAATGATGTATAATCCTTTTTTAGTTATCTTAATTGTTAAACTAAGATTACTAAAAAAGGAAACTTAAAATATTGTGACTGTTGATTTGCAACTTAAATTTTCTCAAGCTCATAGCGTGGACGTCAATGTCATCACTGCAGCAGTTATTATATATTTTACACATTCGAGAAGTTGCAGAATTTGAACCTGCCATCATCACCACATCACCAGCCCTTTTACGTCCCCCACTGCAGAGGCTCAGGCCTTCCTTATGGATGGTTAAGGAGGATGGGCCATGACCCTCCACGCTGGCCCAATGCGGATTGGAGGGTATTAACGACTGCAAATTCAACCGGGACCAACGGCTTAACGTGCCTTCCGAAGCACGGAGTAGCTCGAGATAATAATTTTTGGTCACCCATCCCGTGACCGACCCTTGCGAAAGTTGCTTAACGATTACGATCGCAGGCCGCGGCGCTTATCCACTACGCCACCGAGCTACAACCTGCCATGATACGATGAAAAAGTAGACAGAGAGGTGCGATTAGTTTACGTGGATATCTAACTGCCACCCGAAATCTAATTCTACTCAATAAAATAGGACAATCGATTTGGTGGTTCAATAATTTAAAATTTCCTTTCCGTTTTGCTTAAGTTGTCATCCCAAAATGTGTTAGTCCAGTGTTGTAACTAACTTTATTTAACATATTTAAAAAAATTACGCGAACGCAATTGCTATCACATGTCAAATAGGTGTAGAGTGAATATCTATAAAATGTCAATTTCAAGGTGATTGTAATAGATTTTAAAATTAGACAATTATGCCACAGGTCTACAGTTACTGAAATGTCATGCTATTTTTCAATCTTTAACGAAAGTAGAAGAAATTTCGTTACTAAAGCCGGATTCATATTATGAAAGTAGTTGCATGAAAATATTTTCATTGCATTAATACCCCTAGCCTATGTAATCGTCCACTTTCGCAATGCATGATTTAATTTTACGACAAAGTGGTTTCGTGCGATGCGCATATTTATGATGAAGCTACTACCAGGCAACTAATTTCACCTCGATTTACATAGTGAAACTAGTGTTGCGAAACCGTCTTTGTCAGCATAAGTTTTTTAAATATTTTGTGTTACTTTTTGATAGATGTCGTTGTTTCTTGTGTATTTTGTCAAATACACTGTTTTTCCGGAACCAGCATTTCTTATTTATTTCCCAATCCTAGTCCAAGGGCTAAATCCCTGGGCTTATTGTAAGAAACTCAAATTTGATCTTTTTACATTAATAAAATGAAAATTTAAAATTGTTTAAGAAAATTGACCATCTCTCCTAATCTGACCCCTTACTCTCGAACGCAATCGTGACCGATCGTCATTGCATAGGGCATTTGACTATTTTGAAAAAAAACTTTTAATTTTCCGAAACCGCGCGAAAGGCGCTGTATGTCATACGCCGCCATTACGCCGCGTATGGCGTCACACGCTAGTAAGTAAACAAACCTCATCATACTAAAATTTACAGTAGGAAGCCATATTTAGTAGCGTGTGTCCAAGTCAAAGTCGCTCTTGGCCGAGTTTTGTTACGCACTATCTATCCCCCCAAGTAGCACAAAACACCATTATATCAAACTTACAATAGCACGAGTCCAAGCGTTAAGCATTATAATAAAATCCTATATCAACCGTATTTCTTTTAAACGACTCTTATACATAAAATTTGGGCCCCCCTTTGTACGACTTTAAGCTTTATAAAAGCTGTGCAATAGCACTACAACTTTTATATAATAGCATTAATAAAGTCGGGTAAAAGCATTCTGATAGCCACAAAAAGTTCAATTAGCACCTTAAAGTGCTAATTGAACTTTTTGTGACTATATTACAATTGATATGCGTAAATCAAAATTATAATACGTTAATTTAATATTATAAAAATGCTTACTGTTTTATTTCCTTTGTAAAAAAGTATATTTAATAGATTTTAGAAACATATAATCGGTTTAAATTATTGTTTTGTGTAAGTGTCATGACATGTTCTCTTGGCTGGTCTTTTAAGTATTTTTGAATATTGATTTAAACAGCTCGTTTTGTGTGAAATAAGCTGCACACATCAGTTTGTGGAGTAAAATATACAAGTTTATGGTGTAAAATACACGCGCCTTCGCAAACTTCCTTTAATATAATAAAAATAATAAAAAAATTAACCTAGTAGCAAAAATTTTTGTTGAATTTTAGGCTTTTTAGCATTGTTTTAACAACATAATTGCTTTTATAGGCATCTGTGCACAAAATAAATGATTATTTACCCCTTTTCATCTGACACAGTTGACTTTAAATATTTTGTAAGAATTGGAAAAAGAAAGCAAATGGCGACTTGTAAAATTAAAGCATTAGGTATTCAAATATGGTGTAGTAGAGCTGTTAATCGTATTATGGTTAGACACAAAACTAAGAGCTCGTAATTCATCGTATAACACACTCCCATTTTAGTTACAGCCGTATTTTTACACTTCAGAAGTATCTTATAGTGCTTATAATCATCAAACGATTATTTTATTTTTATTTTGATTTTTAAAAGCTTTAATTAAATTAGAATACTCTTTTTTTAGGTTTCATTTATATCCACCTGTTTTCTTTGTTTTTCCCAATGTTTTTTGTCAATGGCGCCAGCGATGCGTATAAAATGCCACCATTACAATACAATACATAGAATAATTTTACATTTTAATTTCACATAAAAAATAATTACGATCTATTTATTACTTCTATCGCTATAAATAACTTAATATTGATCAAAATATAGCTTAATGTTTTATAAAAGCATATATTAAGAAGATAAAGCAGCTTGAGCTTGATTAAAGAATACTTTAAGAACAAATCGGTGCTAAAGTTTAACTAGTTCTTTATTCAATGTGTATATAGGATAAGCATTAAATCGATACAATCATAGACCATTAGAAAACCTTTGTTTCTAGAAAATGACTAAATACAACTAAGTGCACTAAATAGTATTACGTTAATGCTTATATAATATATAATGTTTTTCATATCACCGAAATACGATAACAGCTTTATATTAATATTACCCAATACTTAAATAGGAGTTTTGACATTGGTATACTTTTTTTATTAACCATAATATGGCATTAAGCATTATTAGATAAAATAAATGCCTTTAAACAGATTCGAAACTTGACCAGAGCTGATTAAAAATGTTAGTATGACTTTAGGACATAAATCGGTACTTATTTTAGTTAATATATTATTTATGTGCTACTTGGGCCGACAGACGTTGTCCTGCCTTAATTATGAACATTAAATTTATATCTTTTACATCCTATTTGACGATATTTGTATCACGCATTATGTCAATTCTATGTCAAACGACAGGTTTAAAGGACTGGACAAACCTTACGAAGGTTACATTAAAAATATATATTCAAAGCACTAAGGTTATATGACAAATAATTTTATATGGTGATTAAATATTGTTAAATATTCCAACACAATATTCTTATTTTTTTTATTTCATAAGAACCTTCTCCTGACAATAACAAACAAACAAATTGGTCCACACGTTCACGTGTGATAACGTGACCAATGGAAATAGGGATTCATTTTTATATAGGTATAGAAATTCATTTATGAATTACAAATCAATTAGATATTCATCAGCTATCAAAGTTTTTGGCATGTAAGAAAGTGTAGCATATTTATATCGTGCTACACTTTAATTTGAAATATCATGCTAAAAAGAATTGCAAAAATAAATATTACTGAATAACTGCTTGAAAAACTACCTATATTGTACTATGTTAGAAAGTTATAATTGCATGCTCAATATTATTAATAAATTAGAAATAGAGATAGGAAATAATTATCGACAATTTAGATGCTCCGTGCAGCTATCGCAAAATTATATTGGATATCTTCAATAGAAATGAAAGATACGAGTAAATACAAGTACTTAAGCGACACTTTTCTTTCGATCCAAGTTCTTTTGGAATCGATACTTTACAACCGAGTAACAAGTGGTATTGTGGAGTATTTGTATCGGTACTGAGACGGTCACTTACTGAAAAAGCTTATGAGTGTCAAAAAACTCGCATGCATTAGACTGTTTAGGTGAGGTGTCTAAAGTGTGTCTCAAGCAAAATGCATTGATAATACCTTATTATTATATTATAACATTAGTCTGAGAATCGATCGACATCTTTCTGAAATTTTGAGTCTTATTTTCGAGGTTATTTAACATATAACAAAACTAAATCAACTTTTGAATCAGTCGTCTTGTTGAACGGTCCAAATGTCATAATGATTCAATAAGGAAGTATTTAAGAAATAAAAATTAGTTGTTCAAATCAAACTAGATGTCACTAGCGACTGTCGGATAATTGTCTATGATATTCAAATTATTATATGATATTTAAAAAAAAAAAAACAAATTTCCTTTCTTATGGAATAAAAGTATATTGAATATCGAAAATTAATAAATATGACATCATTTCGTGTTTCCTATAATGGTCTAACTTTCAAAATAATTTTATTTATTTAAATCGTAAGTTTAAGTTAGGCTGTTACATAGTACTTGTGAAAGTCGAAAACTATGCCAACGGTTCTCAAAACAACGACGGGAGACCTTGTACTGAGAAGAACCGGCAAGAAACTCAGCAACGGTTACTTTTTTCTCCCTGTTTTATTTCACACAGAGAAGGCTTATTGGAATGTGACTTAATTAGACTATGAAGTAACTTTCCATTACAATATCAAAAATAACAAGACAGATATTTTTCCAATTACTGATTGATATGCCGGTTGCCAAGTCGTACATACTCATTGACAAATTAATATACAATATTCATAATAAAAGAGAAAGGGCGAAAGTAAGTTTTCCAGTGCGGACTCATCCCCATTGGCCGCACCCGTTGACGAGCTTGACGCATGAGCCAGTCATCGCTTCGTTCAACTATATCACAGGGATCCTAAGGACCTGACACACGATAGCACCGCAGAGATTTTTAAGAGAACGTGACTACTTTAGGTACTTTATAAGTAATATATTTCCGTTGTACTGGTTTCTAAAGTATGTTGAGTGGGAAGTCAATCTATTATTAACAATATTATTATAAAAACCAAAAACCACATACCCACCGTACGAATTAACATAACACATGGCTCGGTGTCCGCCGTAGACATGCAAGTTCAGTAGCGATAGTATAATAACTACACGTGTCTATGTGATTTTAGAGTTTAAAGTTATAACCTTGCTGTTCATTTCTTGTTGATTGTTAAATTTTTGTTAAGTTAATTATGAATATAAGATTTGATAACTGATCTTAGTATAAAAAAAAAACTTTATTTCGAAAGAACAACTTATTAGCACGTGCACAAATGTTATTCTAGCCAGAAGTCATGTTATTTTGTTCGAGTACCTAGTATATTTGATACATATCGGTTAGTATATACTAGGTACTCTATCCGTATTTTCGTATATTATATTTTCGTCCTTGTCCGTTTTTTAAATTATTTTTATTATAATTATCATTTTTATGACCTTTGTAACTGATTATTAACTCTATTCATTCATTCCGCACATAATTTATAAGCATTATTGAGACTTGATATAGTTTTATTCCTGTAAGTTCAACTAACAACTAAAAGTTAGAAAACTTACTTGCCTAGTTACAAGTTGTTATTATTTTAATGAAAAATGCCTGATATGATAAGGCATAAGTATTTTATTTATATAAAACTATTTCTCGGTAAAATTATTTTATACCCTAGCAAAATGCTACCAAAAGTAGATTTTTGCAGGAAACGAATGGACTAAAGAGTCAATTCAGTTCCTTTTAACTAACATTAAAAACTAAAATTTGCAAAGTACGAAACTTAGATATCAATACAAATACGAAAAAGTACAAATAGAATATGAGTTGTTTATTGAGTTTTGAAAATTAATTTACTTTTATACATGAAAGAAAACCGCAAGGGTTGTCATGCAGAAATCAAGAAAGTACTGTAACGACAACTAGTTTGGTGTCAGGAACAATTTTTTTTTAAATACTTCCTCATTGAACTGCAGATTTACCCAGTTGGCTGTGATTCCTATCCTATTAATATTATGAATGTGAAAGTTTCTTAGGATGTTTGTCCGTCAATCACGCCGAAAATTCTGAACAGATTTTGATGAAATTGATAATAGGATACTTTTTATCCCACTAAACATTTATCTAGGGACCACGCGGGCGAAGCCGCTGGTGTATGCTAGTAAAGCTAGTAGGTACTACAAATTTATCATTATGACTCGTCTCATTTTCTTTCAAAGGCAATCTAAACTTAACATCATTGACTTGAAAAAAAAATCCTAGAAACACTTCTTAAAAAGAAAATTTGATTTGAATTGTGTGGTGCTTCTTTAAATATTTTTTAGAAAGAATTATAAAACAAAAACAATCAAGTTCATAAAGAAAATATTTATTTTAAAATCTAAGATGTGCAGTAATTGTAAATGGCTCTTGGATATCGCATATCTAGTGTATCTAGACTCATTACTAGTCAATACACACATTCACATAAATATTTTAAAAACCAGACTTATTGCGCCCAGTACTATACAATTACAAAACTTTTGTAGCTCTATTCTTATTTTACACACTCTTATATCAATCAACATGAAATTAAGATAACCAACTTGGCACTATTGGTTTAAATTAAAAGATGTAATACATATTACATTGAACCTTTGATATAAAAACAACTATGTTTGCAAAACCCAATTGTTGAATGATTCTCAAACAGTATCCATGGACTCTTCGTTTGTGAGTTCAGTCTCCATTTCCATGTCATCGGCTCCTGAAGCATATTTTAGTCGCAACTTCTCATAATGTAGTTGCTCTTTAGAAGACACTGATGGCTTACATTTTGTTAGTGCTGTTCTGAAGTCCTCAAAGACTACATCTATGTTATCCTCAGAATCAATGGTTCCATTAGCTATATGATTTGTCAAAGCATTTGTTGCTGCTGCTTTCACAAGTCCAGCCAAATCTGCTCCAGTGTAGCCTTCAGTAAGGCCAGCAATCACTTGCAAATCTACATCTGGCCCCATTTTAGGTTGAGAGCCTCCTTTGGTTAATTTCTGCAAGATATCAAATCTGTCATCTCTGGCTGGCATTCCAACATACATCACACGGTCTAAACGACCTGGTCGCAGTACAGCAGGATCTATTATATCAGGCCTATTCGAGGCAGCCAATACAAATACACCTTCTCTGCTTTCTATGCCATCCATCTCAGTCAGCAGCTGATTTACTACTCGGGCTGCCCCATTATGATCTTGGGAAGTGCGTCGGGGACACAGAGCATCAAATTCGTCAAAAAATATAACACATGGAGCAGAATTTCGTGCACGTCTAAAACATGTGCGTACTGCCCTTTCACTTTCACCCACATACATGTTAAGTAATTCAGGACCTTTAACAGAAATAAAATTGACTCCAGCCTCATTTGCGACTGCCTTAGCTAGCAAGGTCTTACCGCAACCAGGGGGACCACAAAGCAGAACTCCACTGGCAGCAGCCAAACCAAGTTTTTTAAGTTGTTCTGGATACTTTACAGGAGCTAAAACAGCCAATTGCAAATCTTTACGCACTTGGTTCAAAGAACCAACATCGTCCCATGTGACATCAGGTACAGTAACAATGCCTTCACGGACAGAACAGGGCTTTGTGGTTTTCAATGCTTTTAGGAAATCTTCTTGACATATAGAAAGGCCAGATAATTTGTCTAAAGAGTATGGCTTTGTATCTTCTAAAAGATTAAATACTTCATCAAGTGGATCAGTTTTATTGGCTGTTTCATTATCCACATTATTTACTTCACTTGAAGAGATTTTTTCCTCATTGGGTTCTGATGAAGTTTCTGGATTATCATCTTGAGTTGGATGATCATTTTGGATTGCATCTCCTCCTTCTTTTACTGCCTCTTCACTCTCTTTTTGTCCATTTGCTATAACTGTGTCTTCTTTGGGTAACTTTGTTTGTTCAATGTCTGTAATCTTTAATTCTTTGTCAGCAAATCTGATTTCTGCAAAAATTCTTTTTACTGCATTAGTGCTAGCTTTATTGACAAGTGCTAGCAGGTCAGCCCCAACAAAACCAGGTGTAATCTGAGCAAGAACATTCATATCAATATCTTCACTTAATACCAATTTCTTACATAATATTGAAAGTATCTCTTTTCTAGCTTTCAAAGAAGGTATACCTAAAGTTATCTCTTGTTCAAGGCGTCCTGCTCTTCTTAATGCAGGATCTAAGGCATCTGGATTGTTGGTTGCAGCAAGCACAAGCACAGATTCATTGCTGTCACTCAAACTGTCTAAGCTAGCTAATAACTGAGCAACCATACGCTTCTCCATATCTTTTTGAGCATGAACCCTGTTACCACAAACAGCATCAATTTCATCTATAAATAATACACTAGGAGCCACTGACACTGCCCTCTCAAACAGCTCCCTGATCCTTTCCTCTGATTCACCAGAGACACCTCCTACTAACTCCGTTCCTGTTACAGCAATAAGTGGAAGCTGCAATTTGCCAGCAATTGCATGTGCTAACAATGTTTTTCCTGTGCCCGGAGGGCCATGCAACAATGCACCTCTCGGAGATTGAATACCTAACTTATTATATACTTCAGGATGTCTCATGTGCAATATCAAATCACAAATTTGTGTTATTATATCAGATATACCACCTATGTCTTCAAAAGATACCTTAACATTTTTAGTAGCTCCGATGTCATATTTTTTTTTGCTGACTCCTTTATTTGTTTCGACTTTTTTCTTTTTATCTCCTATATTCACATGTTGTGGCTTTGGAGTGTTTTCAATCTGTGTGCTGTTAGCATTTCGCGAAGGTATGTGGGGAGTGATGGTGATTTGATCATTAATTTTTGGCAATTTAGGCGCAGCTGAACCATCTTCGTCGCTGCTAATGATATCTATAGGTTCACCAGATTTATCAGTTGCCCGCCGTGATGCTGCTGGTCGTTTTTTGTCCTGCATTTTGTACATCGCAAGTAAACGATCATTCAAAGCACTGTTGTTTTCATCTAACAACTCCAAATCCGATTCTTCTTCGGACCCTTCAGAGGTAGACGCCCCATCTAATCCATAACTTTGTAATACCACTTTATAAGCACTTTCAACCATTTGGCAGAATGCGCTATCACTCCTGTTGTTGTATTCACGGTAACGCTCTTTAAGAGAACGCGCCATTTGACTTACATCAACGAATGTCTTGTCCACGTTCTCTGCCAGATAGTTTTTTACACGAGAAACTATAACAGGATCGTTTAAAGTTTTTGATCGGGTTTGAGTTTTCTTCATTTTGCTACGAATTATGATACAATAAACGTTTATCGACGATTAAAATTAATTTCCTTCACATCCGCAAACCACAGAAGACACACGAGATTGTTTGACAGCAGCGTCGTCAGATCGATAAAATGTGCCCTGTGCCATATACAAAATTACCCACAAACGAGTTTATAATCGATAGCAATTTCCCTTCCGATTTTCTTTCGTGTATAACAAGAAAATTAATATTAAAAACTATAAACAAGTAATATATTCTATTTGTACTTTTTCGTATTTGATATCTAAGATTCGAACTTTGAAAATTTCAGTTTTTTTAATAAGTTAATTAATATCAACTTTTGGTAGACTCGCTATCTAATGAGGTGCTTTATAGTGCTTCCTTTTTTTCTAAAAATACTTCCTCATTGAATCGTAAATGAAATTTCACCGTTATTATTAAATAAGTTATAAGGTCTGGGGCTCATTTTCACTATATGCCACAGTAACTTACTACTACTTTTGCAAAACACAAAAGCCAAAATGAAACATTTATTTTAATTTTTTATCGTTTTTAGATGTTTATGACGAATCGGTGCCCGTCTGCGCTTATTGATTTACCGCCGATGCAACAAAGCACACATACATTTTTTTTTGTTAACAATTAAATAATGAAAATTTTCTTACTTTGTAGGTGAAACCGAAAAAGCTAAGTTTAACATTGGAATCACCACCTGACGAAGATCTGAAACAGAAACTTTTAGAAATTTTTATGCGATTGACAGATCTAAGTCTGACTGCGAGTAAAAGGTAATACCGAATTTTGAGTATGATTATTATTTTACTAAACAATACAAAAAAAAGTTTTCATACTATTATTTGTTGCAGGTGCCTAGAACAGAAGGATTGGAACTTGAAAATGGCATTGGATTATTTTATGAAATTGTTAAAACTCGATGATTTAGAAATTTTAACTAAATAACTATAATTGTAATCTCTTTCCTTACCATTCATCATGGCACATTAATTAAATTTTTCTTATACTTACAGTTTTCTGTATATTTTTCTGTTTATTTTGCTCTTCAAATATTAGGTACTTATATCGCGTACTAACAAATGAGTTACTAATATTTAAGAAATGGTACTTTTCATTAAAACAATTAAATAAGAATTAAGAAAACTTTTGACAATTTTTTATTTACCTAACGAAAAATATAAATTATAATTCTGTTTTAAAGTAACCCTCTTATGCATTTCACTTAAATCTACCATATACCAATAATTATTAGACAACATCACATACATTGCTCAGATTCCAAGAGATTCTCTTATGTCAACAATAGTCCGTCTTAAGTGTAATTTAGCTAATTGCACATACGTTCATCAATATTATCATTACTTTAATGCCACATTACCCATACAAAGTTTCAAATTCAGAATATTAATTAGAGCTTAAAATCATCATTAAATATTAATGGTCGTTTATTGCAACTGATCGATTGTCATACAACTAGGATTACAGTGACATTAAAGTATTTGATTTATCAATGTGAAGTAGCCAATTAAGTGTATTAGTTGCGTTATAAAATACAATTTGTTATAATAAAGGCTTATATTTGAGTAGGAATTTTTAGATCTGTGTCAGAATACACAGATTTATACTCATTATCAATTTGCACAATATTTACTAACTTTTATGGTCATTTATTTTGGTGATATTTGCATTATTTCAACTTGAAAAGTTAGTAAGTAATTTGCATTAATATGAACAAATAGGTACTGTAAAACCTGCTTAATGCATAAATAAGTCATTATTAAGCTTAAAGCAGGAGTTTCTTTGTTGCTTTCTGGATATAGAAACACATATTCAATAGCATTAAATAAACGTTCTTAAGAATTTCCATGGTGCTTTGCTTATCGGCCAGCTATTGCCTTTCATAACGGCTACTTACAAGATGAGTGAGTAAAATTAGAAATCCAGGATTTCGAAACGACTGAAATGTTATGTCGTGTTTTCAGGCTGGCAGAGCCACCTTCTTATATTTTGCCCATTTAGTTCCTTATGTATTGTCCTTTAATAACATAATTTCAGATATAAACCAGTTTTAATGTCGCTTTCGTAACACCATACCTTGAACTCTGTGTTAAAAATGAATCTTAAAACACTTATCAGGTCATCAATAATAAAAAGGTAATTGTACGTTATTTATTAGGCATTATGCTTTTATGGAGTCTGAGAACAATTTTTAAGACACCTGTTTGTAATTTATCGCGTGCTAAGATTTGGCATCTGACGTGATTCTGATAATCCTTGTACTTAATTTCGCGCTCCTTTTTAAGCACACGTTTTCTTTAAAACAAAAAATGATAGTGCAATTGGGGAACTCCGATCCCTGAGAAAATGTATATTTATTGTATTTTTGATTAATTTTGCATTCACAATGCCATACTGAAAATTATTCTTAATACAAAATGCTTCATCTCAGGGTGCCAGGGACCAAGTGGATTTTTTAAACATTTTGTATTCAGAATAAATGTATATTTGGCACATAATAAATATATTAGGTTATTTCTATTCAAAAGATAAAAAACGATCAACATTTCAGTCTAGTGAACCTCTGAAACAGTATATTTTTTCCAAAAAACATAACTATACTAATAATAAAAGAGGAAAAAATGGATTCCAAAACTACTAGACTGATTTTAAAAATTCTTTCACATACGGGTAACTACATCACACGAGATTGACATAGGCTATAATTAACGTGTGCAAAGTCACGAGGCAATACGCTTATGAATGATACGAGTAAGACTGTTCAACAATTGTTTTCTAAACGAAAACAATATATAAAAAAAAAAAAAAATGTAAATGTCAGATACAGTTACATTTCAATTTTTTTATATATTGAAATTAATAATTAAAATTATTTTCTCTAAACTTAAAACAATATGGAGGAATTGTGAAAATAAAATAAACAAAAACTGTTATAGTGTCGAAAATGAGAATAATATATTTATAAAAAAAAATGAAATCTTTAATTTTATTACAATGACAGATTTTAAACTGAATTGTAAAAGTTATGCCAAAAAAACATATACCATAATTTTGTCACAATAATCGAAACTGGTCACATAATTTAATGAAGTCTAATTTCTCAATGACCTTTACCTCAGTCACGAATAAAATTCAGTGACATTTTGGACCTTTTATCTTTACGTAATTATACACGACATTAGATTTGTGTCCATAATTCCGATAGTCTGAAAATCAACAATTTCTCTTAAAGTATATTTCATGATAACGTAATATAATTATAAAACCTTATCGGTATCTATTAATTTTATGAAAATTGCGTTGTTGGTCCCGTACAACTTTACTCTCATTGTAACGAATTCATACGAAACTATTGAAATCATGTCAGTCACATTCGGAAGCTTGACACGGCTTTTACCTCCCAAAAATGGTAAAAGTCCCAACTTGGCAACAATATATGCCCACTCTGCCAGTTGTTTATTAATGATTTAAAGGCAAAGGACTTAAGCCCGCACAGCCATTTTTAACGTTTAACATATTTTAATTATAGCTCCATTCATTTAAAACATCAGGTTGGTAATCGACATTACTCTACTTTTAGCAGCAAAAAGAAAAGCTCACTCAGCCCTTTCCCTGTTAAACTCGTTCAATAGGATTATTTATGCAAATTAATCTATAGCATACATAATTTTAAACTAACTTCCATAAAATCTAGTTGGCATCGTATCTTTGACCAACGAGTAAGTATATCCAATACTCGCGATTAGGGTACCTCTATGACAGAATCAGATAAGTTCTAACAAATTCAATTTTATGCTTCGTCAGTGTCATCAGACTACAGTGTATAGTGTCGTTTAGGCCGCGAACAGAAGAGCATTATATTTATTTATGTTTTATTGCATAATTAAACTAAAAACGGCGGACTTAATACCATAAGGCATTTTCTACCACTCCACCGGACTGTGTACAGAGAACTTCTAGCAATCGAAACTTAAAATTGCTCTTAATGTTTACTAGTCCGCCATCACTGCTCACGAAGCGATGGTCGAACACTTATGCACTAATTATAAACTACTTTACAGTACCCGGCATAAAAATAAACCCTACACAGAAACTAAAAATATAAGTCGGCCACAGACGTAGAAACCTGGTCGGGCAATTAATAAATCAACATTATGGGTTTAATTTCATGCTAGGTACCTACGTATCATAATTATCTACCAGTATAGGCAGGTACAGTGATGTGTAAATTTTCTTCCGAAATATATATTTTTATTTCAAATAGATAATTTTAAAGTTATAGTAAATGCAGATAAATTGACAGATTTAATGAACTGGGGCAAAATAATAGAATTATTCTTAAATGGGTACCAGGACACTCGGGTATTATCGGCAGTAAAAAAGCGGATTCTAAAGAATTACCTGCAAAGGGATTAAAAAAATACTGGGAAAAACAGCCGGGATGAAATCACGCTAAACCCCTAATTGAGGGTCATTCACAAATACTAGCTGAAGAGCTCTTGAAGCTAAACAGAGCAAATATAAGTAAATTATGATCTTTATCTGAACACTGCAAACTAAACAGACACCTGTTTAACAGTGACTCACCTTTGCAGATATTGCAAACAAGAATGTGAAACACCAAAACATGTAGATGACCACTGATCCACAAAAAAGCATACATTTGGTGACGACATATAATCAGCCCAGAAGATATAATATCTCTAAAAGCCAGGAATATTATAGACTTTTTCAAGTCTACTGGGCTAAAGGAGCTTTGGCAGCGAGTCATCATAGATCTTCAAGGTCTCAGTGACTACAGTTCCTCAGGGAACTGCATAGCCTTTATAATAATAAATGCAGACAATATATACCATGTTATTATGTTTTGATTCTGAATTTTATTAAATAAAGAGAAGGAATTAAAATACTAATTGCATTGCATTGTTTTTGTTTTGCTGCTATTATTAGTTATTGGGTTAAGTAAGTTTAACACAGGACATAAAAACAATTATGTATATTTGTAAAAAAAAAGTGTTATTTAATTTTTAATCATAATCCTAATTCACACAATCATTTCCAGATGTCTAGCATACTCTATGGTTTGCTCAGCTAACTCAGATGAAGGTAGTATTCCACAATTAGAAGCTGAAGTCTCTTCGGCTGCATTGAAATGGTAACAGTTGTCATTACCAAGGGTCCAATTACGCTGTACAAAATGCAATACACATGTTAAATTTGAAATAGGCACTTTAATAAATATTTAAAAAAATAAGATTCTTGGAAAGATAATTTTACAATTTGCGAATCAGTTTTGCAATACTATGATAGCACTAATCTTTGAGTAGTTTAACAATAGTGTATAAAAAAATAAGCTCAAAATTTATTGTAAATATATTTTCCTTACTTTCTTGCCATATTCAAGCACAGCTTGTTGGGACTGTAAATTTAGTCTCCTTGCTGCTTCCGAACAAGGAATTGATAGGTATGCCTTTTCAATGCATGCTGCTATTTCTCCCCTCACTGTATCTAAGAGAGTGTCCATGAAAAGTGTGTAACTCACTGCTGGCACATTACCCTAAAATATAATAATATTCAATAAATAATAAAATAAAATAAAACACAAAACAATGAAATACTTCTAACAAGTATTACTTTTGTGTCTTTTGTTGACTCAAGCTTAGTTACTTTTTCTAAATTTATAACTATGATAACATTTAATTTGAATTTATTATTATTTAAAAGTCCATTTATTATTTAGACCAAGGCTTTGAATTTTTATAACTATATTTATTGGTTTTCTTACTACTACTATGCATAAAATAAATAATATATTTAATATATTAGCTCTACATAACCAAACAGATTGGTAAGATCAGTTTAGATGTCACAAAGAGGTGATGTTGCATTATTATTTAATAAAATAAAATAAGAGCCACATACATTTGATCATTTAATCATTATAATCATACAAAACTATACTGACCTTAGCTAAAAATATCTTGTTGTAACTGCCTTCCATTAAATATTGTTCTAACGCGATTGGGTGTCTCACATAAGGATCAGCCCTAATAATGTCAACTGGTAGACGCTCTAGTTCTGTATGGAACTCTGCCACTCGGTTTTGAGATAACAAGAATAACAAGTTAAGACCAAGAAGTTGATACATAAAAGAAGATTCAGGCAGATGGTCCCTGTAAAAAATATATAGAAGTTATCAAAAAAATCCATATCAGTTCCTCATCAACATAGCTTAAACAACTTTCAAACGTCGAGTCTACTTTCCAATTGGAAGAGTTGAGATTATTGGGATTGATGACTAAGATATTCCATATCTGTTAAAATAATAAGCTAGTCATTATCACTTGTTTTTACTATGTGCTACTTGCATGAAGATAATGTACTGTTTAATGATTATTTATTAACAAAATTCAGTATTAATTGAACACAAAACGTCAATGAATTAGATATCTAGCTTTTCCATAAATTATTCTATTCATTGTTCGATAACAACTCAAAAACCCATTTCATACTTTCAAAATTTTTCACATTTCAGGTGGAAATTAATATGTATAGGTAAACAATGTTCTTCATACAAATGCTACTCACAAAGGAATTTGAATCTATAACTGTTAAACAAGAAATACGTGAAGAAAATGTAACTTACTTGTAATCAAAATAATAACATTTTAGTTGGGATATGTAGCGTTCAAAAGCCTTTACATCTTTAGTCGCTACCGCCCACTGTGCTCCAATTTCCAAGACATCTCTAGCAAGAATCAACTCTTTCTGGTTTGCAGCAGCGTTATTACTTGGCAGGAAGCTGAACTGCGTCAAAGCTATCTGAAAATTGAGAACATGATGAAAAACTGCGTTAACAATAAATTCCGCTTTGTCATGCATGTCAGAAACCTACTTTAATCTTGTTCAATAACTCGCCACATTTGTCGAGTTTGCGAGGTTTTTTGTTCCACTCCGTTTTTAAGTTTTGATATAAAGAAGCCACATCTTTTACAGAACTCATTTTGGTCGTTTCTATTATTACAGTTTATTCAACTTCAATTTTACGGAGAAATTGATTTTGAGTTTGACTGAAAACAAAGAGCAAAGAGCAATAGAGTGACTTTTAAATGAGTAGAGTAAACAAGAGGGGAAAAAAGCAAGTTGAGAGCAATGAGTAGACACCACCACCAACGTAAAGGACTACGCAGTATTCCATTGAAAATGGGCAGAGTGAGAGAACAGAATAGTAAACCTTTATCGCTTTCTGTGGGCAATGTTTATTTAGAGTACGCTAGGATAGGAATAGGACTGACATATCTTAGATATAAAAGTCCTCAAAAAATTGAAAATAAATCAATTTCTAATAGTTGTGTAGAATGTCTACTCATCATTATTTTATAAACACGAAAAATTAGATTAAAATTAAGTGTCTTTACTTATTATCGTATGGATACGGCTACTCAGAAAACTTATATGTATGGATAAAAATATAAACTTATTATTATTAAAAGCATTGAATACACATTGACATCAGTGTCGTGTCGACGAAAGGCGCATAGGAGTATTTAGAAAAAAATAAAAGTTTTAACTCGTCTTCCAATGCGTCAGTGAACAGTTTCAGTGATATAATATCGCCCTGTCTCACTCCACGCTGAAGTTGTATTGCTTTTAAGTTTTGGTCCTGGAGCCGAGCTGACATAGTGGCGTTTTCATACAGTAACTGCAATCCTTGGATGTATCGATAGTATTTGGCACCTCTGGGGTGACCTAAGCACGGACCAGGGTCGCAACGGAGTCAAAGGCTTTCTCATAGTCCACAAACGCCAAGCACAGTGGCAGATTATACTCCTCGGTCTTCTGTATAACTTGTCGCAGCGTATGAATGTGGTCTATGGTACTGTAACCTTTTCGGAAACCGGATTGTTCGGGAGGCTGGAACTCGTCAAATCTACGTGCGAGGCGATTCGTGATGACTCGAAAACAGCTTGTACACATGACTCAGAGGCGTGATGGGTCTGTAATTCTTCAATTGGGCCCTGTCGCCCTTTTTGAAGAAAAGCACCACCACGCTCCTGTGCCATGCTTTTGGCGTCTTGCCCTCGAGTATGGCGGAGTTAAATAGCTTCTGAAGCGCTTTCAGGACTGGTAGTCCACCCGCTTTCAGAAGCTCCGCTGTGACTCCGTCATCCCCTGCCCCTTGTTGTTCTTGAGCTGTTTGAGAGCCACTCTAATCAACGTATAGACTGACGTCCGGGATGTCTTCGGTATAATTTCGGGTTGATTTGGCTCTAGTATTAAATAATTTTATATTAAAAATGTATGGAAATAATTATTATGTTGGGCAAATAAACATCTTTCATCATTTTTATGGTTCCGTACCCGAAGGATAAAATGGGAGTCCTATTACTAGGACTCCGCTGTCCGCCTGTTCAACCGTCTGTCTGTCTTTCCGTCCGTCACCCCGTTGTATCTCATGAAACATGATAAATGGTCAGTTAAATTTTCACAGATGATGTATCCTGTTGCCACTATAACAACAAATACTAAAAATAAAATATATAATTAAATAAATGGAAGCTCCACTACACAAACGTGTTTTTTTTGCTCGTTTGCTATAGGCTTACCAGAATCTCATGGCAAATAGGGAAATTAAAATTTGATGTATGCCACACCAAGGAAATTGGAGTAAATGATCTTGATACTTATAATATTATTAATAATTTAAATTGTAATAGGAACATAGAAATTTTGATTTTGTACGAACATACACTAGCTTTAACCGATTTGGAGTTGGTACCTAAACTTCGATTGATTCACACTATTCATTGGTGAAAACTGTAGAATAATCTGTACATTTTTTGAGTTTATCCATTAAAACTACCAAATAAACAAAGAAATCTATTCTCTTTATATTATAAATTAAATAATATATATGTTCATAATAATAATAAAACACATAATTTTCGAGAATTTTATAAAGAGGGATGATTCAAAAATTTTGTAATGTTATTTAGTTTATTTGGATCTAGAAAACGACTCTATAAACTCAATTTCTATTTCTTGTTCTTCGTCAGATGAAGAAGATGACGAAGATAAGGAGTTATGTATAATAAACCTTTCCTCTAGATTTTCAATTATCCTGTCTTTTTCTACAAACTCGTTTTCGATTCTTTGCACATATTGACAACAATTTCGCCATTCCTCCACACAAATTTGCGAAAAAGCTTCCTCAGTTAGTGATTTGATATCACTTGCAGGCCTATTTACATGTTTTCGGCTACTTTTTGCTTCATTATTCTCCAAATCATTTCTATATGATTAAGTGTGCAATGATAAGGTGGGAGCCGTAAGACTTCATGACTACATGAATTTAACTTTTGATCAATTTCGTATACAGGATCAGACTTGTTGTTCTAGACAGCTTCAATTAGTTTACATTTACGCCACTTATCCTCAAAATGAATGTTGTTTGCAGTAAGCCATTCTTTTATTTCAGCGACACGATAAGCTTGTGTGGGTGGTTTGTTAAGCTGAACGGAATGATAACTTGCGTTATCCATAATAATAATTGATGGTTTTGTCAGATTTGGAATAAGCTTATCGGTCACCCATTTCGTAAATTTTTTTTTATTAATGTCGTGGTGATAGCCAGCAGACATACTTTTTGATTTATATACTAGGCAACAATTTGGTACAAAACCATTTTCTCCACCGGCGTTAACAATAATCGACCTTGCTCCCGGTGATATAGATTTAGATGGACCTGCAACGTTTTTGCTTTGGCAGCACTTGTTCACGGAACATGAAGCATGAATGTATGTTTCATCTAAATATATAACATCTAATTTGTTATGTTGTTCAGCCTCTCTGTTTTCTTCAAGCATTATAAATATTTATATCTTTGTAATTTTATGTCATTTCGCTCCTTCAAAATAACTCTTTTCGATTGACATTTAACATATTCAAAGCTCAGACAATACATTAATTATTATACATAGTTTGTATTTTACCGATATTGTTCCTCACCTTAATGATTCTCTCCCTCCTTGGAAGTTAATATCATTACGAAGAATTTGTAAAATTTTCATTACTGTTGGAATTTCTTTTCGTACTGTATAGAATTCTTTAATAAATTCTTTAGTAAGTTTCTAATCAAATCTAAATCATTACTATCTGAATTAATTCTTTTCTGTCCCCCTCTTCTCTTTTTACCAGGCGTAGAAATTACACCATCATTTGATGTGCCTTCACATATGATTCATCGTACAGTGGTACTGGAAACATTTAGTTTCCATTAAAAACATTTGATATAAGTTAATGTTGTAAAAAAATATAAAATGTATCAATACTACTCAGTTCAACTTACCGGTCAAAGCTACGACGCGCTTTAAAATCGAAGATTGTGTTTGATTTTCACCTTCCTCCTCGTGAATTTTATTGTAGACATTGAAAACAATATTCCTCGCTTGAGATTTAAAAGATTTTTTTGACATTTTCTCATAAAATAACGAAATATTTACGACACCAACAAAATTTTAGCAACGAAACAATGAATGACTTAATGATTGATGGATGACATGAGTGTTGCATATGAAATTCATATTTTTTCTTTTTTTAAATGCCATGAGATTCTGGTAGACCTATAGTACAGAATCATTTATGCACGACTTCTACTCGATACTGGGTTTTTATATAGATATATCATATTTTTAGTGATGCCCTTAATTAAAAAAATACGAGTATCACTATTTATTTTTAAAATAGAATCAACTTCAAACTTTAAAAATTTTATGTATAATAGTTAACATTTTTAATTTTTAGGGTTCTGTACTCAAAGGATAGAACGGGAAACCTATTACTAAGATTTCGCTGTCTGTTTCTCTGTCACCATACTGTATTTCCTGAACCGTGAAAGTTAGACAGTTGAAATTTTTACAGAAGATGTATTTATATAGTCGTTATTTAGCCAGGGACAAATAGCCTCTGTCCTTAATATCACGCTCAGCTCGCTTTTCAGCTGGGAGTACTCTATCCTGTTAAAGTATAAATCCATGGTCATAATAGTGTAAAACACAGTGTAAAACGATTAACCCAAAATGTGGGTAATATTGACAGTTTTGACTAAGACGACCGTTGTATCGGTTGATTCTCAGAGGTTGATTCCTATCTGTAAAATTAGGTAAAACCATGATAAAACTATAATTTGTGGTTTTGACAGGCGGTTTGATGACAGCATACCTACTAAGTCTGTGATGACAGCAGATTGTCATTCAAAAGAAGTTTCGAAAAGGCAAAAAAAGGATACTGAAAAAACTGAAAAATGCAACTCATATAATCGTCTGAATATTTAGACCGTTTCTAAATGACCACAAAATGTTGGTTAAAAGATTGCTAATAAAACGATAATCAATTCATCTGCTAATAAAGGAAGAATGAAATTTAACAATGAGTACTTCAGCGGTAGTTTGTCGTGAAGTTTTTGATGAAAATAGTCAACCTTCTGCCGAAGGTATTAAATGGAATAGGTGTTTGTTGTATCCTTTATTTCGAGCCATATTTAGTTCTGAAAGTATTCATTCATTTGCATTATATAAAGCTTTATTCTCATATTTGATGTTTCGTAAGTGTTATTACTTTCTTAGAAATGCCCTAATAAACTAATCAATAATTATATAATTGATAATAATATAATCACAATTAATGAATAAAACAGCTTTCTCCCATTTTCCTTGAGAAGAAAGTAACCTTTTATTGATCTTTTTAGAAATCTCTGAGTATGCACAACAGTTGGGAATTGATCCAGAGAGTGAGAGCCATCTCTTGCCATTGGCTCGTGATGGTCTCATGCAAGCATTACCATCTCCATGGAAGGCTTAGTAAGTAATACTTAGTGATATATCCTCACATGGATAATCCATATATTTTATACTTTAAGACCACAAATAAAGCATCAGAACAGTGAGTTTATTAAATTATTTAATGGCTCAACAAGTAACATAAGTTCATGTTGTAACTTATGTTACTTGTAGCATTTTCTAATTAATATTCTATAAATATTGAGTTATAACAACACAAAAAGTGCATATTCAGTTTGCTTTGTCTATATCAGGTGTCATAAATTATTTTTATTATTAAATTTTGAGTGGTGTATAACAGTCTACTATTAAAACTATGCTGCTGATCTAATTCAATGTTGACAACCACTGCACTTTGGCTTGTAAATTTTATACACATTCAAATAATTAAATTATAAAAAAATAAAAGCAGAATTAAACAATGTCTGCCAGGATGATGCAAAAAAGACAAAAGCTTGGCACATGTTTGCTTGGGAAGCAAACTGAAGATTTTCAGCTTATCCTAGACCTAAGTTTGAAATAGCGGGGAATCAAAGATATTGCATAAGATTAATGTGTGACATTATAATTGCATATTGTTAAGTCCATATTGAATAAAAAAATAAAAATAATAAAGAATAGCGAATGAAATAAATAAATACATTTAAATATACAATTTTTATTAAATACAAATAATATAATATTTTAAATGTCTGAAATTCAATTGTAAATATTTGGCATCACCATCAAGCAAAAGAACAGTAAACTTCAAGACACCAGTCAACAACTCCACAAGTATCCACCACCTCAGTTTTATTAGACATAACTATCATCATCATCAGTCTAATAAAAGACAGTATTGCCTTTTGTATAAAAGGCAGTTATTGGTATAATTATCATCTATTGGAGGAGTCCAAAAGTGAGAATCATTAAAATACACAAGTAACAGTAAATTAAAATATTGTTTCATGGTGTATAATAAGAGGTGTGATCCCATTGATATATAACAAGTTAATAAAAATGTGTTGAATTTCAGTTATGATGAAAAACTTCAAACTCACTACTACTACAATGAAGAGACAAAAAAGACTCAATGGGAGCATCCCCTAGATAATGTTTATAGAGAATTAGTAAAACGAGCTCGTGATGCTTCTATGCAAGATGACACATGTGCTTCTGTGCAGGTAAAGTCATTACACATCTATTAAGTGTCAGCCGAATTCATTTGCTGTGAACATTTTTGAAGAAATTTTCATACTAATAAATTTGCAAGGGCTATCATTGTTACATATGAGTATTTTGTGGGTGCCCTTTGCTTCGCCTAAAATTATAAGACCTAATTTAACATGGCCGAATTGTATTGGCCTAAACTTATAACGTACAATTATTGTTTAGCCTAACAGTTGTTTTGGCACTATCATAGTTTGGTCTCCGAATTGAAGGCCCTAATTTAAGAATTCCTAATATGAAATCCACTAAAATATATTGACATATCTTCATTTCGCTTAAATATTAAAAGCTCTCAATTTAGCATTTCTAATCTTAAATGTGCAAAAAAACAATTGGCTTGAGAAACGAATCGCAGCAAAATCGACACCGCCGTAAAACCGACATCACGTAGTCTTGTTTGTCAGACTCCTAGAGTGTAATTTAAGCCCCGCAGCGCCGGAGCCGTGACAGGAGCCATGCGTGCTGCATGCTTGCCTGCTTGCTAGCTTGTTTATTTGTTTGATGAGCCGAAAAAAAAAACTCAATTCATGTATCGAATTATATATTTATAATGTGAATATAAAACTGAAACATGCACATGCAAAATCAATAAATAGTTAAGGCGTTTTATACTTTCGTGCGTTTTAATTTTGTGCGCATTACTATTTAGTAATTGCGAGGAGCAGGGATAACAGATTGTTCCGCCTAATGTCACATTTGGTAAGTTATAATACCGCGATAAAAAGTTACGCGAAATGATATTAGATTAAACACCATTAGGAATATTAAAATTGTGCGAAAAAAATAGGCTGACCGTTTACGTGCCAAAGCCAATTAGGAATTTGAATTTTTCGGGTATTGGGGTGCTATCGGAAATTTTCCACCGTAGATAAATACCCTGGATTCAATTAAGTAACTCAATGTTATTAAAAATTTATAAAAATATCTTTTAGGAACTCCTTACATTTGAAGAGAACACAAAAAATCTCGAACGTGTTGAAACAAAGGTAGAAAGCGATGACGACGATCTAGCTACTGACAGTGAAAACCGTACTGATGTCAAAGAAAATGTATCTGGAATTTTAACACCTAGTGCTAAGCGTCCAAATTCCTCTGGCCGATCGTCTCTAGCACCTTTGTCGAGACTAGACAAAAAATTGAGTGACTTACGAATATCACCTTTACGACGCAGTATAGATAGCTCAATTTTGTCCAAACCGAATCTGATTAGAAACACTTCTGATCGAGATTTGTTGAGTCGTCCGACATTGGAGAGGCCAAAGCATTTATTCAAACATCAATCGGAAATCATTGATTTAAAAATGCATATTCTGAATAGTCCTGAGGAAGAGAATTTCAGTCCATTATTATCTGCTGCAAAGGTGGATAAGGGGTTACCATTGACTGGTATGTATTATGATTTTCTATAAATAAAACTTTAAATTACTAACAGTTAAGCATTTTGGAAAAGAATAATGATTTTTGATTTAGATATGAAAAATAAATATGTACTAACTTCTGAAATTAACTTTTTTTCTCTAGGCATGGGAAACATGTTTTTGAAACTGAGTAAATCAGATCTTCCCAGTCCAGACACAGATAAGTCGCACCCGTTGGATTCATTGACCAAGAGTGATCCACCCAAAGGAATATTGAGAGAAAAAATGTCAGATATTATGCAGAGGAAAGTAGATAATGTTATCGGGAGGCAGAGACAAGCTACGAGTTTTGAAGAAGACCGCAAGAGTGTGAGGTAAAATAAGTTAAGTCCTTAATCAAACAAAATGATTAAATGTGTCAGTTTAAGTTAAAAATGTATTTTAGTTGTTATGGATTAAATAGATAATTATCTGGTTTAGTTTATACCAAAAAAGTAAATGTTTATTTACAGATTCAAATTAGAGAACTTACCAGAGCCAACTATGAGTCCAGGTTCGAATAGTTCATCCGAACAAAATGATGGCCAAAGTTCGATTATAAGCGCTACACCAGCTGTTTCATTACCTATTACGCCATCCCCCGCCATACTCAATCCAATTGCGTCAATCTCTTTAAAGCCAATCAATGCCAATTTTAACCCTGTGCCTTCAAATCTGGCGATGAAGCCGTTATCTTCTATTCCTATTTCTTCCAATTCTGTGCCTTCTGTCCCAATAACACATCCCTCGATAGTACTTTCTCCATTAGCTTCTAGGCCTCCTTTGCCTCCACGTCCAGCTAGTGACAGTCCAAGAGAAGCAAAAAGTGCGTCTCTTTCTGATAAAGATTCTTTTGGTAAGTACCCATGTCTAAAACACAAAGAAAAATTGGATATTACGTTAATTAAAGAAGACAGAATCACGTCTTTTATAAAACTAGCTTCCTAAATCATTATATGTATTATTACAGAGAGTGAAAACCGTGGTGTTTCCCCGAAGCGGCGGTTACTAAAGCCACCAGCTGGTGTTTATATAAAACCAGATTTATTCCAAAAGACATTCCAGAAGATATCCGATCTAGTTCGGCCCAGTGATATGGAACCTACGCCGATGACTCTTGAGGAGCCAAATTTTGAGAAAGAAGCAAGGCCAAGGTAAAGTTATGTTACGTCTTTCGATTAATTATTCATTTGTTATTGTTATTGTTACAACTTAGATTGAATATCTATTATTTATTACAGATCTCCAATGATCCCACAAAAGAGCAAAATATCGATAAACCTTATGGAGAGTATTGAATCGGAGACTTCAATCGATTCCCCCGACAAGGAATTTGCTAATTTAGACCTCAATGATCTCGATGATACTAGTGATATACAGAAAGATGACACTAATGAAACTATTAATAAAACAGAAAGACAAGAGAAGGGAAGCCCTAAAGATGTAGAATCGCATGAAATTTCTGAGAAAACTTCATCACATTCCAAAGAATCTACGCATTATAAGTCACATTTAGATAGCGTATCGATACCTCAAATTAAAGTTCCTAATTTAGACATTATTTCAAAGCAAAGTAAACTAGTGCATTCCGATTCTGATGATTCCAAAAAGTCTTTTAATGAGGAATCTAAAACCAAGTCTGTTAGTGTTGAAGTACACAAAGTTCCTCAGTTAAAAGTATCTCCAACAGCTAGTTATGCTTCAGATATTAGATCTCCAAGAGAATTTAATAAGCCCTGGAGTCCTTTATCAACTTTTAAACCTTTAAATAAAGCTGTGGTAGCGCCACAAATAAAGTCCTCTGATTCAGCTTCAAGTTTAGGCAAGAGTTTGACAAGTCCTAGATTAGACGGTGTGATATTATCTCAAGGAAAATCCACCGATAATGTCGTTGTGGTATACCAGTTTGAAAGCAATGAAGATTCTAATAAGATTATCAAATCACCGTTGATCCCTGATGCAGGCACTAGAGATATGTTTGATAGATCTAAAGGCGATGAAAGGAGAAGATTAGAGCTATCTCTACAAAAAGAGTTAGAAGGTATGAGAATGGAGTGGGCTAGTAAAGAAAGAAGAATGAGAGCTGAACTCCAGGATGAAATAAGAGACTCGGAAGAGAGATTTATATTAGAAAAGAGAGTACGACTGACAGAGCAGAGCGAACGGCATAAAAAAGAAATGGAAGAGGTAGAATATTTACAATTTTTTTTTCACTTTAAGTTATTTACTTAACTATTAGTAAAACCTCTAAAATGTTATAAAGAATTAACTGTTTTGGTTTAACTATACCAGCCTCTCGGTCAGTTGCACAAACGTCCATTAAGGTTTAATGACGTCTTTAAGCTCTAATGAATGTCAAATTTGTATGGGTAAAGTCGCTTTAAACTAATGAACATTTTAATGGACGTTTGTGCAACTGGCTGTTAGTCACTTGAGTAATAATGTAGCTTTCCATAGTTGAAAGAATTTTTGAAATGGGTCCAGTAATTTGGAGCATATTCAATGCAAACAAACAATCAAATCTTTCCTCTTTATAATATTAGTAAAGTTTTAAACAATTAGAAGTGAACATTTGTAGAGGAATCATGCCTTTTATTTTGTAGAGTACATAATTAGATATTATAAATGTAAATATATTTTTTATCTATGAGATTGCAACTTTAACAGGCGCTACAAGCATCTGAACGAAACCACGCTCAAGCTTTACAGAAATTAGAAAAAGAATACGAGGAGAAGTATCATCGTGAAGCAGAGTCTTTAGCCAGGCAGCACGAAGAGAAGATGAAACAACTAGCCGAAAAATACCAATCCAGATTATTGGATCAACAGCAGCAGTTGGAAATTGGTAAATATGTTGTTTTTTTTTTATACGACGCAAGGTTTAAGTAAATATATGATCATAAAAAATAATTAACTGTAGACAAAAACAAAGATGGAACAATGCTTTTATTACATTTTTAAATAGTTGAGATGAAATTCATTCGTAAAATCATTTTGAAAAATCACTAGTTACATTTTTGAGAGTATCCAAGCTAAGAACATACCAAGAGATTTCTACTCGTGCCCTATACGCAAGTTTAATTGTAGATATAACCTGTATGAATTGACATGACACCGGAGGGTTATTAATTTTGTTAAAATTTAATCCGTGAAGATTATCCATGCATCTGAGGCATTGTCAGGTCCAACCTCCTGCGAGATCCCACCATTCCATTTAAATTAAAAAAAAAATGCTTTTCTTTGAATATTTTCTTATTACCATTTCGAAAACAAAGGAAGTGTCGTATTTGGAGAAATAGGTTTTTAGATGTCATGTTAATTTGTATGAGTAGTAGTAACTTGTTGCTTAGTACGAGAATGAACATTCACAATTTATGCTCGTTCTATGTGCTTGACATACATACATGACATACTTGACCCGTTTAAATCACCTGCATTCGACTGAGCGGACAAAACCGTCCAATTTACAATTTTCTCGGAAATTTAGGGGCATTTTCGCCCAAAAATTGCGATCTTGTGAGTTTTGAATTGAAACAAGCGGCCGCAGCGGTTGCGAGAAAAAGTCAATTCGTGAGTTCTTAGCTTTTTTGCTTGTTCCATTAGAAAACGAGCGTGCCCTAGCCGAACTAAGAGATCAACTCTTGGCTGCCCTCAACAGAGAGAGAACAAGAATGATGGAAGAGAATAGAGCAAATATTGAGACTTTACGTGAAGAACACACGACACGAATCACCGATCTTAGACATGACTATCGGGCTGAGGTATAAAAATATATTATTTTATACAATTATTTCTAGGAAAGCGCTAGTAGAAGGCGCTTCAGTCTTATCGTAACTAAAGATATCAGTGAATGATAATTGATAATTAATAAAAGTGCTGAATTGGCTATTTGTTTTTTTGGAATATGTATTTATATGTTTATCTTAGAAAATCAACAGCTATACAAACAACATAAATTACAAGCATAATAAACAATAAGTCAATTATAGGTTGCCGCATAGATATAGCTTAGTTTTTAATAGAGCAGTCGCCCGGATAGCGAAAGGTCATGGACTGGAATCCCATCTCTGGGTGCCAGGGACCAAGTGGATTTTTTAAGCATTTATCATTAACAATGCTATACATTGTGAATACAAAATTGATCAAATATAATAATAAGATCTTACTAGTTATTTTGCACATGAACTACACTACTACATATATAATTATACCTGCGCTATAAATCAACGAGAGAGTAAATATTCTATTAGACAAATAAATATTTATTTTTCTCCATAAAGGAAAACTATATTTTATTCATTGATTTAAATAGTTCCGCGAAAACAAACGTCACGTGAATTTTCGGGCTGTGACGTCACATTTCAATATACGTGAGTAAAGGTTGCTCTCGCAACAAAGGCGTTGTTGTTAATTTATTGAAATGAGCCGCGTTTCGGTTCTTGTAATCCACAGATTATAAATCGCCAGTATAAAATATACTTACCATTTCCAACATACGAACTACGGGTGTACACAGTGAACGAATATAAATACATAAAACTTTATTTTTCTGGCAGTGTTTAATACACTATTATCGATTATTACACTTATGTTTATTATACCACGCGCTGTCTTCGGTCACGCCGTTCTAACTCCTATCAGAACTTATAGAATTCAACCTTATGCATAGATAGAACGATATTAGTTTCAACGTGCCGCGACGTCATAGCGACGCCATGACAGAAGTGACATTTTCACTGGAGATTTTTAGATTTTAACTTATTTTATGGAATTATATTTTTTAGATATCTTTCGTGATTATAAAATAAAAATATAAAGTTATCTTCACCCCTATTTATTGATATAACTGTCAATTAGCCAATTTCAAACATTTTATTATTTAATAGGTAGAAAGACTGCGTACCCAGCACGCTTGCCATTTAGAAGAAATACGTGCTCGTTTAGCAAGCGAAAGGGCTGCTTCTGGTAGACATCAAGATGAGAGGGCACTCGCTGAAAAATACAAGTGTTTGAAGGAGAAGCATGCTAGATTAAAGCATGACGTCAAGGTAAAAAAACTATTTTACGTATTAATCACGCTGTCATAATTTAGGGTAAGTAACACACTGACTACATTCCAGACCCACATATGATAATATTAATATATAATATCGGTGACAAGTCATTTGTGCCTTCGTGCGTAAAAGATGATACATATGATATTATCATGTGGATATATATTGTCAAGCTTAAAGAACCAGAGGCCTAATTGTCTAATTTTTAAATCTATCAATATCCCTTTCAAACGTTGTGATAGTGATTTATGAAAATGTAAATAACTTTTAAAGTCACAATTGCTTTTGGAATGAATGATAATTTGCATGAAAAATTTCGTTTGGCATTTCCTAATAACTTTCAAAGTTATTTGTAACTGTCACTTTGTTTAGACAATTCCGATTAACGTAAAAATAAACGTTATCATTCAATATCTTCAGAAAAAACTACGCGGTCGCAATTGCTATCTATCCACCGTCTGTGAAGGTTATGAATTGTTCTATTTCTCATTCATGAGGAAGCTCTGCCCTCCATTATCGGGGAAGTTTATAATAGATCGATGATTAAAATAGTTTTTTATTTCCAGATGTCTATGGAGCGTCGCAACAAAAGACGAGAAATGAGCATGACCACCGGCTCAGAAACTGAGAAATCGAACTCTCATAAAGCAACTCAAGAAAGGTAAATAATCTCTTAAAAATATAAAAGTAATAGAAAAATCGCATTTGCGCGCGAGCAATTAATATATTCCAGTATAATGAGGAAGTATAAAAAAAACCGAAAGCACTATAAAAGCATCTCCACTAGATGGCGACTCTAGCAAAAGTTGATTTTTGCAGGAAACGAAAGGACCAAAGACAGTCGTTTCCATTCCTATTAACTAACATATTAAGAAACAGAAATTTGAAAAATACGAAAAAGTACAAATAGAATATGAGGTTTTTATTGGGTATTGAAAACTAATTTAATTTTAAACATAAAAGAAAACCGGAAAGGTTGTCATGGAGAAATCAAGAACGTACCGTGGCGACATCTAGTTAGAATTCGGGAACTAATGTTATTTTTTAATACTTCCTCATTGTGAATGCAAGTTGAACTAATATAATAATTTGTCTATGATGTTTAAAAATGTCTGTCAGATGCAAGGAGTTAAACGAGCGTTCTTCAAGCGTGGCAGGTGAAACTGAGCCATGTAGTGGACCAGTTAATAATAATACTAGCGTAAGATACAACGACAATGAGATGTCCAGTAACAACAACCATAATTGGAACACTACTAACAATGTAAGTTTTGTAGTTGAGATTCAAATTCTCATAGTTAAGTTCAATTCAGGCTATAGGGTACAAAAATACACATGTAATACATTTTTTTATTAAGGATGCGAATCACACTACTTTTGCCATAATAGGAATCATGCCTAATTTTTTTTATCTGTTTCTCGGGGTCTGTTGAAAAATATTAAACGAGTTTTTTTTTAATATTAAATAAATTACGGCGACACATTGAGTTCAAATATAGCAATACGTCACACGCTTGTACAGTTTTTACATAGCTGTGACGTAAAGAGCCCCCACTCATAAACTTTAATGCCTATTATCTAAGCCATTTCTTTTTAGATTGAAGTAAAAAACGGGTATCAAATATTTTTCTATTATCGGACTATGCGGACTAAATAGGAGTTTTTTTTTTACCTGTTGCGAACTGTCCAAGTTACGCCCAAGAATACACATGTTTCGCCCTTCCATAGAGCATACTTAAGAGTTGTTAGATTTTTATTTTTTTACAGAAAATAGCGTCTACGGATACTTCTCTAGTGTCAGCGGCGAAACAGCAGCGGCCACATCGACGTATCACCGCCGTCGCCTTTAGAGAGCCGCTGCGTCGTAGGCGCGACAGAGACAGAGATACGGGCAAGTTTACTTTTGACAGCGCATGTATACTCCATTCATTATATCATTAAACAGAAGTTAAATAAGGTTCTTTTTATGGTATACTTTGTGACAAAATATTAATAATCATGTTACTCTTAAGACTGACGGCTAATTTGCTACATATCTACATAAATACCAGCTGCAATACTTAAATGTTGTCATTTAAGCTATCTATTAAACAAGTTTATGAGTATATGACTAACTTAAATGATTTAATAACTATTACAATAAAAAGTGTTCATCGTAAAGAACCTAAAGAAGCAGGGTTGGATAGTTTCGGCACGATTCTCATGTCACTATAACTCTACCAAATTTAAAACGTTGCCTAACCCCTTCAAACGTTTCGGCAGTACAGCTTTTTAATTTTGTCAGACTATTATTTATTCATAATTGTTAAAATCGTAATCTGGGATTGTCATCCATTGTGAATGCTACTGCCTTTCTTGTTGTTTTGCCGTTTTCCGTGATTAAGTTGTTATTGTTTTATTTTTGTTGTTAAGTTTTGTTAAATATGGACGATGCCGGTGCAGGCCCGAGTGGCCTACAAAAATTACGCTCTAAGCCCCTACCTTCAACCTTTGACTAATTTATTACACTTACAATTAGAATTTATCAAAACAACAGACAGATAGTTTCAGTTTTAGTTCCATGTTGGCTTGGGAGTAAAAGATGAATTTATAAAATGCTGGCCTCATCTCAACCCCGAGGTATCGTAAAAAATTGAAAATTGCCTAGCTCTTTCAGACTACCTAACATTAAAAGTTTCAACAAAACTAATAATATTTTTTAAATTTATCTTGAAAATAAAATGTTCTGCACTGCTGTTTCTATGACCCTCTTTTTTCTAATGTTATAATGGGTTCCAAATGTCAAATTTTAATAATTTGAAGCTTCGATTTTAGGATTAGTAGTTACGCGGTTCGGATAGGAGGGGGGACGAGGTGTTTTAAAAATATATATTTATATTTGAGATAAATTATAACAATCCCCTTTTTGATTTAAGTTTTGAATTTTTTCAAACTTACCTCCCTAAAGAGGCCGCAATGTTTTAATGTCGTTTATTGTTACGTTATTTTGGTGTCTTTGGGTCACCGATTTATATATGTGTACCAAACAGTTTAATTGGTCCAGTGTTTTGGAGAAAATCATAACCTCTACAAACTATATAAATATTACACATGTATATTATTAAGGAAAGAAAAGAAATATATAACTATAAGAAAATAAACTATAAAAAAAGAAAAGAAAATAAAGTAAATAACGACTTACTCATTAAAATCTGACATACAACTAAATATATAGGAAAATACACATAATTTTCGGAATGGATAGAAAATTAAATTAATCACGCCTAGAACTAATTACGGGAAAACGACTGGCAAAATGCAAGTATTTGAGATTCTTAAATGAAACAACCTTTGATCGGTTTCATCGCGTTTGTATTTTTCTTTTATTGACGTTTCCGGTCCTTTACATGTTCTGTGTTCACATAAGACTAAGGTGTTAATTATCTTTTTAATGAAGAGTATAGCTACCTTCAAAGCAATAATATAAAAAAAATATTACGTATACATTTATTAAATTATTTTAAGAATACATTTGACTTATTTATTTACCCCTGGCTAATGTAATCTATCCCCAGTTCCAAATTTGGGAGTCTTGTCGGAGAATATTTTTTTTTGGTTTTGCAATGTGTGATTTTATTTGATTAAATTACTGGATCGTAAGCCGGTGGTATATTCTAACCTTTTTTTTCATTAAAATTCGGATGTTTTTTTAATTTCAACTGTTGAGATTCTATATAGATGCGATTATTACGTACACATTAGAAGCCATATTATTGCTCGCAAACATAAAAACTCGTAAAACATTATATGTATTCAATAAATAAAACATATTTATATCATTTGTTTAACAGGTGGTGCTACCACAGACTGCCAAGACTCATCAGATGCCACGACTGCAGATGAAAAGCCAAAGGCGGCTGTTAATGGTATGGGTATAATTAAACCTAAGATGTTAAGTAGAGAAGATTCAGGTTTGATGCAAATTAAGATGTTGAGAGAAAGTCAACCAAAAACGGCAGGATTTAAAAATGATAATCATGCCTAAGAAGAGAAGTAAATCTTCATTCAGACTTTTAACATTATGCTTTTACGTATCATCATCATTAGTCCTTTTCGTTCCCACTGCAGGGGCTCAGACCTTCTTTATGGATGGTTAAGGAGGATGGGCCATGACCCTCCACGGTGGTCCAATGCGGGTTGGAGGGTATTAATGACTGCAAATGTAGCCGAGATCAACGGCCTAACGTGCTTTCCAAAGATAATAATTTTTTGGCCACCCATACCGTGACCGTTCCCTTCAAAAGTTGCTTAACAATAACGATCGTGGGCCGCCCCATATTAATGATACCAATTTAGAAAATTTTAATTCATACCGTAAAGTTCATAATTTGATTTGCTTATTATTTTTTTAGAATAGATTATTTATATTAATTGTCTATAACATTTTTAAGAATATTAAACGGGCACCTAATTGCACAAACGTCCATTAAAGTTTAATGACGACTTTAGGCTCTAATAAATGTTAAAAATTTGTATATCTGTATTGGTAATGTATAATTAAATTAATGACCATTTTAATTGACGTTTATGCATCTGGGGGCAAGATGACTAAAAAAAAATCTAATGATATCTTGTTTATTGCTATTTATACAAAAAAGAACAGTTTTTTTTTATACTACTCCCTGTAAAATGTAGGCCCGTGTGAGCTATTTTAGAATTATATCCATCACACAACCGCTTCGGAAGTTAATCGGCAAAAAATATGCTAACTGATAATGTTGATATTTATAGAAATTGGTTGTGTGACGTCTGAGTAGTGAAATTTCTTAGTGAGGCTGCTAACGATGTATCATTTTTAGGTCACGGACGTCGCCGGTGCTTTACGAGGTTAAAATCTGCATCAACATCTCGTCTCAACTATTCGCCTAAGTAAGCTTTACACAAATAATAGTTATTTAAGATACGAGTGCGGAAAGTAAGGTTTTACGAATAAGGGCCAAATTGAAAACACGAGCGTAGCGAGGGTTTTTATTGGCACGAATTCGAAAAACCTTTTACGCTCAAGTTCCTTACAACATTTTTCAATGCTATTTGCGAGAAAATAAATATATAGGGTAATAAAACTAAGTATGTATTAAAGGTAAAAATTATTTGTTATAATTAAACGTGATATTTGAACATGTTTTCGTGTCATACTCGAAAAACCTTATACGCTCAAGTTTCTTACAACCTTTTTCAATGCTTTTTCGAGGAAATAAAACAAATATATAGGTTAATAAAACTAAGTACGTATTAAAGGTAAAAAATATTTGTTATAATTAAACGTGATATTTGAACATGTTTTCGTGTCATACATTTTTATTTGAAAATATTCGTTCTAGGCTCCTTGAAATACTTTTGCTTCTAAAGTTTTACATATTTTTATCATTTTTTTTAAATTTCTTTGGTGCGCGGCCAAACGGAATTTAAAAAATACTTTTAAGCACGTGTGCAGTAAAGGATTTCAGTACATTTTTATTTAACACGTGTTTAAAGACTCACTTTCGGTGTTTACAATGGATAAAAAAATAGCGCTTTATGAGCAACTGCATTGAAAAGTTTATTAACTACTTGTCCTATGTCACTAATAAGTAGTGATCAGAGTACATAGATTAAATTGGTATCATTGATTTGAAAAGCATGGATTAATATGGACCTTCCTCCAGAATTGATCGATTATTATGATCTTTTTTCTGGAAATTAGATAGGAATTGTATAAAAATTAAAGTTAAAGTATAAAACGTGATAAAAGAAGTATGGTATCTAGCTTTAAATTTTGAATTGAATAATAATAATAGCACTACAAACATGAGCTATATTCAGTTGAATCCGGATTTACTTTGTCTTGTCCATGTTCTTCTTTCTATGCTGCTAATAAGTTGCTTTTTAGAATCGAATAGTGGAGTGCTTGCATATCTATTGTCGAAGCGTAGACTTATATATTTTGTTTATCTGCCGCGTAATTGATATAACAATGTAGTTGTTTAAATTTTAATGTTTTTATATATTATTCTGTGAAACTGTTCAATGGTTAGTTGAAGTTCATCAGTCGATTAGTATGAAGTCGATTTTTTTAAATAATAATAATATTTCTGCATTTTTTTCTACAATATAACAGATACAATAAAGGTCCAATTGCATACAATACGTATCGTCGTATATAAGGCATTAACATTATTGTTATTGTGTTTAAATTTAAGGGACTAATCTTAAAGCACTACACACTTTACAAAATACAGAACTTATTTTCCATACCAATTAAAACAGAACAGAACAACAACAGAACTTATTTTCCATATCAGTTAAAAAAAGTAATTTTTATTTTATTCAAATCTATTCCTATAATGGGGCATAATTTTTACCACAAGGTATGTCTAATTTAATGTCTTTGTTCAAAGGCGAGGTGAAGGTTGGTCGAGTCCATTAGAGTGTCTGAGGCAGCAGCTTCGGAAATTGGATGATCTCGAAGACCAGTTCCCTGATCTCGCGTGCCAACCTTCCTATAGTCTCCGATATCCTTTCGGCGAACTTGGTAAGAAAATCACATTATTAGTGATGTATCAAAAGAAAGTAATGAAGCTCTTTCAAAATCTTTTAGATTAGCCAGAGAACTTTATTCTCTTGAGATAAAAATAGTGTATGGAGTATAAGTTCATTCGATTAAGATACGCTAAGATTTTACATATAAGTAACAAAACTGTATACAATTAAGTTTTCTATGTTATTTAACTGAGCCGCAATAATAATGGTCGCTATTACCTTACTATGTTCCCAGTACTTTTTACATCTGATTCCAAAACTCGCAGTAACTCAAGAAGGTAAATTCTTTGCCATCTCTTTAATGACCAGTCTTTATGAAAGTTGCTTAACAACTTCGCAATATGGATAAGTTCCGCTGCCCGCAATCGTTGTTGTTAAGCAACTCTCACGGGATGGGTGACCAAAAAAATATTAATTCGAATTACTCCGTGCTTCGGAAGGCACGTTAAGCCGTGGATTCCAGTCATTAATACCCTCCAATCCTATTGGGCCAGCGTGGAGGATCACGTTCCATCCTCCTTAACCATCCGTAAAAAAGGCTGGAGCTCTTGCAGTGGAAACGAAAAAGGATTATGATGATGAATAGATCGTGATAACCACTAAGCCTGTCCAATAATAAGGAGTAGTTAATCACAGCATATACCGAAATAGCCAGGAGATATGATGCGGATGATTGTTCCAAGGTTCTGTGACGACTGCTGATGCTCCAGAGTTAGAGTTCGTTCGTCATCGGGCTTTAGTAGAGAGAGAAGGCATTAGGAGAGCTCGCGCAGTTCTAAAGAAAAGGCGCGCTGCTCTCAGAGAAAGTAGGGCTTCTCTTTCACCACACAGGGCGCCATCGGTGAGTGCAATTTTTTAAATTGGTATATTTTATGATTGACCCTTTTTGTAATCTATATACATTAAAAAGTTCTTTTCTGAAAACCGCGTCAAAATCGGTTTAGCTAAACGCGAGATAATAATGGACAGTATACAACACGCGTTAAAGTGTGAACCTCCATTTTTTTGTCGCTTTAAGGTACATAAAATCTTCTCTCAAGACTGATTCTCTCAAGCCTGATAAATACTATGTTGAAAACCGCTTCAAAATCGGTTCAGCCAAACGCGAGATAATCGCGACAAACATACATAAATACAGGTCAAATTGAGAAGTTTCTTTTTTTTTTGTCGGTTAAATAAGAAAATTTTGTGGAAAATTTAAGAATATTTAATCACAATATAAAATGATTTCGAATCCAACCTTTAGCCCTTTAATAAACTTTTCTAATGTAACCTTATAACGTTTGAATAAAAAAAAAGATGATGCTTTTGTCTGAGTAAATTTATTGATTAAAATAGAATTAATAATAAACATTTTTTAAATATTTTTTTATTAATTATACCAATTCGAATTCAACATTCATAATTAAGACAGGTCAACGTCGTTCCGGTCAGCTAGTGTCTTAAATCTTCAGGGATTCATCATTTCATAATTTTTTTCATACCATGACCGTGCTATAAACATATCAGGAACTTAATTTTTGAATTATTCGTCTCGCGTCGAGCGCTCGTTTTCTACGAATTTTTGTTCGATATAAACAGATTCGTCATTTATAATTCGCTCGACTGCAACGAGTGCTATGAACCAATGTTATATGGCAAAAAATATTTTCCATACGATAAGAAGATCGAAATTCAATATTTTGGATCATGTTGGTCGCCCTGCAAACAAACGATTCTAAAACACTAAAAAACGGCGTCATGTGACTGAGGAGTCGAGTGTGACTTAGGTCGTATAGCGCAAGGAAATTTTAAACACGTGAATCATAAATAGAGCTCCAGGCATAAAATAAATGATACTGTTTACTATGACCATTAAGCCGGTGTTGGCAGCGGAATTGTTTAATGGGTGTATTTGCCTGTCATGTTCCTTTTAAGTGTAGGAAAACAAATATAGAACTAGGTATAATAATATGGACATGACTCCAGGCTCAAAGGTATCTACATAGTAAATCTAGCTACTATGAGTAGCTTTATTACTGCTATTAGTTATGGACAAACAGGGGGTAGTGGGAACGTCTTATTAAGCCCAAATGAACCTCTGTATCGAAAGTAAAAAATAAAGTAACAAGTATTGATTAGCGCAGTTACAAGTCAAATATAGATGAGTATATAATTATATGGACAAGACTTTAGGCTCTGTGTTTTGAGAGATCTACATATTAGTTATTCTAGTTACTTTACTTGTAAGGATGTGCGAAACAAAATCTCCTTGGTACATGTTGTCGCAGTATGGATATGCTTGTTACTGTGGTTTTTAAATACAGTGTTAGTATACAGTCATTAAAAAGTTTCAAACCTTTCTTTGATTCTAAAGAATATTTTTATTGTATTTTTTTCCGAAATATATGACTGCAGTTTAAAATGTCTTAAAAAGTTATGCATGGTCTCTTAGAAACTATATAAGGGTGAAACTACCTGCCATAATGTTAGCCCTCAAAAATCCACTAAATATATGTAGCTATTTTTGTGTGTCTCCCTCTTATTTCTTAGAAAGGCCATTACTTCTTTGCAAGCTAGACTAATTAATTATTAAATGCTACAAGTATCCATAATATTTCTTTTTTTAATTCTTAAACTTCACTCCCTCACGTACTTTTACTGTAAAGCTAAATAAATATAATAATAATAAATATCAATATAAAAGAAATTATATACTGTAATATTACAAGGAAAATAGAGCCGTTTTTTTTGTAGTTATCACGTAGAAAATCGTGTAGAGTTGTAGAATAAATCATACATAGCGTTGTGTTTCATATAAATTGATTTAGATCTTGATTTCGGTAATTTAAATTTGAATATAACTTGGTGTCAGGAGGAGAGAGAAGCTACAGAACTTGAGGTTGCATTACATCGTGCCCGAGCCTTATTAGGCGAGAAGGAAATCAGACTTCGACACATCGAGCGAGCGTTACGCCGCCTTGCTGACACTCACCCACCGCCATTGCAGGTCGATAGACCTTATTGTCAAGATATAAGGATCACATTTTGCTTGCATTGGAAAAATGGCCATTGAGTTAAATGTGTTGAGTTCGAATTTTGGTTGCAAAAATTTTTGTCGTCTTGTGTTTAGTTGTTTTTCTTTTTGTTCGTTTCGTTTCTAGGTTATTTGAGAGATTAGAACGGAAATATAACAACAGAGCAAAAACCTGATCTAATATATTTTTTGGTATTCTGCTGTTGCAATAACATATTTGATCGCAAGTTATAGAAGTTGCAATTTTTTTTTTACTCTAGTGATTCTGTATTTAAATTTATTTTGATTTGACCATTAGCTGAAAATAGGTGTCATTCAATTTTACGTAATTCCTCTGTTTGCTTGTTGCAAAAAAGTGATGAATTTGTTTAATTGTTTGTATACATAGATATATTTCAATTTGTTTCGTTTGCAAATCTATCTATAACAAGCATTTAGATTTAAGCATTATATGTAACGAAACAAGATTGACATTTGTTTGCTAATTTTAGGGCTTCTCATACTTTTAGTTAGGCTCACTACGCTAAATTTCAAATAGACTTTCTTTCACGCCGTATCAATTTTTATGTTCTTCTTTGACATTCTGTTATTCATTTTATCTTTTTTGTATACATACTTGTAATCGAATTTGATTTTGCAATAGTCGAATTGTTTGTTAAACTAGAAATAAACTTTATATTGATAGGAAGCAACAACCAGTGATGCATCTTCGGGTAGTGAAGTGGCCGCTGAAGCGGAAGCGGGAGGAGCGGTATTGAGATCCCTTCGTGCCCTTCACGCTGACGTTCGTGATATATGGAGAGCTTTAGATGCCAGGAGGCCACATACAGGTTAGTTTTCAGGGTTTCGTATTTTAATAGAAAAAGCCAGACAAGAGTCAGACCCGCCAAACTGGGGTTAGATATACTTTTAATGGCTTACTTTATTGAAATCTTAAATTTTGAGGTTATCTTTTGTCAATTTTTTAAATCACATGGCCATAAAATATACAACACTAAAAATGGATGAATATAAAACCCTTGTTTCCAAATAATGAATGCCTTTACACCAGCCCTTTTACGTCTCCACTGCAGGGGCTCAGGTCTTCCTTATGGATGGTTAAGGAAGATGGGCCATGACCCTCCACGCTGGTCCAATGCGGATTGGAGGGTATTAACGACTGCAAATGCAGCCGGGACCAACGGCTTAACGTGCTTTCCGAAGCACGGAGTAGCTTGAGATAATAATTTTTTGGTCACCCATCCCGTGACCGACCCTTGCGAAAGTTGCTTAACGACTACGATCGCGGGCCGCGGCGCTTATCCACTACGCCACCGAGCTTTCGTAAAGTCAATTATTGATCTCTCTGGTTTGTTTCCCTCGTTTCCCATGCAATTTACCTGCATACGTATTTGTTATTTATCAGATTTCTCGAACACCACATTGCAATATTCATAATGTCAAGGCAATGCGATAAGTAAGGAAGTTTAAATCATAATTAGTCATTATGAAAAATGTTCTTATTCATTACTTTGTCCATAACATGTTATTGTCCTTTACAGCTTCCCCAGAAACAAGTTCGTGTAATGCACCAACAACATCCCAGACTCGAATGACATTATCAGCTGTGAGTAAATATTATGAAGTTCAATTAATCAATAACATTACTACGCACTAGACATCGAGCACAGCGATTCACTATTGTTGGATATTACTGTAAAGGGTCACTCATGTCCAAAATCAATGTTAGTTAGATATGTTTCTCCATAGACCTAAATCGTTGCTTAATAATATGAAATTCAACTTTCCACGATAAGAAACAAAGCTTAATTTTGTAAATATGCATTTTAGCCTGATCCAATAACACAAGATAATTCCGATGGAGGTGTCGCGGAAAGAGCTAGAGGATTACGAGCATGGCTTCAAACAACACCATAAACATCAAAATCAACGTCGTCAATACACCAATCGGAGTCGAGGCATGTTAAATAAAATGTAATGTTAGTTTGTTAACCCTTTCAATGAATAGCACTCTTAGAAATTCATCATCAATGATAAATAAAGCTAATGATTAGCATACTCGTAATTATACTGTCAGTAATGTTTAGTGATTGGAGTATGTAGATGATTTTGATACTTGTTACGTTAATATTCATAGAAAGAATAACATGGATAAGACATTTTACTGGATAGTATTTCTTGATTTAACTGAATATAGTTTATGTTGATAATGATATTATTACTATCTAATTCAAAATTGAAATTAACGTTTCAAAACTAAGTGAATTTAGCTCACTTTTATTTTAATCAATATAACCTAAGACATTGAATTGTATATTTTTTTCACTTCAATTGTTATATATTTCCTATCTAAATTCCGACAAAAAAATCATTAATATTTTCCGAAGGAATATCTATATTAATGTATACGTTCCAGATCAATTCAGTCTACCTACTCCTATCACTAATATGTAATTTTTGAACTATTGCACAAAACTGATGAAATCAATATTTATGACATTATGTAATGATGTAAATTACCTTATTGTATGTATTAACAAAGTTGGAAAAAGTAAGTTATGGTTAGGTTATTTATTTTAATTTCAAGAAAATGAAAAAGTGAGTTGGTCAAACCTTTTTATGAAAAGGATTATCGAAAATAACATTTTTACTAATATGAGGATTATAGGAAAAAAATACTATAATCCTCATGTTAGTAAAAATTTAGTAGTTTTTTTTGTTGAATAAATGAAAATTAAATGGACAGTGCAACAAAAACCACAGGTATATCCATGTTGGTGATAATGGTTTTTTTACTAGTAGGATGTAAGAAATAAAAAAAACTGCTCATCATGGATTAATTTGTTTTGTTCGATACAGAGAAGACTGTAAGCATCTGTAAGGTCCATTTTCAGTCGTTGATGCCGCCATTCTTGCAAGCATGATAATTTTTATATTATCATTTTACGATCATTTCATTTTATTTATAATTTTTCATTGTTGTCGTTCCTTATTGCCACTCTGGGCTTGCCCACCGCCAATTTTAGATCGGGCACTGGGCAACTGGGCAACCTCCAATTGTACCCATTGGACATGTTATCTGCTTGGAACTAATATATGATTAAATAGACTCTTAATTAGAAACAAAATTAAAGTTTTTTAAATGGTGTAAATAAGATGTTGAATATTTGAAAACCACGTATATTCTCTATATGAATCATAGCGTGTATGTAGACTTTGTGAAAAATCTGATTAATTTAATTGTTTGAATTCTACGTCAAAAATAGTCATATGAAAGTCTGAGTTTAGAATTATCTCTAGTCAATATAAAGTCATAATATGACGAATGAAAATTTTAAGATTTATCTTAAACGAAAGTGGAAAAAGATTGTAAGGATGTATTTGGAAACAATGTGACTCGCTCTAAAAGACAATTTGTTTAAACTACGTATACATTTAGTATTTAAATTACATATATATAATGTTTAACGTCACAATAATTTATTTTTAAGTTCCAAATAAATTGAATTTTAATAAAAATCCTGTTTTGAAAGTTTTAAATGTATACGGTGATAAATTGAATTACAAAATGAATTCGCACAAAAAATGAGAGTTGTCTTAATTATATTTAGGGTATTTAATAATATATATAAAATTTAGTACATAATTTCTAATGAATCTTAATCTAAAGGTCAGTTAATTTAGATTGGTACAAAATTTGGTCATGCAAAAGTGAAAGTATAAATACCTATATTTGTTTCTGAAATTGTAAACATATGTTTTTTTTAATATGACAGTTGTCAATTATTGCAAAAGTTTTGCCGACATTAAATCTATTTTTTTTAAGAAAAATTAAATAAAAAATGATATCGTTAAATTAATATGTATTGTTTTTACATATTATGTTTTCAAATGAGTTAACGTATAAATCACATTTAACGTTTAAAAGTTAATGGAAATTTAGAAGATTAGTATAACAAATTTCAGCGGTCGATCCCGAGAAAGATTTTATATCGTAAATAAATAAATTGTTTTATTAAATAACTGTGGGTTGGCAGCATATTTATGAAAATAATAATAATAATAAGCGTTTCTTTTCAATTATTTTTTTATATAAAAATATTGATATTTTCTCACTAAGATTTATCTTTATAAGTTTACTTAATTTACTATAATTGAATTAATTTAACTGTGATGCGATTCGCTGATTATAAAGTGTCTTCTTTACATATTGAATGTCTGTATGGTTTTAATATAATGTCATCTAGTCTTAATAATATGCTATCACTGGCCAAAATGTCAGCTTCCTTTGTCGTTTATTGTTTGAAATAAAGTTTTAAGATTGAAAGTGTTGTAACTAATTTAAGTCTTTATTACAATATCGTAAGCAAGATATGGTGTTAAAACACACCAAGAAAATATTCCGGTATTGTCTTTTTACTAAAATAGATCTTATTGTAATTACCTAAAACTTACTATCGTTTAACAAATAATAAAGGTATTAAAACTAACCAGATGCGGCAGTATTATTCTGTCGTGGTTTGTTTAATAAACACAAACTGTACTGAAAATAAATCTGTCAAAGGCCAGTGATAGTAATACTCTCGCCTTGCTTTAAAATTAGTAACAGTAATGAAACCTAGTTTAAGTGATCCCAATTTTATGTTGTGATAGTACGTTAGGTAATGTTTAGAATTGATCGTTATAAAAGACCTTGAGGCACGATTGTATTTGCTTCAAAAATAATATTTATTGGACTGTATTTACATATATATAACAAAATTTAAAAATTATATCGACTTTTGGAATTGATGTTTGGTGCACGTGGTCTTTTATCGTAAGTTAAATTATTATAGTCTAAATATAGCCAAAGTGTAACTTTAGATAATTAGAATTTTCTAGTCAAATATCATTGAACTTTAGCGTTTATTCTTATTTGGTATGAATATTGGGCCAGCGTGGAGGGTCATGACCCATACTACTTAACCATCCATAAGGAAGGCCTGAGACCCTGCAGTGGGGACGTAAAAGGGCTGATGATGATGATGATGATGATGACGATGATGATGAATATAGAAATCTAGGAAAAACTTGGATGTTTGTTAATGTAAATGAGCTGTGATCGTGATAAGATAATACGATCAAATTACGTTTACATAAAATGTCACAGCTTCATTCTTTTTGCCTCTCAATAGATGGCACTGTGTTCAAATTTAATGTTATTTTTATCAATGAATGTCCATATTCCTTTATGTTTGCCTTTATTATTATATTATGTTACGATGCGAATTCCAATATAGCTATTTGTATTAAGGAACATAAAATTACATTTTAACGGTATTTGTACAAGGATTGTCTATATTTTGTTGTGGAATCGTAGGATAAGATTTCGCATAAATATTTATAGTGTTCTTTAGAATTTGTATTAAAGTGTGTAAGTTTTTGCTCACCCTTTATCGTTGACTGTGAAACAGCTATATCTACATATTCAAAATCTACGTAATACATATAAGTGTAGGAAAATATAATTATACATAGAGGTATCTATATAAGAATCTTATTATATATTATACTAACATTAACTTACTGACATTTACCACACAAATATAATAATGCCAAAAAGAGTATGTATGTATGTATAATGTTTTTCTATTGAAATGATTTATCATTTTTACCAATATTTTGTAATTTCATCTCTATTAATGAGACAATAAAGTCTGTATGCATTTTTTTATCTAAGCAAAAAAGATCTAATCTCCTATAACTAGCTTATTTATTATTAAATTGTTAAGAAATTTTTTATTATGTTAGTAACTGCGGTTAACCTCAAGGTATTTTTTGCAGTATGCATTTAATAAACTTTTCGTTCTAAATTAAACAGTAATTAATATTATACAAAATTGTTTAATATGTGTAATAGATTTTAAACTTTAACTGATTCAAAATTAGGCTCAATATCGACTGTCAATATTTGTGGTAACTTTTGTCGTGCATTACTGGTCTTAATATTTAACGCACAAACAAAATAACCAGATGCCAGAATCCATATATTAATTCTGGCCTTACATTTAGAAAGGACGAATAAAAACGAAAAAATGTTCATATCCTTCTTGAATGTAATAGGGATAATGCCTGGAGTTAAAAAAAAGAAATTTAGTCACAGATGATAGAAACAGTCGGTAGATAATTGAAACAAGATACATAGTTTTTTTTGCTTCTATTTAATAAGAACTGGCTTAAATAATAGACATTTCAGTTGAGGAGTGGAAAGGTGACGTCATGCGACATTTCAACTCAATGTATCATTGTAGTTTATTACACAAAAAAAAAGTTTTTAATATTCTTCAATACACGATGGATAGAAAAAAAATATATATATCATTATCCTTATTACAATAAAAAATGGAAAAAATCGCTGAATTTTCTGTGTAACTTTTTTGTATCGAGAAAATTTTAATGTGACAGAACTCTTAGAAATATGACGTAGTTATGTCTTTTTTTTCTACAGCTTATTTAGACTGTATTTCTTTATACAAAACTAGTTAATCTTAGTGATTTTAAATGTGCGTGTCCTCTTAATGTATGCGTGTTTAAATTTTACAAGGCCCTATGTTTAGTACAAAAAGTTAGATTTTTACTTAAAAGTCCAGCACAATTTTTTTATAAAGTCGAAGTTCTAAATCATAATTATAATTCTTGATAGTATAGTATTAAAAATGTTTTCGTAGCCACAAATTTTATTGCTAAGAATGTTTTGTGAGACTATGAGTAAATCGCTTTCTTCGATGTTTATATTTAGATTCTTGCCTACAATGACGTATTTTATCAGACACGTCATACCCGTACGTTATTGCGTTTTAAAACAGCCTAAGTTTTATTTTGGTACCGTAATATTATAATATAATCACAAATAGCGCGAAGATTAAAGGTACTAGATAACTATATCAGTTATTTGTTTTTTGTCCATTGGTGTACAATAATTTTTCATTCATTTATTATATCAGTGGAATTCCTTAATATCAGGACTGCGATCGCCTAACCCTCTAGCTATAGGATACGATACCTCAGCGAATATTATGACGATATGTAGTTTAATTTTACTACATTAATATGTCTTTTATTGGTCTGTTGATGGATGAAAGACTAAGTTAGTAATGCTGTTGTCAAATCTATAATCATCATTCTTTATCAATTATTTGTCGTTATTAAAATACATGTTAAAGTCATAAAAGTCACCACCTTTTGGAAAACGAAATTCGGGACATTCTGACTGTCATCAGAAATAATAGGATTTCAGCCCACGATAGATAGATTCTTATTATAAGCAAAAGTAAAAAATAAAAAAAGATCCTTGAAATCATTCAATGAAATTCGGTCACCTCGGCAATTACTATGAATGAACCCATAGGTAAAAGAATGAATTTTAATATTTAGTCGAATTTCATCAACGAACAAATATGGGACAAAATGAATAACAAGCCGGGACAACATCATTGAAATCGGACAGTCCTCGAAAATTCGCGACGGGTGGCAACCCTGGTCATAACATCGCTAAGATATATTCTATAGCTTGAATTATATATAGCTAGAAAGTTGGCAGTCGCAACTCTGATCGAACACAAATAATATGGAAATGTTAAAAACTTTGGAGGTTATAATAATAATACCTAAATAAATTTTATAAGAGTTTTATTAGTTATTATGACGTAATTTGGTTGCAATTTACTCATAGTTCGCTAGGCGGTTCGACTGATAATGAAACGGCTCATTTGTTCGATGCATTCATTATAATATGGCGGAATTATACCTTTTTTATACGTCAACAAAATGAATTAGGCACTACCCCTGCCGCCTGGCAAGCGACAGGGGTTGTGTGGGATTCTTACGTGAACCCACCCCGTGGCTAGCCGCGCGTTGGGTTCCTGAAGGTCTACCCACAAAAACCCCTACGGTGTATCGTCCGATGAGATCCGGGAAGCCGTGACCGAGGACGCTCACCCCAGTTCGGTATTATATCTACAGGTCATAATCAACTTGACATCAAATTTATAACAGCCAAGGGTTACAGCGAAATCGTTTTTAATGTTTTCATTTTGACTATCGCCATATTTATAATGATAACCTCGAAACAATGATAATGGCACTGTGATAGTAATATTAGAATATATCACTAATTCTCACGTTTATAGTTATAATTTCACTATAATTAATAAAACCATAGGCATAATTTAATTATATGTATTGTCTTTAAAATAATTATTTTCATAATATTCACCACTGAAGTCTTACATAGATTACTCGATTACAACCGAAATGTCCGGCACGACAGTGCTTGTAAATGTTAGCAAATTCACAGTATGAATATCTTTAACTAACGTTTTTATGTTAAAGTGATAACGCTATTTAACGATAACGGGGAAACAATGGCTAGAATGTGCTGTGCTAGAAAGAGAGGGAGTACCAAACACCTTCGATTGATTGAAAGCGATCGGTACTCGATAAAAATGTTTCTCTTATTAGCACATCTTTTCCCAGCCACTGTTCTTAATCCTAACTGGTTATTTCGGTTAGGTTGGGTAATTTTCAACAGTATTTACAGCCCTGCTTTGTAAACCAGTTTAAGCGATGAAATTAGACCCTAAATCCTTAACTTAAATATCAAAATGGGAAAAAACTGTATTCGTTAAGTTCATTTAGACCAATATGTTATTTTTAAGCTCATTATAGTCAAAAGTTTTTAAGGTAACGTCCAAGATATTATTAATGTTATGTACATATTGTTTATATACACACACCTTAAAATATTTAAATTGTATTTATTATGAAGATATCGCAAAATAGTTAAAGCGTTTCAAATAATAAAGGAATATTTAGACTTAAACCATTTACGTACACGATCTGTTACTATGATAAAAAATTCAAAAGTATAACATTGTAAAACTATAATAAACTTAATCTAATTTAATATAACTAAAACAAAAACTGTAACAAGCCAAAACATTATACTTAAGTAAATTAAGCTGCACTTACATAAACACGATTTGTGAAAAAAAAGTATGTTTATGTATCGATCTGAACGAGTGTCTTTCTATCAAGTACTGTATCATAACTATCAGTATCTTAAAGATAAGAAATTGAAAAAAATATGTGTAACTGCAGCTTAATAATAATAGTCGTTTACAACGATCATACAATGTTTTACCAAAATAAACAAACATGCCAACAAAATTCTTGTATTTATTTAAGTATCAATTACCTACAAATATTAATTACACTATTGACGATATACAAACTTTAAAATGTAACTTACGAATTAATGACACCTGATGGTTTGTTCTATTTGTCCTCGTACTCGAAAATATGGAAAGTTTCAAATAATCTTCTAATTTTGTTAAAATCAAATCCGTCAAAATTAATTATCATTCATTTATTAGGAGCTGTAATGGCGTTTCGAAAATAGACGAAATTTCGTTTTAGGTACAGTTTTAGCAGTAATACTAACTGGTGTCATATTAATATGTATGTTTAGCAAAAACAAATGATAGTATTCGTATTCCGATAACCCATGACCTTTCGCAATCAAATGAATGATAATTAATTTTAACGGATTTAATTTTAACAAAATTATAAGATTATTTGAAATTTTCCATTTTTTCGAGTACGAGGACAAATAGGAACAAGCCATCAGGTGTCATTAATTCGTAAGCATCATTCGATCGTAGTATTATCACCTTTACCGAGTAAAGAATCGAGGTCTATATGGGTGTAAAGTACTGATTTCCTTCGGGATGATTACATCCCGCAAAAATCTAAACGTACAATGTGAACTATGAAAAAAGAAAGTAATGTAGGTACAACTAAATGCTTCTCATAAATTGAGAACTCTGATTTTTAGCGATATAATAAGATATAAAAAATATGAATTGTATCTGTTTTTTTAATATATAAATTGCTTTCACAATGCCATGCTGAAAAAAAATCTTAATGCTAAATGCTTAAAAATCCACTTTGCCCAATGACCTTTCGCAATTAGCGCGACTGCTCTAAGCACTGAGCTACCCAGGACTTAAAATACAAATATTTTAGACTTAAAATATTTCATTCGGCTGTTTGGGTGGATTGCCTGAACATTGATGAAAATAGTAGTTGCGAGTTGGTTTGAGTCTCATCTCAAAATAAATACCTAGTACTAATCACAAAATGATAACGTAAATGCAATATTTATCAAATACAAATAAAACAATATGGGGTCGAATTGTTTAATTTTAAAAAAATATCGCAATCCTTTTCAATTTAATATTTTAAAGATAAGTAATGAATATATCGTCAACTTAACGTCAGTTGGAATTGTCTAAGGCAAGCGTTAGACCCAAATAATAGTTTAGAAATAATGAGAAATGTGAAACAAAATAATTGAATGCTAACTGAAATCTTTCGACTGGGTCGGCCTATCATTAAAATCATCATTAATAGGGATGATGACTGGGTAAAAAAAATGCAATTCTATTTAGTCCGTCAGTCAGATAATAGAAAAATATTTGATACGTATTTTTTTTTACTTCAATTTAACAAGAAATAGCTTAGATAACAGACATTAAATTTGAGGAGTGGGGGCTCGCTACGTCACAGTTGAGTAGAAAACGTACCCTAACGTGACGTCATGCGAAACTTCAACTCCATATAACGCCGTAATTTTATGATTCCGAAAAAAATAAAAAAATACGTGTTTAATATTTTTTAACACTCTACCTGACGGACAAACAAACAAAAATTAGTCATCACCCCTGTTCCGAAAATGATAGTGAATTTAAAAGTTATACCATTAACCGCTATCACAATCGTAATATATTTGGAAGGGATTGCGATATAGATTCTGGAATTCGACAATTAGTCCACTGGATTTCATAATGTACTATTTTTTATGACATATCTTAATAACACTTTACATGGTAAGTATAGGTACCACTTCCTTATACTGATTACTGTAAGAACATAAAATCACTTGTTGAAAGGTTCACGACTAATAAACTCTGGCCATATAAGTTCCATAATAGTTACGCGCTTCTACGACCCAATCTAATCTTGCGAAAACTATTTTACTGAGAGCTCTTTTGAAATGGGTTTTCGGTTTTATCTCAGTAACGCTGACATGATGAAGATCAAAGTTGTGCCTGAAATTAAAAAAAAGTTTACATCAATAGGTTAGTTAGTCATAGATTATTATTATTGCTTTCTACTCGCTTTCTAATGTGGTCGTGTATTATACATTTAAATCTATTGAGTAGTTAAAAAGATCTCAGGCGTTTAGACAGCGGAAAGCGATCTTGAAAATGATATCTTATTATGTAGATATCTTATTTATCCAGATATCTTAAATAAGATATCTGCACGTGTAGACATACTTTGTTGTTCTCTGAGTGAATTCTCAAAAACGGCAATGTATACATATATTATGTTATACCTAGATAGAAATTGGAATAATTCTGTAATATATCTTTGTTGCTTAAATATTGCTTAAAAATTGGCTCACGCAACCTGTAATAATAGATTAAGAGGTGTGTATAAATGAGTAAATATTTTTTTTGTTTTATACTATGTATGGCTATATACAAAGGGCTAAAGATGCATTTACCACACTTTTATTGGTTTCGTTTAAAACGATAGAATGGCGTATACGGCTCTAAGCGTATACGGCTCACGACCCTATAGCCCTAGGATCTAGGGATCCCGTACTATCTACCTATAGGAAACGGTAAAACACGTTTGTATAAATATTTATTTGATTTTTTGTTAAAGCGGCAACAGAAATATATCATCTGCGAAAATTTCAACTGTCTAGAAGTCACGGTTTCACGAGTCACAGACAGATGAACAGAGAGGACAGTGCAGTCTTAGTAATAGGGATTTATTCTTTGGATACCGAACCCTAAAAGGATTCAGAGTATAATATCAATATGAAATTTACCGGTAGATAGTGTTACCAGATGAAAAATCAAAAGTTCGGAGAAAAGACCCGATTTCCATTGAAAAATTCTGAGATTTTGTTGCAGTTTGCGATTATTCTCGAACGTATAATTGAAAAAAGTTAAATTATTATCGTGTTTATTCATTCATTGCACATCGCAAACTTTATCAAAGGGATCTTAAAACGTACTATATTCTATTAAAAATTCTGTAATTTCCTGAGATTTGCAAAATCCGACTGCAATTCTGAGGAGTCCAAAAATCCTGAGAATATCGTAGATCAGTTTGGAAGACAAAAATCAGTTAATTTTAATCCTTACCGATTGTTATTCTTAATCTATCTGGCGCATTAGAATACATCGCCGATTGTCCTCTTATTACTTGTTTTCCTTTCTGAATCTCCGGCGTGCATTGTAAACTGTAGAGGTCTTCAGGTTGTGGATTGAAAGATGACCACACTTGCCAAAGCTTCGACGTTGCGTTCCATACCGGTGGTCCAAGATAATTGGCAGGTACCTTTAGAAATATTATAGGTTTAAAGAACTGAATGCACATGCGAAACAACGCGTGATTCCTTTTAAATAGTTTCAGAAACATTACAGTTTTACATAAATTGCTTCATATATTTTTTGTGTTTTGTGTGAATTCGCTGCGTCGCGCTGAGTGTCGCCATGCGGAACGGTAACATATATTTGTATCAGACTGTTATTTTAATACCCACTATCGCGTCTTACGTCACGACTCATGAGTCATCCATGAGCTGGATTAAGTTAGCGGAAGATCGTGTTTTGTGGTGCATTCGGGAAGAGCTCTAAGTCCTACAGTGGTTTACAACTAATTACTAGTAACAGTGATAACTAATGAATAAAAAAATACGCGCGGTGCGACACGAGATACGGTTAACATATTATAATTCCACCTTTTTTCGGTATCAGTGATGCATTATTCTTTAGACAAACTAAGTTCGTATTGTGCCTAGGGCGTAATGTTACAAGGTGCGCATTTCATTATGACCTAAAAATCCAAAAACTCATGACCTAAAGACGTCGCCCAATTTCTGACGAAGGTTGACTTTGTTTGGATAGTATATAATCCAAGGTAGGGAAGATACATTTATGTTCTGGCGGTGGTTTCACGGGGTTCCTTATCGTTTAATTTCTTGCAGCTACGTTTCATATATAGATAGATATTTATTTATTAAATATAAAATAAAAATTTGAATTGAAAACGAAACCGACGTAATCGGATTTGTTTTTCTTTATATTTTTAAATTATTTTTATAATAATTCTGTTGGTTATGGGTTTGATAACTTTCAGGTAAAATTTTACTCACCCTTTGGTTATTAATTGTCCACATTATTTTGGGCGCCGGCAAACCAGAAGCACTGCAATTTACTGATACTGTGCCAGACTCAAACTTCGTCACTGTTATTTCGGTATCGGATGGGGGAACTGAAAATGGAAATCATTAATTAGGAAATGAATGTAAAATGACTGTTGGATTTAGTATGTGGTTTATTTAATTTATTAGAAGTAGTTTACGCACTTGCATACATCATAATTCTATGTATCTTCCATCTTTATCACACATGTGTCAACTTAATGACGAGCTACAACCGCACTGATTCAATTTCGATGAGAATACGATATCGATGAACGATATCGTATGAATCGTTCACAAATACTGACATAATAATAATATTACGCGATTGATTTGATCGTGGAAGGTGTTTCATGCCTTCCTCGGCTTCTGCATCCTTCCACTTTTGCGTTGTATATAAATAAATAAATATTAAACAACATCATATACGTTGCTCAGATTCCAAGATGAGTAGCTAAAGCATTATTTACGCGTGTCCGACTCAACGGAGCATTATAACTAGGAACTTACTAAGATATTCAACGAATATCTCCTTCTGGTCTGTTCTAAAGTAAGGTCGCTCCCCTGACACTTCGCAGCCGAATGTGAAGTCTTTCCTCGGAGCCAGCTGTGGCTCGTACGTCATTACACACTTTCCAGTCACTCCATTATCGTCTTCAGCGCAATCTAACTTCGACACCGTTTCGGAATACCACGAATGATTCATGCTTCTTTGGTTCTGTAATAGATAGTTTTATTATTTAATTATATATTTCTACCGCACCGATTATTAGTTTACTAAAACTATCCTTTAAAAATTGCTTCGGTAGTTTAGGCGTGAAATCGTAACAGAGGCACAGACGTAGTTACTTTCGCATTTATAATATAGCTATGGATAATCTCAAGACCTTATATAATATATTTTTTATTTTATTATAATGCATGAAAGAGAAATTAATAAAGGTTTTCTTTTTTACTTATTTATTTTATTTAATCTCATGACCACTATTCAAGCAGTACCTACACATCAGATGTTTACATGTAGACTCTATTTTATAATAATATTGGAGTATCTTCGATTACTAGGTACAAACAAAATTATTGTACCTAACTATTTATTTAATTTAACTGCAATTTTATGGTAAAACTCACAACGGCCAACAGATCTTAAGTTAATAAATAGTTCATGGACACGTGGACAATATTAATCGGATATCTTATACATTAGAATTCATTATTCAATAAAAATATTCCTAATGAAAAATGCTTAAAAATGGAATGATGGGATTCAAACCCACGACCTTTCGTAATCCAGGCGACTGCTCTAACCATTGAGCTACCCAGGTGACCACAAAATTGCTCAAATATAAATACTTGAGTACTGTCAAACTAATTATAGTGCTTTTCTGTACATTCGTACGTCCTTGGATACACTTCCGATATATGGAAGAATTCTATTTATATGAAGAAATCGAATTCTATATAAGTATTCATGCTATAAGGAGGTTCTCATAGCAGTTATATAAATAGAATCTAACGAATCTCGAGAAAGTTTCTTGGACAACTACTAATAAATGGAAACATTTTGACTTCTTATTAATCGCTAATGATCACAAAAAACAAATTATTTGTCGTTAATGGTTCACCAATTAGGGCATTATCATAATGATGGTAATGATTCTGATTTTGTGCGAATTTGGTAACTCATATGAAAAAGTTATGTCATATTTATCATCTACGTCCCAACAATTAGGACTAAATGGCACATAAAACTTAATAAAAAGAGGAACTCCAATGTCACTCGTAGTAAACTAATTAATTCAACCCAAAGTACTCATTATTTACTCCATCCGCCCCAGAAAAACAAGGTCAATTAGTTTTTGTCAACGTAAACTAGGTTATTTATAGCGTTGTGACCAAATAAGGTAGAAATAACTATTTTTTCACAATTTATAAAAAATTGGTTAGGTTATATAAATTGGCTAATATTATCTATCCTTTCAGGCAAGCCACGGAGATACATAAAAATGAAGGTTGGATTAGGTGCAATGAGACGAGACAGAATGGTAATTATATATATTTGAAGATAGACATAGATAAAAAAACTTGTTTTGAGATACTTTTAGTTGACAACCATCGTGGTGAAAAAGAAGTTGTCATCTCTCGGTTTAGATTTCTACAAACAGACATGGACCAAAAACCGCCCATGGGCTAAACGTGAGAAGTAGTATTTTGACTATGTCACATAAATAATTTTTAACCATAAAGGTCAATGCTGATTCTCTATGATGTCTAACCTTCGTTAGGAGAGGCACATCAAGAAGAAAAGGAAGGTCTATGTAGACAGGAACTGCCTAGGGCTTTCGTATTTGGGGGGCAGTCTGGCGTATCAAACAGATATATTTGCTATTATAGGGATAATGACTTATTATGTAAGTTTTTTTACCAGATTTAATTCTTAAACACTAGTTTTTAGACTTTACTCTTTGATCAGTTAGTATCTATTACTTCTACTCTTTCATCTATCAAGTGTGTGTATATATTATACGTAGCATCTCATATGAAGACACGGCTGAAGGCCATGGAAGCCAGGGCCGGTAAAACCTTTATATAAAAAAAAAACGTAGCATCATCTTGTTGATTATACTTTTGATTATCTTTCGACTACGGCGGTTGCTTGTCAATGTATTTTTTATTTTTTAATAATTTATTGTATACTTTTCGTATGTTCATTGAATGTAATTAACGTAAACACTAGCTTATGGATTCACTTTGTGAAATATAGCAATAAATTAAATATTGAATGTGCGGCGTTTGTATTCGGAGTAGAAGTATACCCACAGCCTTACATCAATACTTTCTATTGCTACATTACGAACATGAATCCATGTTCGCGGCATTCAGAAGTTCAAAATATTCAGACCAACAGTATTTAACGTGAGTAAGGCTTCTCTTGGTATTGGCAAATTATACTCTTTAATTGGTGCTTTTGAGCGGTTTGTTTTGTTTTTATAATAGGCGTCGTTCTAGTATTTTGAATACGGCACCAAGTTCCAGCGATTTGCCCAGGGCGCCAAGTTTCATTGAACCGGCGCTGTATGTAGTATTGTCTAGACTTACCTCGGGTCTAAATATTATGAATTGATTTCCATTTTTGTATAATTTTACTGATTGTAGAGAATCGTCCGCAAGGAGTTTCCATGAACATGTGATCTCCCAGCCGAAGTTTTGTTTCCATTCGTGTGTTAAGTCTACTGTGGTTGATTTCACCATAACTGTAACAATAAATATTATGAAGATACTCGGTCATCTCCTTATAATTGGTGTTTCTTCAAGCAGTACCTAATGAAGGTACTGTCACGAGTACATTACTATAGGTAGGTTCAGGACGATTTATGGTCAATGCTGGCCGATAATATTTTGAATTATTTCTTTTCCGCGTCGATTTAGCGTTGTCCTGTCTTGCTGATATATAATATTTCTTTCAGGACGCCTCCACTACAGGGGCAGTAGCTATAAATTATAATATTTGTTTTATTGTCATACTATAAAGAAATTCGATAATATTATATAAAAATATCTTTAATTCTATGAAATAATCCCTATTCCATAGGTATGCTATAATTGGTTGTTGAATGTAAATGAAGTGATATCAATAAATATTAATAAACTAGTTTTCCGGCAGCGACTTCGCAATCGTGGTCCCGTATTATACAGGGTTATGGGTAATTAGATCGGTTCCTTTTAAGGGGTCGTAGGGGAGGTCATTTACAATTATTTTCACCTCTCATTATGTATCAGAAAGTGAGCCAATTTTGTGATTTTTTTTTAAATCGAAAAAAAAAACAGCATTGACCATAAACAAGCGTTGCTTCACGTCGGTTTTCTCTGAGGCCGTGGTATCACTCCGGTCGAGCCGGCCCATTCATGCCGAATCTGTTGTGTAGTTTAAAGATCTCCGCGTACAGACAACGAGAATTGACTTTGATTTACTCTATGTTGGTGACATTTAAGTATTTCAGTTATGTTAAGTATTTCAGTTTTCGAAGTAAATGTGTTTGTTCACATTTAATTTTCATTCAAATTTAGAAAACTAAAGCATTCAAAACCATTGAATAAAATGTTAGTAATTAATGAAACACAACCTTATAATAGAAAAAGTGAAATATATTTATTGATAAAATATATACAACGTTTTTACAGCTGGTTGGCGGGAAAACATTTTTCTATCTATATTATTGCCTCAGGTTTGGGCGGCCTTTCATTATTTGCTAATATTTATGAAATTATATACCATATAAAATGTTTATTATTAATTAGCATTTGAAATATTTAAATCAGTGAAATTAGAACCAAACTTTCGACAACAACTGATACTATGAAACTCGTATTCCGAATTTACGATATATCGTATTCTGAAATTTTCTCATACATAGATATGATTTAATATTACTTATAAATAATATTGTTTTTCACAGTGCAAAGAAAACAAATACCTATGTCACAAAGTATTTTATTAATACGAGTAAACAGCTTTCTTTTTGTTTTCTTATTTACAAATTTGTAACTGGGATACAGAGAAATAAATTATTATTATTATTATAATAGTATTAATTCAAACAACATAAAATACCTGCTACCGTTTTTTATCTTTAGATACATTCTTTGAGTTCTACAGAAGACAACAATTAATTTCTACACGCTTAGACAAGTGTCTTTAATAACAATTTGAATAATAGAATTCAAAATTCTAAAGATCAGCGTTATTTTATGATTTAGTAAACAGCTTCATTCTACCGAGTGGTTGAAGAACTTCATTATGTAAATGCTTCGCATTTTCCCAGTAAACGTATGTTTGTCACGCAGCGTGAATGAATAAATGGGAAATGGGTTAAGTGTCCACGACCCTACTTTGGGTTGCGAACGTTGCTACCAAATGTAGACGAAATGTGATTAGTTGGATTCCTTCGTTACAAAAACTTAGCTCAAGATCTGTTTCTCGGGATGTCATTACACCAATTGACGTCGGCTAAATGAGATAAGAGAATGTGGCCAGATCTTAATTTGTGTAATGCAATTAGGACTATGCAATTGGTAATTTGTGGGACTTCTAAAAATAAAAATAAGGCAATAAAACTACAAAATTGGTTCTACTTAGTTATTTTATTATTTAAAAAAATAAAACAAAAAAATGGTTGATTTCTTAAGTATTTCACATAATATATGGTTGAATAAATAAAATACTCCCCAGAGGATACATAGGCATGACGTACGTTAATGGACTATTTTTATTTCAAAAATTGAAATTACATCACATACATTGCTCATATTCCAAGATAAGTAGTTAAAGCCCCCGTATTATGAACTATCTGAGGCAACGTACTTAATGTACCATAACACCTAGACCCGACACGATAATTAGAAAAGTCCATTTTCGATATTGACCTGAGTCGGGAATCGAACCCGTGACATCAGAGATGGCGACACCTTGAAACCAGCGTGCGAACCACTCGGCTACGTTCGTAAAAAAAATTAATTGCTATCGTTTAAGTTCCTTATAATATTTAACAACTTAATGTACAATAGGTAGTATATTTAACAAATCTGTACCGTAAGTACACGTGGCGCCCAACGTGGGGCGAGAATTAATGCGTTATTTTAATTTACTGACGTCGATAGAATAATAATGTATTTTGTCCATGTTAGTAGAGTTGCAAAGAATTTAATTCGGTACGAGGTAAATATTAAATTTAATTTCATCGATTATAATGAAAGTAATTGATTGGTATTGGCAATAATAAAGTTTATACTGAAGGCAAGCACTACAGAGGAATCTTATGAGGTGGCAATATGAAACTATCAAGGAAGCGGGCTATGATTGGATACAAAATACACAGAATAAGGAACGATGGAATTCTTCGGAGGAGGCCTTTACCCGAGGAGGGGATCTGGAAGATCAACTAGATGTGTAGGTAAAAGGTTATAAACGTTAACTGTAAGTAAGTTTAAGCTAGCCTAATATTTAAATAAGTACTTATTGTATAACCTTTCCCTAAGGCTTTTAAGGCTTTTTTATTTTTATTTATTTATGGTTAAAAAGGTAAATAAAAGTAATGCGATGGCTTATTATGAATGTATACTATCTTACCATCGTTACATTAGATAGTTTTAGATCTTTTTAAGCAATTTTGTTTAAGATAAATATTAGTATAACATTTCGAATACAAAATTGATCAAATATTATAGTAGTAAAGTAGTAGATAATATTATAAACTACAATTTTACGAGTACGTTAATGACACATCGCACTCTAAGTACTCACTCATTTTATTTTATATCTTTTAAATCATCGAACGGTCGAGGGAATCCCTCGTTTCATTTTCATTAATAACGCATGTTGACTGTTCCAAATGGGGACTTTATTGTGTGAGGGTTCATTATCGATCTTTGGCTTTGTTTTGATTTGATTCGTTCATTCATGTGGAGTGTGCGCCAGTAAACAAATTGTTTCCCATAATATTTTAACTGTCCTTAGGGAATATATATTGTTAATGTGAATGTTTTTAAAATCGACGAAAAGTAAGAAAATAGTCTTAGTTTTAGTTCTTTAGATAAATAAGAGAATAGTATTCATTAAATTGAAGTGTAGTTTACTCCATTATCTTTTAAATATTAGCTATAAGCCACAGAAATTTCTTTAATTTATGAAACTTACAAAATACCTACGTAACAAAATTAGTTTTTGTTATAGCGAATAAAGTAACCGAATATAGGACATTTGTTATCCCTAATAAGTCCAGATGAAAATTGTCATAAGGGATTACGAGATCGATTTACGGATTCGCTTGACTTATTTTAAAGCATACTAAAATGTCTATAAAGAATAATTTAGAACGTAATTTCAGTGTTCCATTTTAAGTATACTAATTCCTTATATGATTACTTTTGTCAAATATTTTCTTGAACCCTTACTTTTTTATTTCATTGGCATATGGATCTCGTTAATATGTAGATACTTGTATCGAGTGCTATAGAACCAAAGTAAAGCCCACCGTCAACTATTACGACTTACGCGAGATAAGCAGCTGAATTATTCGATGTTTTTCCTTTTCTTTCAGACTATCTGTTCCGGCAGACATTATCCTGTTTTCTTATTGCTGTCTAAATATCAATAAGGCTCACGGAAAAAAGCGCTCTCAATTTTCTCGACTTTGTTTTATGCAAATTAAAAAATAACGATAGAAGTAGATATCGGTGTATCTAACTGTTTATAAAGGTGACAATATATTTAGTACAATATTTTATAAATAGATTAGTAAATAATTTGTTATTTAAAAATAATATACACTCATCATAATCATTGGCCTATTAATGTACTCACTCTTGAGCCGTAGGCCTTTCATATAAATTAGTGGTTCATGACCGATGGTTCGCGAACCACTGGTGGTCCAAACATCCCGAGTGGTCCGCGGAGCCGCGATTTTATAATAGATAGTGGCCGCCAGCGACTTCGTCCGCGTTTTCCATTATTTCTTCGCTCTTAATAGTTGCAGCGTGATGTTATATAGCCTAAAGCCTACCTCGATAAATGGTCTATTCAACACAAAAAGAATTTTTCAATTCGAACCAGTAGTTCCTGAGATTAGCGCGTTCAAACAAAGAAACACAAAAACAAACAAACCCTTCAGCTTTATAATATTAGTATAGATACATAGAATAACTATTTATTTTGATAATACATAGACCAAGCGGGTAGGCCATATTAAGATAGAAATTTGTCAAATGGTCCTTATGACTGAAAGGTTAAGAACCCTAGAGGTTATAATACATGTGTTACTGATTATTGTTAATGACTGCTGATGCAACCGGGAGCAACGTCTTAACTTGTCTTCAAAAGCACGGAGGAGTTTGAGATAATACATTTTTAGTCACCATCCTAGCACCGGCCATTCCCGAAAGGTGATCTGTGGAACTTTAGGGACTTAGGGTAGAAAGGTCACAAGGTTCGTTTTAGGTCAGATTTAAATAAAATCTTCGTAATAGGGGTGTAGACTTTTTATATTTTTATTTTATACTAGACATGAAATATATCTCAAAAATATATCGTTCATATAATAAGTTAAATCTAAAAAAATGCCATTTTTGTTAAGGCGACGCTATGAAGCCCTCTGAATTTAATATCGTTATATGTATGCATAAGGTTGTATTCTCTAAGTTCAGCCCTGTGATTCTGTAAAAATTCAGATCCGAATCCCAATTCACTCATGTGACCGCAATCCCGTCATTTAGTACAGAAATTCTATTGATTCCATTTTTTTGTATTAAAATATAAAACAAAATTGATTGAATGTACGTGTCTCAGATATTCTATTTCTATGCACTTTTTAAAACTCACTTATGCCACGAAACGTTATTAGCGATTCAAGGTTAAGTGGATGCCGCTTTTTGAAGTGAATTCGTACTCTTGAGTGAAGTCAAATTCGGGGTGTGATTTTTACAGAATCGCAGGGCTGATATGAGTATGGAGGACGTCGCGTGACGCACCGTTTGCGGTCACGTGACAACGAGCATAAAATATTTGTTTTTTCATAATTAATTTAAGCAATATTATAAATAGAATAAGCATAAAAATGTGATTATCGGTAATAGCACATTAAAAACTACCAGAAAAATAATATGTATTTATTTTCTTTTACTGTCTTCACCCGTATTACGAAAATATAGTAAGTTATCAAAATAGGGTTTACACTCTTTGAGCACACCCAGTCATATATATGAGCTCCTTACACATACTACACAAACTTAAATAAGAATCCATCTAGTCATTTGCGCAAATTAAAACTAATTTACTAATACATGTTGCTAGAGTCATTTTATATTTTTTAAATTACTAGACGTCTGTTGGGAAGCGCCGCCATATTTTATAAACACTGATGTTGGTCGACAACTTCAAATAGATCACTTAACTGTATGAGGGTACTGTTTACATGTCATTTAGGAGGGTTAAGTAGTTCAAACATAAGTTTATGAAGCAAAACAATAGTGGTAGATCGTTATTAAGGATGTGGTATATATTTATACGTGGTATTGAAATACGTAAGTCAATTTCGAGAATATAATCTCAGGGTATTTACATAACAAAAATGTAACATAAAGTATGGATATGAATTTCTCAGATATTAATTTACATAACAAAGTTTTCATTTATATACTTATTGTATTAAAAATAGACTCTGTCTTAAAATAATTTGTTGACTTGGCTGGTTAAAAGTAATGAAACTACTTATTCAGTAATGCAGTTATATTGAGGAAGAATTTAAAAAAAAATGAAGCAAGGAGATCTAAACAACAAAAATTATTTTTTAACAAAATATCGTAACATTTTTAAAGGCGAGTATTCAACTTAAAAAATGAAATTTATTTTGCACCACCTACTTCCGTTAATGCAACTAACTGTCCTCGATACGAAGTCGATGATATTATGTGCTAAACAATTGTCTATGGTCTAGACTTTCAGATTAAACCTGAACTCGTTCTTAAATGAAAGTTTTTCTACGTACCTATGTTACTCATATTTGTTTAAAGAGTGTATTCAAAAAACATTCCCCTACTTATTCGGTATGACTGTTCTAAGACGAGGGGCTTAATTTGCTCAATTGACCGTCGCGCGCGCCTTAATACTTTAATGCATCGTATTTAGGGCGTCACTTAGATGATATCTGCGTTATGAGACGCGGAAATGTCTCTACGGATAACTAGATTCGGTAGGAAAGGGGCCATCTTGTATCCCACCCGTATTTTTTACTGTTCCGGTTCGCCATTTGGCCTTTTTCGTATGCCGAAAGAAAACATAACAAAATTAAATTCGAAATTCAAATATCGTAAATTAAAAAGCTCTGAAGATTTTGTCTGTATCTGTAGAGTTCATTTTTCATGAACATACTTTTATTACGGGTGTGTTTTCGTAAAACATAATAGCTCACAATAATAGCTCGTCATAATTTTTTTGTTTGAATGAATCGATATTAACGGGAACATGATTTTTAAAGGGTCGATACATAGCTGACGTCAGAACACAAAATTATATAGAATGATATTCAATCGTACCAACTCGACGAATGTTCCGTAGTGTACAAACGCATTTTACTTCGGATGATTTGTTTTTTTAAAGTGCCGTTGTAACGAGATATATAATAAAGGTAGCTAATAAAGTTATAATAAAACTTGATCACAAAAGTGTATCATAGAATCGTTAAGAAGGCGTTTTTATAATAAATCAATTTTTACTATTTCAGCAATTGCTGGCTCTTGTTTCAATTCTTTTATTTAGGGTCGATGCCATATGAATTCTTTTTCTTCCATACTTCTCTATCTCGACATTTACTTTTTTCGTATCCTCATTATGGTTTACTTTAAGGATGAAGAAATTTAAGTTGATGCCGTTGACACCGATTTTATCAGTGCGTTTGATCTGGTGAATCATAATATTCTAATTTACAAATTATATCACTATTATGGAATCTGTGGGACATTGCAGAATTAGTTTAGATCTTATCTTGAACATCGAAAACAAACAGTAATAATCAGATCTCAAGTGTACATGGATTCTTCAGGTACACCACAAGGTTCGCATTTGATACCTATATTATTCCTTCTTTTCAACTTGTACAAAAGTTGGAATGGAATTTTTGACCTCGTCAATTTTGTCAATGTCAATTTTCGACACGATAAACATAAAATACTGAATACACATCGACCTATTACAAATCTATACTATAGGAAGATTACAAATCTATTCCAATAATAAAAAGAGAAACTAGCAACCAAAATTCAAAGTAATAGAATTTTACATAAAAACAAGTAAATAAATTTGTTACAAGAGTAGGCTTATCTCTAGAAAAGATCTCTTCCAGCTAACCTAGGAGTCGTGGGAGAGTAAGAGTAAGTGGGTGATAAAAGTGCAGTTAAATGATATCACGGTTGAAAAAAGAAATATAAAATACATAAAATGTACACTATATATACATATATAAGATACGATAAAAGCAGTGTCATGAATACGAACATTGTTTTATAAAGTAGTTTTTAAGTTTGAATGTAGTAACACTTCTTATGATCGTAGGGCAATCCTGAATATTCAAGGGAAGTTTGTTACATAGTTCAACATCACGAACAGAAAAGGATTTGAGGAGGAAATTGGTGTTACATTTAAGCAGCTCAAGAGATTTGTGACGTAGGGACTCCTGGGATGGTAAGGAGGAGGAAGCTTCTGGAAAAAGGAGCTACAGTTGTATACTATTCGGTAAAAAAATTACTGAGTGAAATAAGCTAGATCCATCCGATACCTAAAAATTGAAGAGATGTCAGAATATCCCTTGGCAAATTTTAATTTGCTAAAGACGCCAATATAGCAGACCAGAGTGGAAATAGCACCCTTGGACCAAGTGGACGAGGCCGCGGGTACAGCTAATATAAAACTACCTAGAAAATCTAAGAGTTATGGTGAGTAAGAGATGTGTATTTAATGTCGCCATTATAAAGCATTATAGAGTCTACAGCGTTTATACGAGCGTCCAGTATAATTGATTTTAATTGGAGATGATTACAACAACTGCCCTTTGCATGCTTTCTTATGAGAAAAAATGAACAACACACAAATGGTATAATTTCTATCATATTACTTCAATGCATATTCAATTGACGATACGAATAAGCTATTTCATTGTTAGTAGATCACATATTTTATTTTCATTGGTAACCAGTAATAGCGTTTCATAATTATACTGTCATGTTACAATAGATTGGTCAGTAATAACATAGTATTCTATTCTATTGTATTTTTCCATACCCAAAGGGTAAAACGGGTATCCTATTACCTATACTTCGCTGTTTGTTTGTCACTAGACTGTATCTCATAAACCGTGGAAGTTAGACAGTCAAAATTTTTACAGATGATGTATTTTTCTTGCCGAAGAAATACTAAAAGCAGAATAAAATAAATATTAAAGCGGGCTCCGATTCAAAAAACGTGATTATTTTGCTCGATTTCGATACGAAATACGATACCTAATACATCAACAAGAAATTATAAATAATTAGCTGTTGTTCCGCGACTTCGACGCGTAAATTATAACCTATG